AGATTGTTGTAGCAGCTGTTGGTGATGCTTGCGAAAATTACGAGGCAGAATAGTATCAGAGTTTGGCTCGATCCAAGGATGGACTAATTGGCCACAGACTTCAGAGAGAGACAATGGAACAGCAGCCACAACACTGCCCGGTAAACAAAGACGGGCGAAAAAAGGATGTAAAGTAAGCTGTCCGGCTAAAAGAAGGCGAACCAACTTTCGGATGCGATTACGACCCTGAGAAGGTCGTCTTTGCCCGTTCACCCATGCTTTAGGAATCAGATGAGAGCGATCAGGTGATAAACTAAAAGCATGGCTAGCCTGAAGAGACTTATAAGGCTTTTGCATCCTAGGTGAGCCATCTGCGGGCCAATTTATGATTTCCGATAGTGGTAAGGATAAGCAGATTTCAACAGAAACCTTAGGACGTTCGGACAAAGAGCTGTTGAGCAAAGTAAGAACTGTACCAGAATCAAAAAGAGCGTCGAAAGACCGAAATAGAACCGGAAGAACCCCTGGAGAATTCATTGCTAAAGGGCCTTTGAATATAAGCATAAATAATGTCAGTGACAACATAATATAAATAGCAGTCATAGATTCGCTATCCAAGTAAAGATATGATTCGAATGGACTTTTAAGTTCAATGTGTACTGGTTGATAAAAAGCTGAGCTCTGAAAACCACTTGCCGCGTGTCTTCACATGCAGAAATGATCCTAGACTTCAAGGCACTCTGGTAAGAACTGTGAGCACATTGATCAAACGGTAGCTTTCTTGTGAATGTTTTAAATTGTTGTCCCAAATTTCGGCTAAAAGCCTCGTTTTTTGACAACATATGATTAGGGCAAACTGGAGAGCTTGCTGACTTATGGCCAGTTTGCTTACAACTACTACAAACAATCGATGAAGAACATACTGCTGTTTTTTGTCTTTTTGCTTTTTGTTTTTCTTGCTTCACGCCTGAACTTTGTTTTCTTTTTTTTCCAGTGGATGTTCCAACTTTAATAAGAGATATAATAAGTTTTGAATATTAGTTTATAATGGTGAGTTACCATCGTCTACAGAAGCTTCTTTATAAAATTGGCATTTATAGTAACTTTTGCTAGCGTGTCCTATCTTCTGACAGCCTTTACAAATCGTATCTATATTATATACCAATGTATCAATGAATATTTTGCAAGTATCATAGATTTATCTTCAAACGCGTCATCTATGTCTCCTGTCAACTTTCTTTTATTAATGACTTGCTCTTTCTTCTTTTGAATAATGTTTTTAAACATGTCAATATTGTTGTCAAAGTTGAGTAAAAAGAGAAAGAAAGAAAGAAAGTAATAGGTTCATAATTTCATTTTATTTTGGAACTTTTTGTGGTCAGAGACAAATGTGGGTCAAATCAAGAGGCCATATGAGTTCTTCTAAATGATTGATGCTTACCTTATTACATAGTCATTCTTATCGATAGAGTTTCTTTCACAAACAGGCCCTTTTCAGTTGCTTCTGACGACTGACCACAGCTACTCAACTGTGTTTAGCTCTGACGAAGAGGATAATACACTTTTTCTCAAAATTACTGACACACTTTAAGAAATCATAAGCACTGTCGTATTTACCCTATAAACACTTAATCTTGTCGTATGAGATTACTATAAACCTCTACTCTAAAAAAGAGTAATACAAAGAGACTAACTATAAAACACGTTATTATCTAATAATGCGGCATACTCAATTCTTATGGGTCATGACTAAATTGGTTATTTAATAACTATGTCTTCATATAAAATAACGCTGTTTGTAATAATTAGCTCTCTCTCGTCTTATATAAAATAAAGAGGTTATATAGAGACTCGTCGACTTGTACTTCCTCTATCGCTTCTTTATATATTCGAGACATATCACAAGCACGAACTAAAATATTCCTAACGTCTTTTATGCTTCTATGAGCAGGACGCAGAATAGTCTCTAGCTTTGTTTTGACTGTTGCTGTCTTTCGATTCCCCATGAGCTGCTGAAGTTCTTCTTGTTTTGTTAACTTTCGATTTGGGCATGAGGAAGATCTTGCATTCTTGTGTTCTTTTTGGTGGCAACTTGTACAAACAATGTCTTTTTCTTGCTCATCATTGTGATCGTATTTCGCCTTTTTCTTTTCTTTTTTGTTCTCAATCTTCTCTGCTTGACTCATCCTTTTTCTCTTGGCTTTACCTATAATACATGGATGATGTTTATGAAGTCAAAGATGATTGAGGCTTCCATTATTTTACCTGTGGATGAGGTTTGATGTTTCTCATTTTCTATTTGTTTTTTTCTCTCGTACATTGCTTTAAGAATACTACGGACTTGATCGCGCATTTTGTTTAAAATATGAAAGAGATAAAGAATAACAATAATTGTAAAAGGTGCCTTGACAAGATTTATTTTTAACAACAATTTCTGTTTGACGACATTTTTTATTTATCTACAATACTATGTTCATTTTGCCCTTAGTCTTTTCTCTCCTTCTCAAGTTCAATAAATAAATGATATTAAATTTAACAGAAGAATGCCTTCCTTCTTTTAAGTGTCTATTTACTTGTGTAATTCTCTTAGACAGAACTGTAAAGTTGTTATCTATTGTTTTATCTAATGATAAAACAACTCATCACTCTCGTTTACAAATTATTTTATTTTCAGATAATGCAAGGCACTTTTTTATTTCGTGAAGAAACAAATGTAAATAATGACTTGGCATGTATGCAGCATGGGCCTGAATAATGCTCTGAAAGTGCTGCTCAAATCCAGTGTTTTGACGAAGACTGCTATTGCTTCTCAAGGTAAGAACAATATCACGGAAACCTCTGTCACTGTACTCAATTGGTATAACAGCAGCAATCTCTTCCATTTTTGGAAGGTTGTGAGTGTGTCTATCGCTTCCTTCAATTAAGCACATTCTCATTGATGGGCTGATAATGATGTATGGCGCACTGACTTCTCTTTGATTATTACCATCACTGACAGTGTTGCTGCTTTCATGGTTGCTCAATATCTCGTGTGCATGGCGATATATACGCGCAAAAGGGTTGCATTGGGCAAGCATGACCGAAAGCTCCCTAACGATCTTAGGATCAAGGTTGCTGTTTCGTGCTTGTCTTCTTTCAGCGGCATAGCATGGACCAAAGATATACAGCTGGGCGTAGGAAGGCTCACTGCCTTCAACTGGAGTCAAGGGGCTTTGACGATGGCAAAGTGCGCCATAGATCTGGAAGGCGTTTAATCCGCCTCTATTGTTATTGTTGTTGCTGTTGTTGCTGGCACGATCCTCAGGCGAAACAATATCGCAGCCCAACAAAGTAAAGGCAAAGGCAGCGTTTTACTGGCAAAGGTTGTCCTTAAAGTGACGGGCTTGAGTGTCCGTACGTTCGAGCAAGCCCTTCAAGTACTCAGGTGGATCAGGCAAGAGTTGCAACTGGACTGATCCCTGCTTGCAACATGACTCCCAGCTAGGATTTCTCATTGAAGATGTCTCTTGCCTTTCATTGATCCAGTGCAAGGCATGGCAGTGCGAGTATTCCTTGTCCATATATCTAAGGTCCAAAGGACGAAGGCGAGAAAGCTGCGAGATAAAAGCAGCAGGAGTGATCTGAGAGGGTTCTACTCTAGGTCTTCCCTACGTCTTCCCTACGTCTTCCCTACGTCTTACTGGGCTGCCTTCCTGCTCTTCTTGTTCAGCTCAACGTCTGCGGCGTGAAGCTGCAACTCTTTCTCTACACGCTTGGCAGCTGCGATAGCGTGAATCTGCTGGCAATGTCGCAACACAGGAGGAGCATATAGTTGTTCTAGAAGTATTGTTTTCCATTGTTCTAATGAGCGACAATGTTAGCAGACATATTCGAATCAAAAGAAACATTATTCATACCAAATTATTTCAAAAAGTTTATACGATGAGTAAAGAAAAGAAACGCTTATTGCGATGAGAAAGGGAAACGTTTATATTCGAAAAGAAAGGAAAGAAAGCTCATGCACATTCAGGAACCAAGTGCTTGTCGCGCAGGTTCGATGTTCGATTCGGAAAAAAAGCATTAAAAAGGCAGTCAAATTACGTGATGTGTTATAATAGTGTGTTATAGTGTGTTATAGTGTGTTATTAGAGTGATATTAGAGTGCTAGTGTGTTAAGTGTGTTATGATGATAGAGTGATTAGAGTGATTACAGTTTTATTATTTTTAAAGTTCAAAGCAGCTATTTATTTTTGTTTATTTTTTATACAAAGAGTCTATGATTCTATAAACTATATGAGGCTTATTCTTTCCTCAAATAACTCTTGATTCTTTCAATCACTGTCGATCTTAGTCTAAAGACGCCCATGTTCTCTGCTCCAGGAATATCGAATTTTGTTGCAAATGCTAAACATGTTCGATCATGTAATTGATTGCCTGTATCTATGTCTAGTTTGTCTCTCTTACGCATCGTCTTTGGCACAAGCGATTGATCACTTGATTCGCCCTTTTCGTTCATTGCATTAGATGCAAAGAAGTGTGTAGAAACCATATTGCATGCCTTATCTACTTTATCCTCCGTCAGTAACGACACTAGATATCTGTTCAAGTTTTGTTCATCAAACTGGTAATTCTCCGCTTCTAACTCGTTCCAGAGATTTTCAACGTCTTGATTACGTTTCTGCTCTACAAGTGAATCAATATAAACAGACAGTGCAAACTGTGAAGCTTGTTCGGGTATAGGCTCCTCAGTGGGCTCAATGACTTGGATATTTTTTGCGTCAGTGACTTTTAGTAAGTGCAGGTAATCATAGTATTTTTCAGGTAATGGTATACGATCTATGTCTGGGTCAATATTGTTGATACATGTTTGAGCTTTTCCCGGTTTTCGTAACGCATTCCACATTGTTTCTACGGCATCGTAATGCTTTTCATTTTGAAACATGCTCATTAAGGTAACATAAGTTGGTACGGTGATAGGTATACGAAGGTCAAGCATTGTTTTAAACAGTTGTTTTGCTCTTGTAAAGTTGCCCTTTTTGCTATATGCATCAATGAGAGGAGTGAATAAATATGCTGAAAGAATATTTGGTTGTGTGCCTAAATCTGGGTGTGTCTTTTCCAAAATATCTTCAATGGTTTCAGGCACATATGAGTCATAAAGCGCATGAGTTTTGACAACTGCACTTGTTGCATTCTTCAAAAAGTTTGATTGATGACTCCAGAACACCTTTGATCTGTCGATAGCTTCTTGTAGAATGGATTCTGCATATTCTAATTCGTTGGATTTTGCACAGCCATTCACTAGAATACTCCAAGTTTGCGACGTAGGCCTTAAGCCAGCTTGAAGCATACGTTCCATGACTGATCTAGCATCTGACGATAAACTGGCTTCGAAATATGTCTGCATGAGTATTGTCTCACAAGTTACACTTGGCTTGATGTTGTTTGCTTTCATTGTGTCCATGATAACCTCTACTGCTCGCACATCTCCACGCCTTGAATAAAAGTGCATAAGGATACCATACGTGTTTACGTCTGGTTTTATGCTGTCTGTAGACATGCGGCTATAAATCTCCAGCACCTTATCCATTTCATTGTTCATAACATATGCATAAAGTAGCGAGTTGTATACAAAAACGGTAGGCTGCCACTTCTTCGTATATGCTTCAAATATTCTTTCTGCACTTCCGATGTTGCGAGACTTGGCGTGTGCTTTCAGTAGTGCAGCAAGAAGATGTTGCGGCTTTGTTGGCAAATTTGCTTTAGTCAACAGTGTGGCTACTTTTTGAACCCTATCAGCATCTCCTCTATTCGCATAAAATTCTAATAAAGGCATAAATGTGCTAGCTTTTGGTCCAAATTCAGTATAACGCATAGATTCCACAAGATCAAAGGCATCTTGAGCTCTTCCGCTACTGATCAATCCTTTGAACACAAGATCTAACATCACAGTCGTCTTTGCTCCTGCACCTCTTAGCATACGAAAAGCCCCAAGTGCAGAATTGAGGTCACCAAGCTTTATGAAGCATTCAACAATGGATGAAGCAACATATTCATTTGGTCGAATTTTCTTATTGTGATACATATAACGGTAGATTCGTCGAAGCATTTTGAAGTCTTTTTGTTTTGCAAACATATCAATCAATGTGGCAAATGTATAGGTATCTGGCTGTAAACCGGCTTCTCGCAGCATATCGTAGGCTCTATTGGCTCCTTCAACGTCAGGTTCCGGTCTCTTGTGAGCATGGATATCAATCAACACATTAAAGGTAACAAGACTTGGCTGGATTCCATCCTTGTGCACCATTTCATCAAATAGTTTCATGGCTTGTTCGATATCACCCGCTCGGCCAACTTTATGTATTAATGCTGTCATCATTTGAAGCGTACGAGGTATGTTATTCTTTATCATAATGTCGTTCACTTGTAAGGCATAATCAGGACGTCCAGCGTTTGCAAAATAACAGACTATATTTTGATATATCACAGGATCCAGTTGTAATTCATTCGTCTTGGGTGCCATTTTTGGCCATGCCCAATTAGACAGCTTTTCTACCATGTCGTCTGAATAACCCGCAGATCGAATGCTTTCCAGCAGTGCAGTTGTTGCTCTAGCATTTGGTTGAACGCAGTGATAGAGCATATCTTCGTAAATCTTCATTATATTCAATGCTGCTTCTTTATTACCCATTGTCTTTTTCTGCCCTTCGTATGCAGTTATCATGATATTGAAAGCCTTTTTGTCTTCTGCCTCGTCCGACACAATCAATAGATTGTCATTTTTGAAATCAGTATACACCTTTTCCATTTCTTTTATCATTCCATTTTGACCAAGCAATTGTAAAACTAGTAATCTTTCCTTTCTACCCACTTTATATCCTAGCTGCTTCATGTCTTCTACGAGTGTCAAGACTGCTTCTAGTCCCAAAGCACGGCTGGGTTGGTGATAGAACTTTCGAACGAGACGGGCATACTGATCACGAGAGATATACTTTTGAACTTTCTGGGACGATAAATCTCTATAACACTCCCAGGCAAGATCTGTGCTACCTTTTCTAAGTAGCAAGAATGTATTTTCCAATAATGATTGTGCAATAACAGAGTTGGACTGATCTAAAGCTACTGAGAGAACAGTGTCGTAGTAGCGATCCTCAAATGGTTCCTGGGATTTCTCTTGCAGTTCGCGATTGGTTGTGTTTGTCGATAGTGATCTCATGGTGGGTATGTGTAGAGAAGGATTCCATTTTTGTGTACGATGGATTTTGATTGTTGTCAATGTTGAGTTATTGATCTCGCTTCTCTTTGCTATTGTCGACTGACGCCGAGAATGATTTCTAGAGTGAATAAGGAGCGAACTATTGTATATTTCAGTGGTGATGCATTTCAGTTTATGAGTATTTCTCTAAAAAAAAAGGGGAGGATAATTAGAATCGATATGCAACACACATGTCAAATTATATCTTACTCGGCATTGTTTACAAGTTGCAGCAGTTGTAAGAGAAAGCATAATCTCAGAGGTAGAACGATTATTAAGCCAAAGAGTAGGGTAAGCTTTTTTTATTTTATAGAATGTATGTACAATGCTTCTTTCTTGCTGCTACTTTTTGATGAATAAAAAAAGCAAACTGAAATAGACTTTTTATCCCTTGCCTACACATTTTTTTAAAAAAAGTCGGACAATGACAAAGAGAGCGCCTTGATTTGCACGTCACAAGCCTGTTTTTAATCACCGCTTAAAAAGTGCAAAGGTAGCTTTAAAGTTACTGAGATTTTAACAGTCATATTGAATATTGAAAAATAGAAATCCAAAATGCGTCATAGTCAAGAACAACAAAGCATCCAAATCAAGAGATTTTCTTTCTGCTTTAGCAATTGGCATTTATGGACTGCGCAAACTCTTGTTTAGGCAAACTCTTCCTGTATTCTCACCTAGCATCAGTCACTCCAATACTGATTTTATTTCTATTACCCCTTCCTTGCTTAACACAAGAGAATGACAGGGCCATTGCGATACAAACACTCGGTAAGGACTAAATAATACCTTATTTAACCTTGAGTTCATGACTGTTTTTTTTAGAATTTTCGAAAGTGCAAAAAATGGGTTATTCGACATATAAAGTTGAATAGAGACGTGTTTTTTTTTTTTTTTTTTTTTTTTTTTTTTGCTAAAGTCTAATACAATGCAACAGTAATTTTCTGACAACCTTCTACAGTACGAGGGGTAAGAGTGGAATTACCATCCATAGAGGAACCCTCTTGACGCTACTTTTGATCTTTGACCACCATCTTTCAATCAGATTGAGGAAAGAAGAATAAGGAGGTATACCCAAGTTAATGCTTTATCCATCTGCAGAATCAGAAAAATTGATGCTATTGTTGCAGACTTACAAAAAAGCAGTGTTGAACTAACAGCTATGGCGTAGAAAAGAGAGCTGTGTTGGTTCTGCTGACGCAATAAAGCAGCATAAGAATTTGAGAATAAGCGTGTCTTTCTTGAGCTAGTTAAAGCACAAATAACTAATAGAACGAATCATACGGCAAAATTGGTCGAATATATGCAAGGAACAGCAGCACACAACTTGAAGGGTCCTTTCAGGCCCAGAGCACAACAAACGGCAGCTCCTTACCAAACGCCGCGGACGACGTTTGCACCAAAAGAGAAAGCTGCACTAGAATATTGTTGAATAATGTCATATAAAGAATAAATTATCGTAAAATATATGTTGACTTAATTAGTGTGATTCTTAATACTTGGCGTTTCTCAAACATCACACTAAGAGGGCATGAATTTAGGTTGGTGTGACTGTATGACTGACTGAATGACATTTTGTGTGGATCAACTATTATCCAATCAAAATTTAAAGTTCAAACCACAAGTTTTTTCTTTCTCTTTCTCTTTTTTGCCCATAGCTTTCTATGATGAAAGGGAAACTGACAACGGCAGATATCCTATATGATTGCGCGACATGGTTATTCAATATTATGCTTGACGTATTCTTCCGGGAGATACGTCCAAGAGGGTCACATAAAATACCAAAGGAAGGTCCACTGATATTTGTGGCTGCTCCTCACGCTAATCAAGTAAAAGAACAAGCAGAAGAAATACAAAAAAAAAAAAATTCTGACATGCTGTAGTTTGTTGACCCGTTAATTGTAATGAGGGAATGTCATAGAAGAGTGTCTTTTTTAATTGCAGCCAAGTCAATGAGACAAAAAGCTATCCGATTCTTTGCCAACATGGTGCATGCAAGTAAAAAAAAAAAAAAAAAGAACTTTATGAACTATCAAGCAAGTTTTGACATAATTTCAATTTGTAGTTCCAGTCGAGCGACCACAGGATTTAGCTGAAACGGGTAAAGGTCGTATTCAGTTACTCAACTCGAAGACAGACCCATTGAGAATTACAGGCATCGATACAAAGTTTACTCAGCAACTGAGACCTACAGATTCGATCGTCTTGCCTCGTAGTAGTGGAAAGTTGCAAGTAGCAAAGGTTATTTCTGATACAGAGCTTTTGATAAGTGAACAGATCAAAGATAGACGCGCATTAGAATTTCTAGTGAAAGAAGGTGGAACAGCCTATAAATGCTTACCTCACATAGACCAAGATACGGTTTATGAACGAGTTTACTCTGAGTTAAATAATGGACAATGTATAACTATCTTTCCTGAGGGCGGTAGTCACGATCGTGTAGAGATGTTACCATTAAAAGGTTTGAATAGGGACAAAAAAAAACAAAAAACTATGACTAACTTTTCTGTAGCCGGTGTAACAATTATGGCACTTGGTGCTATGGCCAAGTATCCTGGGCTGGATGTAAAGATTGTCCCTTGTGGGCTCAATTATTTTCATGCACACAAGTTTAGATCAAGAGCAGTGATTGAATTTGGCAAACCCATCACAATTTCTCCTGATCTGGTCGAGCAATTTAAAAAGGGCGGTCAGGCAAAAAGAGAAGCATGCTCTTCTTTATTAGATACTATCTTTTATGCATTAAAGAGCGTTACAGTCAATACACCCAATGAACAAACATTGATGGTTATCCAAGCAGCCCGTCGTTTGTATAAGCCAGCTCATCGTCGATTACATATTGCTCAAGTCGTTGATCTCAACCGTCGCTTTGTCATTGGATACAATCTGTACAAAGATGATCCACGTGTGATTGATCTTCAACAAAAGGTATTGGCTTACAATCAGCTCTTAAAATACAATGGCTTGAAAGATCATCAAGTGCCGGAAATTACCATCAGGAGATGGAGAACATTTTTCTTGCTCTGTTATCGAATTATGATCTTTACTGTCTGGGGGCTGCTTTCGTTTCCAGGGTAACTTAATCGACATATCAGCAAGACCTGCAATCTAACACTCGCCTTAGATCGATTCTCAATCTTCCCATCGTGACCACTGCCAAATTGATTAGTATGAAAAAGGCGAAGGAAGCCTTAGCATCATCTAGTGTAAAGGTCAGGGCCCGCGATGTACTGGCTACTTGGAAACTTTTGGTTGGCCTCGTGCTGATTCCATCGTTCTACGGATTATATACCCTCATTGTATTTTGGTTATGCTTAAAAGCAGACTACATAGGCTGGCTACAAAAGATTCTGTTTCCAGCCATTACCTGGACACTATTACCGTTTGTTAGTTACGCCTCCATGCGATTTGCTGAGAATGGCATTGAAGTCTTCAAGTAAGTATATCTACATAGCTATATAATGATGACTAAATCAAATAAGGTCACTGCGTCCCTTATATGTCGCGTTGATAGACCCTGACAGTTCAGCTCATTTACGAGAAATCCGTGAAAGACTGTCAGAGGATATTACCAAGGTCATTAACGAGATTGGCCCACTTGTTTTTAGTGACTTTGACCCGAATAATGTATTCAGAAGCGACTCTACAAGTAAAGAGTCTGTATCAGAACTAGGTTCAGGCGGAAGAACATTCTCTCAGGTAGCCAATGAATTTTTGACAGGCACAGCCAAAGTATTGATGGACGACACGAATATATTCAACTGGACAAGACAAGAAGTAGAAGATCTTACTGCATCCGAATCTGAGAACGACTTGCTTTATCTTTTAGATAAGGAAGGATCTCTTCAAACAACCACTTCTGCAAGTGAAACAGAAAATTTTTACTCTGAGAAGAGAAGACGAAATAGATCAAAAAGTTCGAGAAGGGCTAAATTGGCTTGATTTAATTTTTGTACATATTTTTTTTTTGACATATGGCACCAGGTACTTTAATCATTGACAATGGTGCCTATACAATAAAAGCTGGAATTTCATATCCTGAAGCTCGGCCAAGGTAATAATAATGAGTTAGATAGAGACTCGTATTTTTTTAAATGAATTTCGATTAGAAAAATTCCTAATGCCATTGTTCGTGGAAAGACCAACAAACAAAATTATGTTGGTGATGAACTTGACGAATGCACCAATTACTCTTCTTTATATTATCGATTACCATTTGAAAAGGTAATGCAAGCAATAGAGAAAAAAAAAAAGACGATATGAATAAGTCAGTAAGAATATAGGGTTATTTGGTGAATTGGGATGTCGAAAAGACAGTATGGAATCGACTATTTAATCATGTAGCCAAGATCAAGCCAAAAGAAACTCGACTATTAGTGACAGAGCCTTGTTTCAATTTGCCCGTGATTCAAGAGAATTATGATCAAGTGATCTTTGAAGAGTTTGAGTTTGCATCCTGCTATCGAACTATGGCACCTCAACTGTGTCTATTTAATGAGCTTGGTGGATTATTTGGAGACAAGATAGGTTCTATCCCAGATTGTACACTCATTGTCGATTCTGGTTATTCCTTTACACACATCATACCATTTCTGAAAGGAAAGCCGGTCGCCAAAGGAATACGGAGAATCAATGTTGGAGGCAAGTTATTGACAAATCATTTGAAAGAAGTGGTATCTTTTAGACATTATGATATGATGGAAGAGACATACATTATCAATGATGTCAAGGAAAAATGCTCGTTTGTATCTCACGATGTTTATAAGGATTTAAAGACATCTAGGCAAGTATCTCTTCAGAAAAATACATTCTTTTGTTAATAATTCTTCTTATAGACAACATCATCTAAATAATCCAATTGTTCGAGAATATGTATTGCCAGATTTTGTACATGCACAGCAGGGATATGTTAGACCAGTAAAGGCAAATAGAGATAGCCATGAACAAGTACTCTTGATGAACAATGAAAGATTCATGATACCTGAAATCTTGATGCACCCCTCAGATATCGGTCTAGACCAAGCCGGAATACCTGAGGCTATTGTACAAAGCGTCAATGCCTGTGATTCAGGTAGGAAATAAACATTTTTTTTTTTTTTTTGCTAACTATTTTATCAGTCATTCATGGTTTGCTGTATGCAAATATTATTTTGGTAGGAGGCAATGCGAACATACCTGGATACATGGAAAGGATGTAAGTAATACCAAAAGGTAATGACATAGCTAACAAGAATCATGCTCCATAGTCAACAGGACCTTCGACAGTTAGTGCCAGTGGAATATGACATCCGAATCGTGACTCCACCCAGGTAAGCAGTAATATTTCGGGTAGATTTGGACAAGATAATAAATGATGTCATAGCCCAGATACATTTGCTTGGCATGGCGGTAATACATTTGTATCGCTTAGCTCCAAGAGTGAACTGCAAAAGATATTTGTACAAAGAAAAGAATATTTGGAATATGGAAGTGAAATATGTAGAAGAAAGTTTGGTGTTTTACGATAAAGAAAATATATTTTCTGATTGTACGACAAACATTGACGATCATCAAGTAAAGCCACTAAAAGTTAATCAGCGTTGGCGTATCTTATCATAATGCCAATTCGACGATTCTTTATATATAAAGACACTCTATTTAATAAACCTTTTCCAAACTAACCTTGTGTGCTTGTATTTAGCACCTATTATATTTCTTGAATAAAGAACCCTTTTGTTAATGTAGTATATCGTCATTTGATTGATTGGCACATTTTATTTCTTCTTATTTAGACAAATTGTCATCCCAGTTAACTTAACAGGTCACATATATTCTATGTAGTGTGCAATGCAGGATGTCAATCTATTTTTCTCTAGCTTGTTTGAATTTGGTTACAAATAATTGTCTTTTGGATCTGTGTGATTAAAAAAAAAAAAAAAAGTGCCCTTCTTCAATGAATAAACGGGGCAGTAGTATGTCAAGTAGGAGCTTGATATAATAGATAGCGCTAACAAAAATCTCTTGGTTGTTTCAGTTAATCGCGTTTGAGCTTTGATCTCACAACTTTGTACTTTTGTAATAATGTCAATCAAGCACAATTTTTTTTTCTGATATCTTTTTCTTAATATCTATCTAGTTACCATGGATACAAAGTGATGTTAGCAATGACAGTAAATAAATTCACTTTCAGCTAAACAATGGATCAATCTCTACAGAAAGATGAATCTGAGTACGTAAAAATCTATTTTAAGCTCTATCTTATATTGTTTCTTGGATATTAAAAAACCAGATTTATAAATAAAGAAATACTCTTTGTGTCTCTTTTTGCTTTATTTATATTCAAAAGGCACATTGTCGGAGATTTAATGTGAGCTTAAAAGGTTACACATGAATTAGGAGAGGGTACCACGGAATTAACAGCAGGTGTAATGAAGGTACCAAAATTAGAACGAAAATAATTTAAAAGAGCATCTTATCAACCATTTGAAACTCCTTCAATTTAAAAAGGTTCTGTTCCTTTTTTCTTCTTTTTCTTCTTTTTCTTTTACAAACGAAAGAAAGAAAGAAATATAACTTTTTTGAATTCACAAAAAAGCTTAATTATTGTCGTTGAAATCATCATCAATTTTCTTTTTTCCAACTGCAATCGTTTCTTTTTTTTATTCAACATACAACCCTTTCCAGTCTTTTTAAAATAAAAAAAGAACAACAACAACAACATGCGTACCGCCTTCCTTTGTCTCGCAGCTCTTGCTCAATTTGCTCTTAATGCTGCAGCAGAACCAATTACTATCCCACTTTATAAACGTACTGAAGAAGGTGCTATTTATAAGGCTGCTGGTAAAGCCCTCGACAACGGTGTGGTATGTATTTAGATTTGATTTAATACAATGTATAATAACCTTCTTTTTTTTGTAAGCTTGCTGGTAAAGTAAAGATTGGTTCACCACCTCAAGAGTTCGTCTTTGCCTTTGACACCAGTAAGATTTTTTATAAATTTAATTTTCTTGGTTGTACTTAATTTCTTTGTTTTTTAATTAGCGACCGGCTATTCTTGGGTTCGTGGTTCTACAGTAAGTTCCAGATCCTATATTGAATGATGGCTTACTAAATTTATTATTTATAGTGTAAAACTAAGAACTGCCGCGGTAGATGCACTTATTATTCTACAAAGTCTGACGATGCTGTCTCTACTGGCAAGAAATTCTCTGTAAACTATGGTGACTCCTGTGTAGATACTCACATCTATCAAGATACTTTTGAATTCGCTGGTCTCAAAATTAAAGACTTCCCATTCGGTGGTGCCTACAGAATGAATGGTTTTGCTTCTGGCTTTGGTAAATAGAAACTTATATCTTTTATATTTTGCAGTTACTAATATATACTGTTAGATGGTTACCTCGGTCTTGGCCGTAATGTTGACTGGAACGAAACCAAGGTTACCTCTTCTTCTGCCAACAGTAAGCAATTCTATTATCTTAATGAACTTTTTATTAATTTTTTTTCTTAGGCTTGGCCAAGCGTGACGCCCTTCCCGACTCTGCCTTTGTTCCTAACGCCTTCCAACAAGGAGCTGGCATCTCTAGTGCTCAATTTGGTATGTACACAACCAGCTCCAGCAGTGGATTCGATCAATCTGGAACCGTGAACAACGGTGCCACCAACTCAACCGTCACCAATACACCTTCTACTCCTTCTACCAGCACAGGCACTGTTACCTCTGGTGGTTTTGGTACAATCACCAAACGTAACAACGTCAAAGAAGAAGAAGAAAATCCCGCTGGTTACCTTGTCATCGGTGGTGTTGATACTAGTGCCATCGACGGTGATGTCAGTTACATTCGTTTAGCTGACGACCCTGATGCCAAAGCCAAGAACTGGGATCTCTGTATCCGTCATGCAAGCTTTGGTCCCTTACGATTGGATCAAAAGGCAAGAGCACTTGCTTCTATCAGTACTTCTACTAGTGTTATTGCCATGCCCCCTGATCAAGCAGATGCTTTCCATGCCAAGTTTGGTGGTTATTATGATGAAAAGACAAAGGTGTACAATATTAAATGTTCAGAAGCCAAGAAGCTCCCTCCTCTCAAGATGACACTTGAAGACCATATTGTTGAACTTCCTGCCAAATATTGGACTGGTGTCGTCGATGCTGATCGTGATTGCTGTTCTACCAAAATTACACGTGGTTCCTCTGACCGTGATTGGGTCCTTGGTACTAGTTTGACCAATGCATTCTATACTACTTTTGACCCTGATACTGAAACTGTTGGTTTTGCCATCAAGAAGGGACATTCTGATGATGGTCTCAGAGTGTACAAGAAGTCACATTAGATTGAAGACACAGCCTGATGTTTTAATGAAAATAAAATGGGAATCATTTTATTTTTTAATATTCTTTCTTATTCCCCCCTTCTTCCCTTTGTTATTTGATTTTAATGTGGATTTACCCTCAATGTTGGACTTATCAGAGAACAATAGACTTATAAATTACCTTTCAATAAAAACAAGTGTGCTTCCTTGTATTCTATTCAATGTTACTTCCCCTTACTTTTTATAGATCACGCTAATTACACAAGTAGAACAAAAAGTATGCCGGGGAAATCAAGGTGTTTCTTACTGTGCGGATCGAGCACCAGATGACGTTATCACTTTATTTTATATTCATTAGCAAACGATGTTATACTCATTTGTTCTTCATGTTATGCATATTACTTTTTGATTCCATTACAAGAGTCTGTTTGATATGTAGGGAAAACCTCGCAGTCTTAGATCGCAATTGTCGAGCAAAAGTACAAGGAAGAGAGAGATAGAGAGACTGAGCTTGCAGAAAGATGGGAGAAAAGGGGGAAATTGTTATGACAATGATCCTATTTGGGAGTCATGCTGTAAGCGGTACTTTACCTAGCTATCACCCCTTCTAACTTCTCCCTCCCTCCTTGATTATCTGTATAACATCTTAGTGGATACTGATGTTCTCTCAATAGTGCAGTTGCTTTAATTTTCTTGAAAAATAATATAGTCTCAGTTGAGAAATGTACAAATAACATTTGTATTGTAATACTTTCAGATCTACAATAGTCAAGAACCGTTGCTTCTTTTTATACGCTGCAGAAATAACAGCGTGTCCTCGTCCATCTTTGTATGCTTATTTTAAATGTCTGTAAAAAAAGCTGTAAATTGGAAAGAGAAAGAGAAACTATGGTTTCAATTTATATAAAAATTAATTACCAAAGTTTATATGGCTTATTACTAAACGACAGTAAACAAGGTTCATCCAAACTCAATGAAACAGTAAAGAAGACCTTAGATTAGATCTCCGAAATGAAATAACTTAAATTTTTTATTCATATTGCCTTTCTCTGTTCTTTTTCATAATGAGTCAACAGAAATTACAATCTAACCCTCGTGGTATTCCTGCTTCTCCATTTGTGGTACATATGATACGCCTACTAAAGGATAGGATAGAGCAATTGATGTTTTTTTATTAGGAACGCGTTGAAGACTATGTCTCCGCAGAGGAACCAGTTGAGGTTGTCTTGAAAAAGTTTCAAGAAGCCATCAGGTGAATATCAAATACAAAAAGAGAAAGAGAAAGTAATGTAATGTCTTTCTTTAAATAGTAAATACAAATTTATGGAAATCAATTTATTACAACGAAGAAAAGTATTAGAAGAAAAGATACCAGAGATTGAAAAGACGATTGCCATGGTTGACTTGCTAACAGAGAAAAAAGACAATCAGGAACCTTTATACACAGATTTTGAACTGAACGACACACTTTATGCCAAAGCAAAGATTGAGCCTTCTGACTCTGTTTATCTTTGGCTAGGTGTAAGTTAACCTTGTTGACAGCATTTCTTTGATTGACATCATCCAATAGGCTAATGTCATGTTGGAATATACTTGTGAGGAAGCCAAAGAATTATTGACCTCAAAGCTAGAAACAGCTAAAACCTCTAGAAAGAATACCTTGGAAGACTTGGAATTTTTACGAAGCCAAATTACAACAATGGAAGTGAATACTGCTCGTGTATACAACTGGGACGTCAAACAACGAAGACTCTTACGAGAACAACAAAAACAGGAAACCTCTGCTTAACTGTCGGAAATCCAATAAAATTTAAACACCATACATTTCTTGTTGTATTTTTGTTTTTTTTTCTTTTTTGAACAAATGAGTATACAGCAACTTGGAAAGATCTTGGGTATAATTGGAGCCATCTTTCTTGCTCATTCTGCCTATTCAACATATGAACGTAAATAGTTCTTTTTGCTTGAAATAAGAAAAAAAAAACTTACTTATTTACTTTAACAGATTTGGCTTACGTGAAAGCAGTAGATGAAGAAGATGCGTCAGTTCCTATTGAAGTAAAAGAAAAAAAGTCCAATGCACGCACTCAGTTACTAATAATAACAATAACAATAACAGATAGCAGTCGAATGCTTAGTATCGTCGTTTGTTGCACTTTTAGGTGTAATTTTATCAGCAGATTCCTTTAAACACATTGATATGACAGACGAAATACAGAAAATGTAAGCCTACTAAAACAAAAGAAGCAAGTATCTCATTGTTATTATAGGGGAATCGATACTGTCGACACAAGACCATCCTTTATCACGTTTAATCATCGACAAATCAAGTCTAATTCAAAATAAATTATTGATAATATTTATTACTATCCATCAATGGATCTTGCTGAATTCCACTTCCTTCAAAGAAACTAGTTGAGCTTGGAGAATTGGGTTCACCTTCTTCATTAAAGAAATCATCAAGGTCTTTAAGCGCATTCATCAAGTCTTCACCATATTGATTACCAGTATGTCTTGCTCCTCCCACACCAAGCATTAACTCTTCTCTAAAGATATGAGCATTTTCTGTTGTAATATTGCTTTCTCCTGTTAGCATAGAAAAGTCTTCTACTGAAAATTGAATGTCATGTTCCACAGGTACTTCGTTAGTAATAGAAGAACATTCAAAAACAACTGCATGAATATTCTCTCGCGTCATTTTCGATGCAACCGCAAAGTTATTGAATCCCCAAGCAAATTCACCATCCGCAATTGTCGATCGTTCTCCTGTCACAGTGGGGATACCTGAATTAAGAATGTGAAGTGCTTGATCAGCGTACTCTGTCGAAATGAGTTGTAACAGAGGCTCCAGTGCTACAATGTCTATACCTGCCTCATCATTCATTCTACTCTCTTCTTTCACATAGGGGAGAAGATTCTCGATTAGCAGTAGTCCTTTGTCTCGATAGAACGGAATCTTATTTTTCACCAGTAGCAGAGAAAAGATTAAGGCTTGTATACTGTACTTTGTCAAGAACACATCCCTGATGCTGCCAAGGATTTGCTTGAGATAATCCTCTTGGAACTTTGATTTTTGATTTGGATAAGTCATCAAAATTCGCTGAGCATCTGAAAGACCGTAGCCTTCAAAGAGGATCACCAACTTCTCTGCTAATTCTACTGCTGCAGGATCGACTGCATTCTCAGTTTCTAGACCATGAAGCAAGCGAGGTATACAGCCAAGTAACAGATACATCAGACGAGTCTCTGAAGGATCAATCAAGGGTAGATTATCCTGAAGCGAGATTGAATTGAGTATAACGAACGTCTTTTCTTCCACTGATGAGAATTGTAATCCTTTCAATAACAGTGGCTGAAGACCATCAAATTCAGTTGACCAGTCCTTTGGGAAGCTATCTACTAACATGGATATATCATCGTATTTATCAAGAACGATCTCTAATAACAGCAGAGCCTCTCCATGCTCGGATTCATAAGGACTGTAAAGACAAGCAATGGCAGCCCAAAAGAGTTGAGGGAATTGCTTGATTTGATCTTCATCCATAGCGTTCGCCACTTCAGTCAAGGTTATAATGATCTCCAAGGCAAATCCACGGATCTCTTCCGATTTATCGGCAATCGTGTTGGATAGCCGAGCTAGCATATCGGCCAACATGTGTTGGTTGAATGCAGGCATGAGAGCACGGAAACATTGGAAGGATCGACAGGCGATATGTCGAACAGAGCAACATGTGGCCCATTTTAACGCTGTTTCTCCCCATTTTTGACGTAAATCGTGGTCTTCATACGAAAAAACTTCTACCACTTGTTGAAGCAGCTGCTTCAATTCGAGAGCACTCGCGATACGTCTGTTGGTAGGTGTAATATTTTCATACACCCAGAGACGCTTACCTTCTTTACTTGACAGCCACTGAATAATGTCATATGCCTTTCTAGAAGCTTCAGAGTCTGCAGACTGCCGAATAACAATGGAGTGAATGAGGTTCATGAGAAAGCAACGAGATTGGTCGCAGATAATGCTAGTCAAATGATCGAGCTGAACAAAGATGTTGTGTAAGAAAAGAGGCAGATGAGGTGCTAAATCTGCACCAGCTTCGATAGCAAGGTCAACCAAGAAGGACATTGCCAATTGACCACGAGCAAATGTTGGTTTCTTCGGATAAGATGGTAGTACCTTTTCAGTATCAGCGACAAAGAGAAAAGGAAAAGCGTGGGCATGTCTACTGCTAACGTCTCTGACCTGAGGCACCATGGATCTAGGCGTGATTTCAGAAATAACCTCTTCTATAACCGAATTAAAGGCGTGCGTACGGCCCAGAAAGACAAACACTCGTTTAGCGTGAATTAGGAACCATGGATTACGTTTTTCTTGTCCCATATCGAGAAGATACATAATAATTGCTCGAACATTACGACCATTATCAACTAATTGACTCCAGAGGGCAGCAATTTCTTTTACGTATACATCGCCAAATTTAATCGTGATAAAATAAAGATTAGAGAGTACCATGTAAGCGGATGCACTTAGTTCTGTGTCATCTGTATTGACCGAAAGATCTAATTTTCGATGCCAAGGTAGCATATAAGTCAAAACTTCTCGTTGTGAAGAGGAACTGATGTGTTCAAATCGTTGGGTGATTTCCGAAAGCATGGAATAGGTCTGTTCTGGGTGATCCAGAGCCAATCGAGCAGATAAAAGTGTCTGTGTATGTTTATAGATGGCTGGTAAGCTGCTGGTTATGCCAATTTCGTATTCCTTTGCACAAGAGTCTGCAAACACTCGCTCTTCGATGACTCGAAGTAATTGAATAGCGGTCTTTCTGATTGCCTTCTTTGCATCACCTGTTTTGAATAGAGCAAGGCTCATGATTTGATGAATGTGATAAGGATAGTTCTCAAACTTGGTGATAATCTCTGCCAGTGCCTGAAAGTATCCCTGTGTAAACTCTAACTTTGGATTTCCTGCGTAACATTGTTCGATAATGTCATCCAACAGTACAGCTTGATCTTGATTGTATATCATGACTGCCTCTAGCGCTTGTCTAAAAAACAAGTCAGACAATAGGAAATACAGTATAAAAATATATAGTTATACCTAGCAATGCTGTGGTACTTTGGATCTCGACTTTCAAAAATTGCATCTATCCATTTTAAAACATTGAGTGTGTCAAATTGGATGATGGCCTGTCGAGCCTTCTTTTGACCAAGATATGCGTATAGAGGGCCTCTCTAGGAACAAGAGAGGGGGTTAGAAAGAAAACAAAAATGGTTTCTTTATGCGCTTACACATAAGGTTGCCATTGCACTTAGGGAAGCTAACTCCAGCAACTTCCTTTCTTCATCCATGAGCTGCATCATACTAGCCCTCTCTTTAGTTTCTTTATATTGTTCCAACACATCACGCATCATGGTTGCCTCTCGCTGTTGAGCTGTCTTTGCTGCGACTCCATATCCACACCATTCTTCAAACATTTTATACAAGCTAAGACGTGTCTCAAATGACATAATTGCCGTAGGATCTTCCAATTGCATGATGTTATTGTATAATTTTTCAACAAGTCTGCAGAGATACACTCTTAGACGCTGATATTCCCATTCGATTTGAGCCTCTGTGTCAGCCAAGAAAGATTTTGTTTCTTTTATACAGCTTGTCAGCACGTTTGTTACATTTTTATCAGAAACAAGCTCATATTGAGATAAACAGTCTGCTGTGAGTTCAAGCACGTTCAACACCGAGATTCTGAGTCGATCATTCTTTTTACTTCGCTTATTTTGGTAAGGCTTTTGGTTATTTCTCTGCTTGCCATCCTCTAGAATAATTCGGACATAACCATCAAGCTCATATATAAGTGTTTTATACACTTTACTATTGATATGGCCAAGAGCCTCTATGGCACTTTCTCTGATTTGACGATGCTCACTGGTTAAGCAAGGTAAAATCAGACGGAAGAGGTCTCGAGAACTTGATGCCTTGTCAGCGTTAGAAGAGCCTTTACGTCCAACACTTGACCATCTAGGTGTAGACGTCGGTGTTTCTTCTGTAGGGGTAGCAGTAATACATGCAAAGATCAAATAGATACGCCATTGTTCTACTATCTCTGGGCTTACGGTCTTTTGATTTGAATTGCTACTTTTTGACATGCTAAGGGTACCTGTTGCACTCGCTTTCATTGTCTCCATCCATGCCAGAATCGAAGGGTGGATTTGTAATATTCTGCCGCAGATACCTATTCGGCATTGTGCTATGGTTTGTGAAAAGTGCTGAAAGCACTTCTTGATGACCTCAGGATAGCAAATATTCCAAATTTTAAGATCGGACACATTATCACTTTCTGCAATTTGTACAATGACTTGATTCTGACCTTTTCTTTGATAATGAATGATTCTATTACGGGTTTCGGTTGATACCCTGCTCCCAAATAAGGCCCCAGAGTCCTTATCAAACTGAAGTATTTCTTGACCCACAGAATCTAGCATGCTATACATACTTTCTTGGCCCATGGATACAAGAAGGTCATCGCCCGCTGCTACATGCTTACTGACAATCTCCTTCATTTTTGCTGAAACACCCGCTGTGACCTTTAATATCTGGATGGCTAACTTGCGAATGATTGTGGACTGGCTGCATAAAAACAATAATCCATTTGCTTCTGTTTCTTGTAAAAAGTCCACTATTTTCCATACATTGGAATCTATGTACTCTTTCATGGCTTCATCTGAGCTCTTCTCAAGTATATTTGTTTCCAATTGAGTAATCCATATAGAGAGTAAGTCGAGGTAGAGCTTAATGATACCACCATGCTCATCCTGGCCAGTTCCATTGATGGGTCCTGTTGCAAGGGACTGAACAACATCCAAGAACTTATCGTCAATTGTGCAAATATATCGTGAGAATACTGTAACTGTTGTTTGACTGTCGATTTGCTCTGCTATACGTAATAGAGCTTTAGAAGCTGATTTTATAACCTCAGGATCAGTATGAACAGTGTATCTTGAGAGCATTTCAATTAATCTAGGTAGTGTTACACCTGCTGGCATAAGCCGTGGCATGCAGTCGATAATTGACTTGATCACGTCAAAGTAGGGTTGTTTATCTTTAGTGTATGAAACCAGAAAGGTGGAGTACTGATGATGTATTTGCGGCCCGCTTTCAGATGGTCCACCGCTGTTTGTAAAAATGGGAACAGTATAATTTGTTGTGGTTGTACTTGTAGTAGTATTCGCACTCGTAGGCGGACGAAGGATAATATTCTTTTCATCCAAGAGTAAAAGTCTTCCAAAGGTCTGATCCAAGACGATCAACGTTTTTGAAATGGTCTCTTCTACCTTGGACATCACGTCTGGTTTGATAGCACGAATAGGGCCTGAAAAAACATCAGCTGTACATGAGATAGATATCCCACACGCTGTCATGTCAATGTCTGAAGGAAAAGGTGGTAACTGGGTATTTTTTTCTAGATCGGAAAGCATTAATTTGAATGCACTTAGGGCAATAATCATCCTCTCTGGACAGATATTTTCTAGTGTGTGTGGAGCGCCTGTAGATGTTGTGTCTATGCTGAGGAGATAATAGAGTATCTTCTTTGTCCCTGATTCAACATCACGCATGAGTGAAAAGTAGATGATGAGTATAAAATGATCTAAAGGAATATCGGATGGATACACTGCTCGACGGAAAGGTGGGAATAATGTCTTGATGATGGTATCTAGCTTTTTATAGGTAACTGATGTACTTTCTTTGCATCTAAATAAATAAATCCATACAAGTCTTGATATGCATCCAAGCAACATTAACTTTGTATATTTATCTTGCTAATGAAGCAAATGCTAAGCTTTAATTCTATATTCTTCATCTTATTCTTACCTTGCTAAACTTTTGATAGCAGCTTTCCAGTATGGCTGTCCAATTTTCAGCAAAAAAATTCTTTCGACTTACGCATAACAGGGTAGTAATTAATGGGTATCCAACCTTGTGTGATAAAAATATATTAGAACAAAAAAAAAAAAAAAATAAAGAGAGAGACGAGAAAAAAAATCTTACAGAGATATGTCTTGGCTTAAGAATCATCTTTAGGGCACGAGGATACATGAGATCTACCGCCTTTGCCCATGCAGGGAAATTGACTTCAGCGTCTGCAACCTTTTTTTTGAAAAAGAAATAAAAAAGTTTGATCTCTGACTAATGCATGTTGACTTACTTCTGCTGCTGGTAATAATAATTGAATAAATAAGTCAGCATAAGCATGCTTTACTTTAGCACCATGAGCATTTTTAAAGAAACCAGCACAGCTATATATAAAATCAGCAGTTTCTTCCAAGGCATCAACAGGATATAGCTTAATCTTTAAATAGCGCATCCCTTTTATCAGCATTTCCATATGACTCTGTCTTTCTTTCATTATTGTTTGATTATTGTACTTTTCCAATTCGGCAATGAACCTATCACTCACTGAGGCAAACCTCACATTGGAGAGTTCACCAATCAATTCGGCAAATAAATCCATACTCGCTGTTCTATTCTTTGATCTCTTTATTGCTTCTCTATTAACAATGGTAAATATCGATAAAGGGCTATGTGATCTCTAGACTTACGGATCCGCTTTCTTTAATTGATTGAATACGATCTCTTCCAAGTTTTCGCCAAGATCATCAGGAAGTGAACCTGGATTGAGTTTTCTAATTATTTCGATTAATGCACGACACAAGATAAAGACCGATGCAAGCTGCGTTTGGATTAGAAAGCCAATAATGATTCAATTCCCATTTGTTATACTTACAGACTGTCTTTCTTTTAACACGGATTGTATTTGTCGAGTACGCGATAAGGGAGCACTTTCACTATAAAAAAATTAATCATCCCATTTAAATACAGCCAAAAACTTTTGTGTACCTCACTCTTTTGATCACTGAAGGATCCAGAGGCTCGACCTTTGCTTTTCTCCATCTCATGACTGCATCTATAACTGCACTTTGCTGTGTTGCTGCTAATGAAGATAGAGAGTATATCACTTTGTCAAAATTCTCGTCAGCACCTTGTCCTAGTAAGCTTCGTAAATCGATTTCGCTATCCTAAAGATATTATAAACATAAAGTTTTCAAAACATGAGTCCTTGTTTACCACTCCAAGGTTCAAGATGAGAGACATTTTTGCATCTGCTGCATTTTCAAACTGACTAAAAATGACATTCAATGCATAATCAGCACTTGACATTGAAACAAAATTACGATCTATTGAGGATAAAGCTGTGCTTTTATTGTTATTGCTTCGATTATCGTTTTGCTCATTGCTAAAATTCATTGTCATTGTGCAGTGATTTGCGTTTGAAATTCAAGGTTTTCAAAAATAGAAATCAAGGTTTTTTTCTGACCAATCAAGATATTTTTCGCTCATTCAGGATTTTTTGTGATCATTCAACTTTTTTGGAAACCATTCAATTTGTTGTAAAGTGCAAGATAAACTTTTTTTTTGGCAAACACTTAGTGCACTCAAAAATAGGCTAACACTATGGATGCTTTCTTGGGGCGCTATACACTCTTTCCGGAAAGTAAATTCGCCTATGATCGAAAATAAATGCACCCAATGGTGAGAACAAAATTCATGTTGTATGAAATGTAAATTCGTCGTCGCCAAGAATATTTTCATAGTATTAGCCTTGACATCCATGGATATGCTGTATTTCCAAAAAATAATGAGACTGAATGTCGTGCTTTCCAAATTTAGATGTCGTATTGAAACCGTTGTAATGTTATCAGAGTAATAACAAATACAAAAAGAATATGGCTCACTATCCCATTTGACAGTAATATTAACAAGTGGGCTGTCTTGGAGCTGAAATTAATGTAATACTAGAAATAGCCCTCTTTAATCTCTTTGTAAAAGTTTAAATTCTTTATTCGGTTTTTCCATGAAATCAGAAGAACATGTAGTCATATTTGGCAATACATATTCTTGAGTGGTCACGATATAGATTGCTCCTATTTGACATGATTTCTTTGTCCTAGATACCCTATTTGAAAAAGAAAAACATATAGAAACTCATTTTAATCGAGTCCTTTTTTTGCTTCTTTACAGCAGTTATCAAATGTCCCTCTGAGTGTTCAAAGATTCACCAATCAAAACTAGCCTGTCCTCATGGCCCTTGCTCTGACTCGCTTGTCCTGCCCTCTTTGCTCTCTGGCGTGTATCTGGAACGTTCCTCAATATTCTCTTCTGACGTCCTGGGTTCTCTCTGTCCTCCATTCCTTTTTTTTTTGTTTAAACTTCTCCTGGGTAGTTACCGCTACCCTCCCCAGCATGCACCTTGGTGGTAAGCAAAGCTAATATTAGGATATATGCTCTAATACTAGCGTACTTTTTCTCTTTTTCTACATATACTCATTACCTCTCTCTTTTTTGACATAATGTCGTTTTATTCAAACGTATTTTTCTTTGTCGTCTTTTTACGTAAAATTAACGTCAATAATCAATAAAAATACAGTATGTGACATCGCTCTACAACTTTACACTACCAAAGCCTGTCCAGTTCACTCTCTCTGATACAAAATTTGAATTTATCATAATTACACGTGTTCTTGCACCTTTGTTGATCAAACTGACAACATAAAATTAAAAATGACATTTTTTTATCTCTTTCTTCTTCTGAAAAGAGACAATTCAAGATGGTAGCTTCATAAACTCATGTTTATCTTGACGCTACACATTGAATAGTTTTGTTGGACGATATCATAGGTAGTGGGTAGAAGTAGCGCTCGTAGTATTAGTCTATTGTTGAGTGCACCAAGTGTTTGTCAAAAACTTGGTAACCACATCGATTTACATTTGAAAAATCAAAATTCTGTTGAAAACTCAAACTCCAAGGAATACTCTGAAGACAACGTGAACCAAGAAGACATTGTTACCATATTAAATTCTGTGTCAATTCCCAAATCCCAACTAGTTCCGGAAAACCATAGATACAATCATGATGAAACCTTATTATATGCCTGTCAGTAAGCCAGTGATTCTGAAGAAAACAAACATCTGGCAAGATATGCTTTAAGAAGCTTAAAATTAGAACCTTTTTCTATTATAAACGAACATGGAGAAAGAAGAAAACACTCTTGCACATGTCGATGTCATTGCTAAGGCTTCACAATCAAAATCACCATATATTATACCAATTATTCCAATGAAAAGATCTGCAAACAAAATGGAAAAGAATATCCTATTCTGCAATAATTGTTCGATAATCAACCCTATACTTTTATACAAATCATTAACATCACACGCTCCATATTCTAAACTCCTTTGTGCCCGAAAGTACATTGAATTATCTGATTATTTATGCCAACTTTTAAAACAAGACTGGACACTCTCACCTCAAATAAAATTTGTTGCAGCACAGTTATTGGCAGGTTGCATTTTATAAAACGGGTGTTTGGCCTGGGTCCCTTGCTGGAAGACTCTTACAGATCCTCGAGGATTTCACTTGGTAATGTATACTCTGTTGATTTGTCTCTACCGGTCTGTGCGGCACTGGATGAGCTCAGTGATTTGTGCTTCTGTAAGACCATAATCTGACATTTGTGTACCACGATGCGCGGCTTGGAAAGATGTAAAGAGAACAATGAAAAGATTTTTTTTATTTTTATATTACTGAGAATAAAGTGCGTTTAGAAAGCCGATAACCACATCCGAGATTAGAGTGAAGGGGCAACGGCAATTGTGATAGGTACGACCCATAACCTTGATTTCTACTTGAATTTCAAACGCAAATCACTGTATGCCTCATTGATTAAATGCGGGAAAAATTATGCTTAAATTTTTGAAAAGCCGATTGTTTTTTTTTAAGTGAGCCTTTTTTTGTACGAATTTAAAGAATGATCTTGAATGAGTTAAACTTTAATAATGATGTAGATTAGAAAGAAGAATAAAATATATATATTGATTTATATCAGTAAAGTTTAAGTGCTCATAAAAATGAAATGAAATTTGAAAGAATTGTGTGTGTATGTGTGCAAACTCTATGTACGATTTTATTGATATTCCAGCTTCATCTGAATGAGCTATTTTGCCATGGACAATGAAAAGGCTGCATGCGCTGTTTTAAATAATATTTTCACCAATCAAATAAAGCTGTATATAAAAACAAAAGTAGAAAGAAAGAAAGGAAGAGAAAGAGAGAAAGTATTTAAGCTGCCTATGATTAATGTATTTTAAGAATATTATAGATTATTGATGTCTTGCATCCATTTTTTTAAGAAAAGAAATATCACTTGCAAAAAGATTTTGCAGCAAGAAACGTGACTTTTAAGAGCAGCGGTCTTCATACAAAAAAAAAAAAAAAAAAAGCGTCAACTTTAATTGCATACATAAAAAAATAAAATAGATTGATTACACTCTTCATAGATTATTGCTTATATAAACAACACGAAACAACAACAAATGAACGAGGCTTTACCAAATATTACTGAATTACGAAACAACATTGACTTTGCTTCCATTTCACAATTCTTTCATACATTTCAATCTGCTTTTCATCCTTGGCCGACATCTACTCAACAGTTGATATACCGTACAAGAATAGAAGAAGGACAGGAATATGTATTTGAAACAGAGGTAAAGAAAGAAAACAGTAAAAGAAAGAAAAGGATCGATTGTGCAACAATTATATTCATCCTTTTTTATTTGCATAAACACTCATATTTTATTATTAGGACCTTGAACGCATGTTTTTGGATTATTCTGAAAGATCTCGCCTAGAAGACCTGATTGTACGCATGTTACGTCTATTGACTCGTAATCGATTTATAAAGTAATATATATACACATACACTCCTATGTTTCGTCAACTCATTATTCATAGTTCTTCTACTTGGCAAACCTATTTTGCCAAAGAATTCGATAAAAGAGAACCCGATATGACAAATCCATTCTATAATCAACAAGAATCAATACAGACGACCGATGATTCAAGCATGTTGGACTTCTTTCAGTTGTCACTTGAAACAAGAGTACACTTGTTATATCTACTATGTGAAGTAAGTTATGCTTGTATATATATATTAGAATTTAGACAGCTTATTCTCATATACATACACAGTGGCAACTAGATGATCCAGAAAGATTCCGTGAACATTTGGATAGCGAAGAAGGATCAGCACAGTGGGTGGGTGCTTTAGAAACACTTATCTGTTTGATTTTACTAAGAGAATATTAGAGAGTGGATCCTATTGGATATGACAGTAAAGGTGCTACTCTTTGGTTATTTGATGGTTGTGTTGTCTTTTTTCTTTTTCTTTTTTATTCTTTACTTATTCCTTTATTCAGATAACAGACTCTATATGGAAACACCGAAACCATCTGTTAAGCTTCGTAAAAAGAAGAGTCGACCTGCTTACAAGGGCACATCACGTAAAAGTTCACGTAGGGCTGCTGCAAAAAAGGAACCTGATCAGGACATGGATGAAAATGAACAAGAATGGATACCATGGAAACTGGTAAGTATATAAATTACTTTAGTAGAGACAAACTGATTTCCCTCTTTTTTCTTTTTTAGATATGTTACTCAAAACAAGATTGGGAACAGATTGCTTCGAGATACGAACATAGCGACCATGCTGATGAAAAACGGTTTTATAATTTACTTATTAATGACCTAGTGCCCAAGGTGTTACCAATACTAGAAGAACGAGAAAGAGAAATCAAGAAACAAGAGGCTATCATCCATCGAAAGCGAAGTTCACGTATCATGATTAGAGAGTTGGAAGCATTGGAAAGAGCTTCGAGTAGTGAACCTGAATTTGACTTTAGTTCTCCTGGAGTCAAGACAAGATCGTCCAACAGAATTGAACAAAATCCTTTGGATAAAGAGCGTAAAGAGAAGGAAAATTTAGCAAAAGCAAGAGAGGAACGTGCATTGGAGCGTGAAAGACGTTTGATGGAACGTGAATATCGTGCATTGATTCGTGAGAAAGGTCAAGATGAGAATAATAGAGAAGAGTCACCCATGGTAGAGGAAAGAATCGCCAATGATAACGTCAAAAAGAAGAGAAAAGAAAAGTTTGATGAATATGGTAACCCAATACCTAAAAAGAAGAGAGGAAGGAAACCAAAGAATAAGTCTGCAGAAGACTGGTTTTTCAGCTGCATCTGTGGAGTTTCTGGTAGAAATTTGGCAAGTATATCAAATCAAGTCATGGTTTGTATCTCTAATAATAATAAAAATAATAAAAAAAAAATAGGATGATGGCACGCCAATGATTGCTTGTGAGAAATGTGACACCTGGCAGCATATTCAATGTCTACAGCGGTCTGGACAAGTGGATAAAAATGCGGATCAACTGGAAGAGGTGTCATTTATTTGCCAATCATGCTCTACAAAAGAAGAAGACATGGATATTGATATTGAAGAACACGATGATAAACAAAAAGTAGATGCATCCTTTGTTAATACAACTCCCCTTAACTACAGCATCCAAACCCCACAGCCTGTGAATATACTTCCATCTCATTTTAGAGAATTACGGCCAAATCTTGTTACTGAACAAGTATTTCCAATTCAGTCTATGTTGCTTCATCAGCACACTCTACAACCTGCTCCCCCAATAGTTCATGATATACAACATCGATCGACATATCCTCAGCAGACTACATTCATGCCACAAGACTCATCTACGACTGATAACAAGCCTGTGATGAGTCAATTAAATAATCAAGACAGAATAGATAATAACTAATATAAGAGTCTATTTCTCAATAGATCCCAATGAAAAATAGATACACACTTTGTCAAATATATATATATATATATAGTAATAATATATACATATAAATTCCCATTCTTTGTTGTAAATAGTAACGTAGCAGTAGAAATGATGACAACGGTTTGTTCATTATCACCTTGAGTAACCTCTCTTTTTATCTTTTTATGCAGATTACATTTCCTCCTTTCTTTTATCTATTCTTGTTAAATAAGAAGAATGCATTTATGCTAAATCGATCAGGTGACCTGCATCTTTTTATGAATAGAAAAGATAGAAAAGAAAAAAAAAGGTTGAGGTCTAGAGAGAGAATAACAAAGAATAAAAACTGCCTTTTATAACCAAAAGAGTAGTTTGATTTGGTGGGAAACCCAAATGAGGCATTGCCTGGGTGTGTGCTGTTTCTCTTATGAGGGCATGTACCACGTGATGACTTTATATTTGTATTTTTTTTCTTTGGTTTAAAAAATAAAAAAAATAGTAGCAATAATCTGTCTTTTTTTCTCTCTTTTTTCCTCTTTTATTTTTTTTTTATTTTCCTTCCTTTTTTACACTTTTTTTAAAGCAAAGTGAACAAAACACTCTACAAAATAAAGAAGGGAAAAGGGATATTTTGACAAAGAAGCAATATAAAAAAGGAGAACTAAAGACAAAAAAATAAAGAGTATATCTTTTTCTTTTATAATCAACATACATTTATACATCAAAAGAAAAAAGAAAATGTCTCAAACAGAGACAATCCAAACAGATAGTAAAAATATAACCAACAGTGACAACAGTACTTTACAACAGCCATCAGAATCTCTAAAAACGAAAAAAGGTATATATATATAAATATAAAAGTGTGTGTATGACAAAATAAATAATGCCTACTGTTATATATAAAAAAGAAAAGGGAAAGAAGCAAGTAGATCCAGAATATGTCAAATCACCCATCAGAAGTAGTAATGGCAACAGTAGGCCATCTTCAACAGGATCACTAAAGCCTTTTCAAAAAGGGGGCTTCCTATCATTATTATTATGTTGTACAGTTGGAGCAGGTTCTTTTCTCGACAATAGCGATAAATCTTCAATTAACAACAAAAAGAATAGACATCATAAAGAAAAGCGACAACCAAATGCTGATACAAAAGTAGTCCCACCTATTCCTTCTTCGCCATCTACTACAACTACGACCACATCTCCCGTGACAGAACAGTCAGCAGAAATAGAGAGCTCAGATCATATTGATTCGAATCATTTAAAGAACGAACATGAAGATATACCTCAATCCATGACCCCTACTTCATCTCCTGGCCCCCAATCTGAAGTAAGCTTATATACATATATAAAAGGTGAAGTGGAATGCTTATACTTTATATAGGGCCCGATTGTATGGTTACTGCCTCCATTGTCCAATGAAGATAAAGAGAGAAAATGTCTTGTTCTTGATCTGGATGAGACATTAGTACACAGCTCATTTAAAGTAAAGTCATGTCTACAGAAAGAATCACATTACTCATGTTGATATTAGATCATTCCAAATCCTGATTTCATTGTACCTGTAGAAATTGATAATCAATACCACAATGTATATGTATTAAAACGACCAGGCGTTGATGAATTTATGAGAAAGATGGGAGAAAAGTATGAGATTGTAGTATTTACAGCTAGTTTGGCCAAGGTAGGTTAATTCATGAATCCTATTCCTTAATAACCCTATATTGTTATAGTACGCAGATCCTGTGCTAGATATGCTAGATGTTCACAAGGTGATAAAACATAGATTGTTTAGAGAGTCATGTTATAATCATAAAGGGACTTATGTAAAGGTAAAGTGATTTATCTATATAAAAAGTCAATTTCTTTATTTATACATTCAATAGGACTTGTCACAATTGGGTCGTAATCTCGCATCTACGCTCATACTCGATAATTCGCCTGCAAGCTATATATTCCATACATCCAACGCTGTACCCATTTCAACTTGGTTTAACGATCCTCACGACACTGAATTAACTGATTTAGTTGCCTTTTTAGAAGATTTAACTGTTGTTGATGATGTACAATTAGTATTAGATAATTCAATTTATTCTAATACCACTGCAACCACCATTACTTGATTATAATTTATGTCTTTCCCCTTTTGCTATTACTATTACTACACTTACTTCCTCTCTTTTCGTTTCTTAGCATACCCCATTTCCCCCCTCTTTTTTTTTTGATTCTCTTTTACTTTATCTTACCTCTGCCCCTTCCTTTTATTTCATATTAAAAAATATTTTAAGCAAACATATATATGATGTTTTTCTTTATATATAAAAAAATATATTGGCAACATAATAAATAAACTGATTCAGGTAGCATAGCATCTCTCTCTTTCTCTTACTTGCTCCCTTCTATGGCACTCTATTTGCATTACGATGATAGGCAATCATCAAGGAAACTTAATGTACTAGAGATTATGCCACTTTTTGGCAGGAGCTTTACAATGTCTTTTTTTCAGATCAACAATAATAATAAAGGAGACCATTATTGATTATCATGTAAAATATAGCCTTCTTGATGTATCATTACAAGATGATGTATTTATCACTGATAGTAAAACCATAAAACGACCTTGTCATTCAATAAACAAAGAAAAAGTTGATAATTCCAATTAAGCTGAACGCTTTTTTTTTTGTCTTTGAAGCGACAAAGTCAATCTCCTGAGGTTAAAATAGGAGGATAACTAACAGTATCAACGGCAAACGTTTAGATATTATAAGGAGACTTTGTTTTCATCTCCTTTATCAGATCCTTCTGCACATCTCATTAATTTTCATTTCTCTTTTGCTTTGAAATAAGGAACATTCATCTTTTAGTTTATTTTAAACGCTTTGAGAGAACACTCATAAAAGTAAGATTCATGTATACTATATGTCGCAACGTTATTCATCGTACTATTATTGTTTTTTTTAAAAGCTTAATTCCTACTATAATCAACTTACTACTTTTTAATTTCTTATTAATCATATACTGGTGTCATAAGGGGATAAACAGCGTTTATGCATCAGAAGAAAAAAAGCGATTGTATGCTGGATGTACCAGCAACCATCGCTCCAAGAAATAAATCAATCTCATCAGCCTCGTCAAAACCCTCGAGCACACCTATCAGAAGGACAATGTCTTCACCTTCTAGTGATCTTCAAAATAACCCATCTCAACCTATCAAGTTTCCAGAAGCTTTAAAAAAGCAGCCTGCCTCTAGGACTCCCATTTCCACAAACTTTAGCGCCAAGAGCAGCAAGACGCTACCTTTGACACAGAATACACGTATGAGCAAACGAACATCGAGTGTCGATAACTTTCAAAAGTCTGTAAACTCTGGCATACGTATGACAGCGTCCTCTAGGTTCAGTAAGAATCTTTTGCCTACTTGGCTAGCAAAAAGCAATCCCACCGCAGCACCAGGAAACGAATCTATTGATCATTCCTTGACAAATTCTGTTTCGGATAATCCCCAAGAAACAAATGCACCAGAGAACACTACTACTAGTCAGTCAGAAAATGATAATTCTCCTAAAAGTACACCTATAGATGTTATAGATGATGCTAATAACTTTTCTGAAATATTCGAAGATCTTCTTGTACGGTATTATTGTAATATATACGCAAATATGTCCTTTATTTACACTCCTGACTGCAGAATGAACTTAATATGAAAGAATCGCAAAAAGAGAAATTAAGACAGTTACCTCATGATCGCAAACTATATTTACTTCAACAAAATCAGCATATAAAGAAAACCAAAAACAATAGCAAGTCCTCAACAAAGAGTATTCCATCGTCTAATTCTACCACTTCTCTTTTTCAAGCCAAGACAACAAAACAAAAGGCATCCCTGAAAAAGAGCGAAACATCTGCACGACTTTCTGTATCAGGAAAGTCATCAGCATCCTTCAAGGATTCAGAGGATATGGATAAATCACGTGGCACGTGTATTTCTTCATCATCCCCCAAAGCAACAAGGCCCAACGAGAGCACTTGTTCTACCATATCTAAAAGCAGCTCAACACAAAAGGAAGAGAAGAAGAGTTTAGTGTCTGGTAGACAGAGTGGAACAATGTCAAAAACAATGCAAGATATGCGCAACACAAGAGAAAATATACCTGATGGAAGGGCTGCAACTTACAAGTTCTCTCGTAAGAACCTAGTAAACTTTAATAGCACCAGATCAAAGGTAGGCTCGATGATTATGGAATTTGATGCGCTTGCATATAAGCAAGAAGATGCAGTGACTGATGAATCAGCCGCTTGGCTTTTACTCGACAACACAACGTTGCCTCGGCATGCAAATAAAATCAACCAACAACAGCGTCCGTCATTAAACAATCTTTTTTCCAAACCCACAGCGGATTCCGATCCAGTTGCTCTGGTGTCGAACAGCTATGTTTACCAAAGTTTAACTCGAAGAGACGCATCGCATTTGGCCAGTTTGGTAGCATCAGAAGACAGAAACAAACTAGGCCGCGACAGAGACAATCCATATTTTTATGTGGAAAAACTCAGGAATAGGTAACTGCCATATAAAAATATCTCAACTAAAATCCCTTACGTTATTATAGTAAGAATTTGTCTATTGATGCATTGACAAGGTACATAGCATCACTAAAGGCTACTCTAAATAACGTGAACGAATCATGGGTTAATGAATTTCTGTCCAAGCGCCATGATGGACTGGACGCACTTGAGACGGTCTTTGGAAAACTTGTAGTCAAAAAAACAAAGTAAGAGGCATAAAGCATACTGTCTTGAGTTTGTATAAACTCGTTTTTTTTTTCTAATAGAAAAAAGAGTAATCTGAGGCTAGCAGAAAGTGAAGAGCAATGCTTGCTTGAATGCATTCATTGTATCCATGCCCTCGTTAACTACAAGGTAAGCCTGGACACGATGTAACCGTGGCGGAGGAAGACATTTCATAAATGTGCTCATTTTTTCTGTACTTCTTTTGATTATATAGGCAGGCTATGATCAAATAGTGATGCGACCAGAGTTACTGCATTTATTGCTTGTGCTCCTGTTTTCAAGCACAGCTTCACTCTCGTTAACAACTCAAACAAATGCTCCTCCATCAAAAAAATCGTCCCTAACGAACCTAGGATCCCAATTGTTATCTGCAGCTGTTAAAAGCGAAGCAAAGCAAAATCAATCTGTATCGACTACCAACGCAGCCAAAGATGGTAACTCGGTTGCTGATGGTGAAAAAGGACTCCATATGATGTTTGAAGTGTGTACACTTGTTTTTGGGATACTTTTTTCTATTTGCTTAACCTCTTCAGATGGCTATGAATTAATGCTGGTAGTTTTATCTGAAGTAAAAGATGAAAAGTATCGATTTGAAAAATTATTACAAAGCCTCTATGAGCTCGGGAGCTCCCTTGAAAGCAACGCTACAAAGTCATCACGCCAAACAGTTGATCAGCATAGCTTCATGGTGTTCAACTGCATTACTGCAGGGCTCAACTTGTGCTGCGCGATTGTTCATACGCCAGCCTCACTGGAGAGACGAAATGCGCTTCGAGAAGAAATTGAAAGAAGAGGGTTAAAGAGTTATATTGAGAAGCTGTTGAAACAGAGAAGTATGCTGCCAACAGCATTACAGAGCTGTATAGACAACTATATGGAGCAGAAGAAGGTAGATGAGGATCAGATACGAAAGCAAGAAAGCCTCAAGAGGCAAAGTATACTCCAGTTGTAAGTATATTATGCATTTGTTAGATATCACGCTGATCATACGTCTATAGTCAACCGCATGATATGATGGCATCGGCATTAAACTCTTTTCAAAAAGATCCAGAGTTGTATTATCTCGTTGTCGATAGCATAAATGAACTCATGTCGGTAGGGGTTCATCAGATCTCTACTGACAAACAGTTTGTAAAAGATGTCTGGTGTGTGGTTCATACACTGGCTAAACATTTAAAGCCAATAAAGACAAATGGCATGTTTTATATAAAAGAGTTGCTTATAACGTGCGTATACTAATTCTTTTTACTTTTTTTTAAAAAAAATAGACGAAATACACTTTGCGCTGCGTCAGTTCATCCCATCTATTGAACCTGTTATTGGAAAGCTTCCGTTTACAACCAACACAGAAAGATTCAGTAAGAATTTGGCAACAAAAGCTGCAAGTGATGCCCCTGTAAATACCTCCGGCGCTGCTTGCAAATCAGACGACCATTTAGAAGACATTGAAGGACTACGAAATATGGTGGAGGAATTAAAAGAAAGCGTGAAAAAGAATCAAGAATCTATGGCAAAGATACGAAGAGAGAAAAACGAGCTACTCATGAAAGTTTCCAAGGCAGCCGCAGATATAAAAGAAAGAGATGATCGTATCCTGGCAATTGAAGCGGAAAATCAAAGACTAGCTAAAGAACATCAGAAAGTGTTACTTAAAGGTAATAACGTGCAACAGAATCAAGATGAATCAATACCTAGGCAACCAGAATCAAAAGGTACTGCAAAATCAACATCTTCAACAGTTCTCCATGTGTCAGAGTTAACATTACCTTTGCCATCACCGCCACCGCCACCACCACCACCTCCTCCACCACCATTTCCATCATCTAACGCATTATCCATGCCTACTCAGACTGAGACATCCAAGCAACCGATAATCCGAAAGCGAAACCTTGTGCGCAGAGATCCATCAAATCGCTCTTCAAGATATTTGCATCCACTTGCCTTGAATCTATGCTTCTCTGATCTAAAATCGCTACAAAAGAATTCGACCTCAACTTCATTATTGTCTACTATAAACAATTTGACCGAAAGTCACCAAAGCATAGAGCCACCTTGCCTGAGCGAGCAAGATTTTGTTAAACGAGCTGCTGTACCCATGAAGCAATTCTTTTGGTCTAAGCTATCCAAGGATAAAATCAACAATACGGTCTGGGAGGAGATATTCGAGCCATCTTTAACTGAATCCATGAGTTCTGACAGCAGCGGTGATGAACTTGAAATAGATGGTACACTTGAGTTAGATACAACTGAATTGGAAAGATTGTTTAGAAAGAACACAAATTTAAACAACAACAATAACAGCAAAAGCCAGCAAATACAGACCCGAAAACAGCATTTGATCACATTATTAGAATTTAACCGTGCTAACAATATAGCCATCATGTTGGCAAAGATAAAGCTCCCATATTCCGAGATTAGAGACGCTATATGGAATATTGACGATACGAAGCTCACAATTGACAATTTGATTGCTATTAGACAATATATTCCTACAAAAGAAGAGATTGAAATAGTCAAAGAATACCAAGGCGATGTTAATATGCTTGGTAATGCAGAAAGATATTTTAGAGCAGTAAGTTTAAATCTAGGACATAAGCATGAGTACCAAAGCATAAAGTTAGATAATGTATATTCCACGTTTGGCAGATCGATTGAATTGTATGATCTTCCGTCGCCGGTTTGATCAAGAACTGCAAGAGATCTTACCAGAAATGGATATAATACAGTTAGCTGTAACAGAGCTCAAAGAAAGCAAGAGGTTTAAGCATGTGCTAAAGGTAAGCTAGTTTGTTTTGTTAAACCGATACTAAGGCTAAATTAGACAGTGCTTGCTATCGGTAACTATTTGAACGGACAAACGGTGCGCGGTAATGCGGTTGGGTTCCATATTGACGCACTTTTGAAGGTATGATTTTTTACAAGATACTTCTGGAATCTAATTCATATTTTTTTTCTTCTTCAACAGATGAGAGACACAAAGGCAGAAGGTGAAGGTGTGAGCAATGTTCCTACCTTGCTGCATTACTTGGTTCATTTTCTGTCAAAGTCCGACGATGATGTTTTAAACTTTAAGCAAGATATCTCACACCTTGCAGCAGCAGCCAAGTGTAAGTCTAGTATAAAAACAAATATAACGTCTTTCTTATACCATTTTAGTATCACCACCTACTATCTTTGCATCAGTGAATGCGCTCGGAGGAGGTTTAGCTCAGATTAAAGAAGAGATGAGTGCGAGTAGAAGAAAGGTGTCAGAACATCAAATAGATAGATTTGTGGAAGCAATGGAGGTGAACTTGTTGTATAAAACATAAAGACACATATTAACTCTATCATTAGGAGTTTGTTCTAGAGACAGAACCGATTATTGAAGACTTGAAGCATATGGCAAAAGATGTTGAAGATAAACTGAAAGAGGTGATCATGTATTATGGAGAAGATCCAACCATGGTCAAATCTGAAGAATTCTTTCAGATTATAGCCAGCTTTTCTGATTCATTTGAGGTAAGACCATGACGTGTATAGTGAAACATGATCTCAATTGTACTTGTGTGACTAGAAAGCCCAAACTGAAATACACGAAGCCCGAGAAAGGGCACTGCGACGACAGCGACAAGTGGAAATACAACAAAAGACGATTTGTCAATGAAGAGTCAACTTTATATTGAAAAAGTATAAACACACATATTTATTCTTAAACAAAGTGCTTGCTCTAAATAACTTACTAATAAAAAATAAACTGTGTTAAAACGAATACGATTTTGGTGCCTAATGAAAGTTTGGCGCACTTTTTTATTATTATTTTTATTTTTATAAAGAACCGGGACAATTTTTAGTTTCTCCTTTTTTTTTTTGCAACAGCAGCAGCAGCAGCAACAACAGCGGCAACAACAATAATAGTAATATAATATAATAATTGTTGTAGTATCAGTAGTAGTAGTAGTAGTAGCAATAGTACACCCCCTATTATTAAAATGTATAGCTCCTCGAAATCTACTTTAGAAGCAAAGATTGTCATATTGGGTAGTCAAGGTAATACTTATATACCTTTCCTGATTATGTTATTGATTCAGTAAAGGTGTGGGTAAAACCTCACTTGCTGTACGATATATCTCAAAGACATTTTCACCTAACTCAACTTCCACTATTGGTGCTTCTTTTATGGCAAAAAAGCTGTAGGTTTTCTCTCTTGTTTACCCTTTGGGTAATTTATAGAATGCTTATGAACATTTCTTTCAGCACAGTTGATAATTGTAAAGTAAGCTTACAGATTTGGGATACAGCCGGTCAAGGTAATTATATTGGACATACTTTTTTAAAAAAGAAAAAAAGAGAAGGGGGGAGTATACATAGAACAAAACAAAAGGTAATTGGAAAAGTCATGAGTAGAAAGATTCCGTGCAATGGCGCCAATGTACTATAGAGGGGCGCAAGCAGCTCTGTTAGTATACGATATCACATCAAGAGAAAGCTTTGAAGAACTTCATTCTTGGATTGAAGGTAAGCAAGTAATGTTTGTATACTTTTATTAACTGTTCTTTAGAGCTTAAACGAAATATGACTGAAGACTTGGTTATAGTTGTTGTGGCCAATAAATTAGATTTAGCTTTATATCAACGTGAAGTGTCATGTGAAGAGGCTCAGAAATATATCACACGAGTATTAGGGCCAGATACACTGTTGTATGAAGTATCTGCAAAAGAAGATAATGGTAATAATAATAATAATAACTACAAAGATATGGTCATCATAACAAAATAATAGGCACCATCGAAGAAATCTTTCTCCATATCACTCGAGTCCTTGTTGATCGTAAACAGTACCTCCCAAAGAAAAGACAGCCAACCTATTTACCCATGGAGGAAGAACCTGCAGTATCCAAGTCATCATGCTGTGGATTTTAACAATGATAATAATAAAGAACTATCCTTCTTTTATCGCATATGTGATGCTTTTTTAAAAAGTTGATCTGATATTTTTTGTAATCTGATATAAGAGAATACGCGCGATCTCAATTTTCATTTGCATAAGTCTCTTTTTCTTTTTCCTTCTTGATGGAATTCAAGGCTACTCTCCCTGCTGATTTATTTAATGGTAAATATGATAGCAAAAGCAATTATATTTGGTTGATAACTTATATCCTGTAGTATTTTCAATCAGTTTGGATACACTTTCAGACTTTGGTGACAATATCTATTTAGATATTAGAAAACTCCAAGTAATAATAAAGTTAAAAACTTGTTACTTTGCATAACAATTACAATAGTTTATCATTTCAACCATGAATAACTCAGAGACATCGCAAGCAATCATACGAATTTCACCACTGATCTTTGAAAATTACAAGTTACTTCAACGCAGATCTACAGAAGAATCACTCAAATGTCAAGTGCTGGCTCATGTAAGTTCTTTCTTGTCTTCATATTTCATTGAACTAACTCTCTGTATATCATAGGACTTGAGTAAAATATTCAAAAAGAATCAATCTATAACCAATTTGATACAAAGCTGCGGAATACAAGTGGTCGAAGGCGATGAAAACAGCGTTGAAGCAAGAATTCATTTGACAGTAAAGTGTCATAATGGTGTGACAAAGAAAAACACAATATGGCATTCAGAGGGGAAAACCATTGTACCATTCTATTCAAAGGATACTTTGCATTCATTTATAGTTGATGCCTCCATCATGAAAGATCATCTTGGCTTATTTCCTCCAAAAGTAGTCGACATCATCCTTTCTTTTACCCCGCAGTTTATTATCATCAAGTCTTTTTGGGACAATGATTCACAGATGATGCATTTAGGTAAGTAACGTTGTAGAGACAATACACGATAGAGAGAGCTCATTATAATAGATGATAAACCTGTACAGACGATGGTCAAAATGAAAGTTGAAGATTGTGTTGAATATTCTGTAACAGAGCCAGTGAGGTTGGTGTTTAACTTTAGAGAGTTCAAGGTAAATATATATATATATATACATACGTGTGTATTATTTAGTATTGACTTGTGTAAAAGGCAATTTTAAACTATATGGAGTCTATGGAAGCACCTCTGATTGCTCAATTTCAAGAGGCTGGCAAGTAAATAGAGAGCGTGGTGAAAGATGAAAAGACATGACTAACTGGCCAATATATGTATATAGACCTATCATTTTTACCTATGAACAGAGTAATGAAATTATGGCAGAGTTCGCTTTGATGACACATGCAAATATAACAAATGAAAGAAGCAGCTACATGTCATTTAATGAACATAGTATGGCATCGGTAGATTCTCCTATATATGGTGGACATCGAAGTGTTTCTTCTAGTCCACCTGTTCAATATCATAGAAGAACAGCTAGTCATGGTAGATCTGTGGTCCACCCTGGTAGGAATTCATCAGTGGAGAGTGATGTTCCAGGAAATCAAAGAGCTGGAGGTTCGAATCAATTCATTGAAAACAACAACACCAACAACAATAACAATAACAATAATAATAATTATCAGAATATCAGTACATCTGCCATTGCAAACGCAGACACTGTGCCATACACAAGACCAACAACACCAAAAAATCCAATGTATGGAACAGGAGGATCTGACTTGAGCTTTGGGCATAATTCATTCGAACAATCAAATCATCATCGTTTGCCATCCTTACAAAATGAAGAAAATAATAGTCATCAATCTTCTGATAATAATGCGTATTTTCCATTTGATTCTTCAATAGAATCAAGCATATCTGCACCGCGTGCAGAGTATGGTGAAACTGATGCTGAGTCAGCTCGAAAAAAAGTAAGAATACATATAATCAGCTTATCAAGAAGCTAAACCTTTTTCGTTATTATAGCAAAAATCAAACTTCTTTTCATAATTCAATATATATTTTAGTACACTATTTAATGATGTCCAATTGTCCTTGATTATTGTCTTCATATGATTCAATTGATATCTTTCTAAATATAGTATACATCATCATTTGTTAATACAAAATCAAATGAGTCGAATCTGGCAAACCGCGTTTTGAACTGTATGGGCGAGTAACCTTACATGGGCAATCATGCTATAAGACATTCATAGCACTTATCAGACCCACGCAAGTTTTTAAAGGTCAAAAGAGAAACCTTAGCCATGTATATGAAGTATTAAGCAATCATAAGAACATCAGTTTTAACAGTGTTCATGATAGCCCCTACATTGTTATAGTGTGAGCTTAATCAAAAGAGAACACACTTTAGAAGAGATTATGTCAATTACATTAGTGGTTACTGAACTTTTATTACGGATTTGAAATGTTATTAACTTTATCCAAGGTAGAAACAATTAAACCACCTTGATGATTTTATTGACAATAAAGCGCAGTTGCAACTGACAAATAATTTATGCAAACCTGCCCAATAGTTTTCGTGCATCCTAAAACAATAATTTAAGCTAGAACCATGTGTTCATTTGAAGGACAAAAGAAGCAACAGTAAATCAGATAAAGTAGCTAACCAACGCACGCATTACATACACATACACACAAAAGAGGATCCATCATGCTTTGATCAAGGCAAAAGATGGTTTATTTCTTATTGAAACTATTAATAAACGTAGCAATATCGAGTATTTGTACAGTGAAAAAGATGAAAGGGAGAAAGAAAGAGCAATCGAGATGAAGAACGTGGCAGTTAATGGCCAATTGTGACGGTTGCTTGGCGGTGGTAATTTAATGGAAACAAGTAATACGTGTAACTTTATTCATTCTGCTTTTTTGAACTAAATGCTTCGAATATCAACGGCCATTCTGGGCCTTGTTACTCTGAGCGGCTTATTGTCAAAAGCATATGCAAGTTCACCAACGGTAGATCTAACCTTAGTTGCTCCATGGTTTGCCCCCGATTTCCTTTTGGAAGTCGCGTAAGTCTAATGACCAAGACATGTTCAACATCTAATCTCTCATGTAGTGAAACTATAGCTGTGCATAACGAGGAAAGCTATTATAGGTTTATTGATACAATCAGAACGCATCAAGAGCCTTACAACTGGACTCCTCAAAAGGTTTACGAAGAAGCTGTCAAAGCTGCAGCTTCTCTAAAAGAAATTGACGTGGACTTATTAAAATTATCGCTTTCTCTTCATGAGGCTGCACCACGTATTGAAGCATATTTCCAGTACTACAATCAATTGGTTACAGCCAATCTGACAGAATATGATCAACAGTGCGATGTTTGGGTCCATATAGGAAATAAACAGGTTTGCGACCTTGAATTGTTGACAGATACGATACAAGATTTGAAAGACACTGCTTATGTCAACCTCTTGCCTTTTGATCATATTACTGATGACACGTTACAAAAGCCAACAGTTGTGTTATACACAGATAGCTTTTCAGCAAAGTTCAACATATTTTACACGTGGCTCAAGGATGCTGCAGATCAGCATAAAATTGCATACATCATTCGCTATAGACCTCCTGTCTCCGATAGCATGAAAAAGCCACTTTATCTTTCAGGATATGGTGTTGAGATGGCATTGAAAAAGACAGACTATCTTGTGATTGACGACAGAAAGACACAGGGTATTTATCAGAGAATAAATCATTATTACATAGTAATCTAAATTTCTTTTAAAGATGACAAACCACAGCATGTCTTGAAGGAGAAATTACTTAACTTTGGAAAGAAACTTAATCATGCACTATTTGACACAACTGAGGAAGCAAGTATTCAGCCGCTAACTCCGTCAAAGATTGGTCAACTGGGACTAAAGGCCGCTCAATACATTGCAAAATCCAACAATCCATTGGAAACCATGTCACTTCTAGCCCAAGACTTTCCAAAGTATGCAAAGAGTATTAGCATGATTGAACTAGATAAGGAATTTGAAAATGAGGTTCTGGAAAACCAGTATTCATCCGTTCAAGGTGGTTTAAACGCTGTATGGATTAACGGCAAAGCGCTTGAACTTCGTCAAGTGGATCCGTTCTAGTAAGTGCTTTCTATTGTCTCTTTTTTAAAGAAAAAAATTAATTAGGGTTAAATTATAGCCTTGCTCGTCTTCTTCGTGACGAAAAAAAGCTTATCCAGTCAATACAGGCTATCGGATTTTCCTCCAGGGAAGCTATTGAACTTATATCTAATCCAATACTATCCGAGGGGGAAAGCATGGGCAATGATATTATAAGTGGTGTATATGATGTTAGAGATACCCCTGAAAACCCATTTGTAGTATGGTGGAATGATATTGAGAAGGACACACAATATGAAGACTGGCCATCCAATATCATGGAGGTATTTAAAGCTATGCTTTCTACTTAAAACAATACTAAAAGAACAATAGATATTAAAGCCAACCTATCCAGGGCAGCTACACCCCATAAGAAAAAACATTTACAACCTATTGCTAGTTGAGGATTTAGCTTCCACTGCATCTCTGTCTAGGATTGTAAACGAAATTCAAACCATGATCAAGCGTACCATTCCCATAAGGTTTGGGCTCATAGCTCTTGTTGAAGATGATAATTCAGCTTGTAAGTTGATAATATATATACAGCAAAACATGTTTATATATTTATTATGATATTACAGCTACCTTAATGGCACGCGCTCTATATTACCTTGTAAAAAACAATGGTAAAGGAGATGCCATAAAGTTCTTGGAAACGGTAATGCCAATAGGGTTTCTGCAAGAAACAAGTTACTTACTCTCTTTCTTTTTTTACAGATCCTGGAGCTTACTAGTTCTAATGGATTGGATCGAGCAACGACTGAAATGATTGAAAGAGCATTCAATGGGCATATGTCCATAGCTCATGAGACCTTAAGTTCTGAACAAGTCATCGACCAGTCACAAGCTTTTATCACAGCTACACGCCAATTTATGAAACGCATGGGAATAAGTCAATCCAAGCCAAACGAGGGCACCATGTTTATGAATGGAAAGCTTTTGGAGTTTGACGAAGAAAGAGTAAAATTCAAAAGGATGATGCTGGGTAATCTGAATATTAATCTATTGAGTAGCCATGGGTTCATTCTTTAATGCCTCATTTGACTGAGCAAACAAGATTTATACAGACAATGGTACATCCTGTTGTTTATAACGTACATAAGCTTGCTGACCATTCGTACACTTTAGGCATATAATCAAGAGTTTGATCCAGATCTCGATTATTATGAATACACACTAAGCCAGCCTAATGTTGTTCAGAAACGCAATCCATATATTTTGGTATCGCATACTAACCCACTTCGTATGCATACATTTGATGCAATCACAGAGTCGAAAGGATTAAAGTACTTTCAGAATGGTAAAGGAGCACTCCAAAAAAGAATTCATAAAGACTAAATCGCTATGTAGACCATGAATCCTTTGTGAAAACCAACCTTTGGGTTGTATCTGATTTTGATACAGCAAATGGACTGAAGCTATTGCTAGAGGCTATTTTGTTTGCAGTATAGTATTGCATATTGTTCTTTGTTATACAGACTAACGTTTTGAGTTTAGGAAGCTAATCCCAAAGTCAGAGTTGCCTTTATACACAAGTCCATATACAAGGCGCCTACAAAAGATACAAATGAGCCAGAATTTTCGGACCTTTTATGCAAGCTTATTTATGAACAAGATACCAATCTCGCCACTTTAAAAGAGATCCTACAAAAGACAAATTTGTTTGCAGACGTTGATGGTAGTAATAGCAGCCAGAAGCCTGGTGAAGTGGCTATACAAATAAATGGTGATGGACTAGAGCCGGTGCCTATTATACCCGGTACTCCTATTACCGAAATAGTTACAGAAGCTCAGAGAGAAAAATGGTCAAACCTCAATACAGCTCTTGTAAAAGACGGACTAGAGCCTGACTTTACTGGAATTATCATGAATGGAAGGGTAACTATACATTTCATATAAAATACTAGTTTTACTGAATTATTTTTAGGTGATAGGTCCTTTGTCTCTAAGCGAAAACATACAGTTTACAAACCAAGACTTTGAGACATTGTACCAATATGAGAATGCTAAGAGAATTATGCACGTTGAAAAAGCGATTATTGAAAGTGAAAAGGACTTGCAGAATAATACATCTGATGCTGTTATGAAGCTCACTGCTATTATCGAAAATGACAAGGCGCAGGCTACTCAAGATGTTATTGAGAGTCATGAACCTGTGCATCGAAGAAGACAATATCAAAAGATACCTCGTACGCAATATACTCAATTTACAGCTGGCAATTATTCTGACGACACATTTTTGGAAATTGGGCTGATCATTGACCCACTAAGTGAAGCAGCTCAAAAAATAGCACCTATTGTCTACACACTTTCTGAGATAGAAGGTGTCTCAGTGGTTACTTACCTAAACCCTGTATCCACTCTACAAGAGTTGCCACTAAAGAGATTCTATCGATATGTATTTGATAAGGAGCCTCATTTTGATACGAATACTGGAGAGAAGCAAGTACCTACCGCATATTTTGCCAATTTACCTGTCAAGCCGCTGTACACCTTGGGTGTCGAAACTACTAACGCTTGGCATGTTACTGTCAAAGAGGCCAACATGGACTTGGACAACATCTTGTTGACATCAATCCCTGACAATCAACATGGAGTATCTGCAGTCTATGAGCTGCAGAGTATACTTGTTGAAGGACACTGTCTTGATTCGATAAACAAATCACCACCTCGTGGGCTTGAATTCGAGCTAATCTCTCCCTCTGGACTGGACAAGAAAGACACCCTTGTCATGGCCAACCTTGGCTATTTTCAGCTAAAAGCCTCTCCTGGTATCTGGAAACTAGCTCTAAGAGAGGGTCGTTCTTCCTCTGTATATTCTATACAGGACGTGGGAGCCAATGGAAAATGGAACTGGAATACAGAGTTCAATGGTTCCAAAAAAATTGATGACACTTTAGCATTGATTTCTTTTGAAGGACTTACAATCACACCACTCGTTCATAAGAACCCTGGAATGGAGGATGAGGATGTGCTAGAACCAGCGCAGCCCAAGTCAAAAGAGAATACCGGTGGACTTTGGTCTTCTATAAATCAAAAGTAAAGCACGATTGTGTGACATGTAACAAAGTTTATTAACTCATCATCATTTAGGATATTTGGAAAAAAGGAAACTGAAAGCGCATTATCATTGACTAACAAGGCTACTAATGCTGAAATCAACATATTCTCAGTTGCCTCTGGTAAATTGTATGAAAGATTCCTTTCTATAATGATGGCATCTGTCATGAAGCACACCAAGAGCACTGTAAAGTTCTGGTTTATTGAGAACTTCTTATCACCCGAGTTCAAGGTATTTGACAGCTACAGGACTCTATAAACAATAGAATAACAATTACAATAGGACTTTGTTCCACATATGGCAAAAGAATATGGGTTTGACTATGAGATGGTAACATACAAATGGCCAGCATGGCTGAGAGCTCAACATGAAAAACAACGTACTATTTGGGGCTACAAGATTTTATTCTTGGATGTATTGTTCCCATTGAGCCTGAATAAAGTAATCTTTGTGGATGCGGATCAGGTAAATGCATTAAAGTACAATATCAAAAGTTATATTAACAGCATTTGATTAGATTGTCAGAACTGACCTAAAGGAGCTTATTGATATGGACCTTCATGGTGCACCTTATGGTTATACACCTTTCTGTTCAGATCGAACAGAAATGGACGGCTTTAGATTCTGGAAAGAAGGGTACTGGAAGAACCATCTGAGAGGAAAGCCTTATCATATTAGGTATGCAACTATCATAATGTTTTTTCTGTATATTTAATTTTATTTATGGGGACACGTAGTGCTCTTTATGTAGTTGACTTGGTGCGTTTCCGACAGTTAGCAGCAGGTGATCGTCTGCGTGCCCAATATCAGCAGCTTAGTGCAGATCCAAACTCTTTAGCTAATCTTGATCAAGACTTACCCAACAACATGCAACATATTGTTCCCATCTATTCTTTGCCACAAGAATGGCTCTGGTGTGAAACTTGGTGTAGTGATGAGAGTCTTAAAAAGGCCAAAACTATCGATCTAGTAAGTATAAAAAGTTTCATCAAACGAAATAGCATTCTTAAAGTCTCATTCCGTAGTGCAACAATCCTTTGACAAAGGAACCAAAGTTGGATCGTGCTCGTCGTCAGGTGCCAGAATGGGAAACGTATGATAAAGAAATTGACGAGCTACGTAAGCGGATTACGGCAGATGGAAGCTCTAACTTACCTAAGCAAGACAAGCCCTTTATAAAGGAACACTTGAAAGATGAACTTTAGAAGAGTTAGTAAACCAATAAAAGGAACAACTGATGTCTCTTAAACTTTAATAAATTCATAATGAACAGTATACGCTTATGTTGAATGGGCAAATACTTTATTACACAAACAAGAGCATATATATAAAAGAAATATGTGTTTGAACTGTTTGGTTTTTTTTATTAATCACTTTAACAAGAATCTTTTTCTGTCTCCCAACGCCAATCAACGTTTTTTTTCTCCATCAATTATCAGAGAAGGAGAAGTACTGTCGCCAACTAATGTACTAATGTCTGATAATTGTGTCTCTTTACTATCCTGTGTGGAACTACCAGATCTATTTTCGTATAAAGACTTTGCAACTGCTGGAGGGTACGTAACGTAACTTTGCAAGCTACTTGTGGAAGAATGGCTCACTTTGTCATCTTGGTAACCTTCTGACACAAGATCCTTTTTGCCTTTCATGTTTGCGCTACGTTGGCCGTATTGCCTGATGGACACTTTCTCGTTCTGAACAGAATCATCCAATGGAGACTCTACCGTATAGATCAACGTAGGAGTAAGAGGCGTATAGGCTAACGATAAGAGCGTGGCAAGCAACACAAGTACCCATGAGAGAACAGTCAAGTATGCTAAAGAAAAAAAAAAAGATATATGTTTGCTTTCGTTGTATAATGTTGCAAATCACTTACTCATTATAACTGAGACGCGAAAGATATTACAAATGTTGTTGTATCTGTCAGAAGCAATAGAAATTGCTGAATTACAAGCCGTTACTAATAATGTCATGAGTAAATGTTTTTTGACTTGTCATGATTTGTATATATATATACCTTGAGATGGCTTCGCAACTATAGTCGTAGTTGTTATCAGCAAAGCTATCAAGACAATGGATATCATGATTTCCACTGCTAACAACGGATACGAATATGAGAATGATATTCTTGTAACGGTTCTACTATGAGTCAAGAGTAAAAGTGTAGAGCTAAAGAACGAGACGAGTCCCAAGAGAAGTAGGCTATAGTCTTCAAGATCAGGCTTTCCGATAATGTCGTCCAAGGGCGTGTTCTTCACATTATACAACAGAGCAGAGTTTAAAGAGATAACGAGTATGCTATTCAATTGCACCAACATCAACATGATAACATGACATATGGAGAGACACCGCTGGTTTGCTAATGACATGTTTGTGTGTATATAATGAAATAGTTTGATGGAGAAAAGCAAAGAACAACTCGTTTTCAAATGTGTAGTCATCCTTTTATATATATATGCTTTCAAGTGACTAAAGTTACTATATACACATTTGCCTAGTTTAATATCAGCTCCTTACCTTTGCGGGGATATCGTTCTCATTATGTATAAACATGTATATAAAATTAGCTTGTAAAGACATAAATCAAAGCTGATATATGTATTCCTATTAAACATATATCTTCTCTTTTTGATTATATATTTATGATATTTTCAACTCAAAGTTCATGTTTGGTTATACCTTTCTTTAATATATAATTTCTGTCCCTAATCCCTTGCATATTTAATTTCCTGTTTTAGATGTATTAAACAAACAAGGGAGGATGAAGATCTTTCAAAAGCGCCCAATGAGACATCTTTATTATTCTTTGAATTAATTAAATTAAAACATATTTCAAAGCATCTAAAGCAAAACAAAAAGTGTAATCATGCATGCACTATTTATTTAGTCTTAACGGATAACGGTACTCTAACAGCCTTCCCCCTTCTAAGAGGGTCAAACAAATGATTATTAAATGTGTATTGATCATTATGTGGAATATCTAATTTTCATCATATGCTTCTTTGGAAAGCATTGATTCCTTTTCTATAAGATTTTATTGTCGAATTCAGGGGAATCAAGTTTTTTTTTTTTTTAAAAAAAAAAAAAAAAAACCTTCACAGACATATAATATCATTCTACAGGTGCAACTTTTAAAGAGTTTGTTCAGCAACTTGTAATGAAGTTGAATAAATACATCTTATTATGGACAATATAAGAATTCATTACAATGCAAAGTTGTGTGGGTGGATTGGAACAAGCACAGGCTTAAACTTCTTCCACCTTGTGCCATTAAAAAGATATACTATTGTAAATCATATTGGATCATTTAACAGACACAAATTAATCACTAGTTATAGGCCACAGTGAAAGAAAGGCAAACATTAAGAGACTTTTATTATGGGAAAAAGATAAATAGACAAAGAAGAACTTTGGAAATAAAGACTAGAACTGTAAAAGATCGCATAACTTCCAAAGAGCGACAATTTGTACTTCAAGATTCGAAAAGATTTCACCCAGTTATGGCAATCGGGAATCAAGGATTAGGAATTGGCAGAGCTATCAAGGCATATGAGCGTAGAGGAAGCAAATGGCTACAATGATAACATGAACGCCATGCAACTACCATAATCACCAATGAGTACATGACCTCTCAACTCTGTATCTACTGCTATCATCATCTTGCTCACCCAGTCTTGGGTACATCACGTTGTTTCAACACAGATTGCCCAGCTTTCAAGTGCGGAAGAATTACCAGCAACAGAGACGTGATGTCAATCGCAGCAATTGGGATTTTGGCCATGGCAAATATAATACTCAAGAAGGACCTTCCTCCCTTTTGCCCAAAGCTCAGCCTACAACTTTAAAAAAAGACACATATATGCTTTTTCCCCGTTCACCTGAAGAAATACACACTTCTAAGAAGTGGTAGTGCGACGAGCTGGCTTCATAGCACAAGCTATTTGATTACCATTGGATAAGTAGAAACCAGTTCATATATGATTCGGTTTCGTATTAACGATTTTTTCCTTTTTTGGAATTTTGACATTTACCCTCACTGATCTTAAATTTTTAGAAAAATAAAAAAAGTCACCTTGAGTGAACCTTTTTTTTTTTTTTGGCACTATTTTTTTTTCTTTAATAAGATGAGTGTTGTTGAGAAAATCAAGGTAACCAAGCCTATGAAAAAAAAAAAAAAAAAGAGGTCATTATTAACAGTAATCAATAGGAAATCGAAGTATGTTTGGAATTATCGATTCTTTTTTTAAATTTACTAAATTCAGTTCAATGTAGAATGAAATGGCCAAGACCCAAAAAAACAAGGCCACTTCATATCACTTGGGTCAACTGAAAGCAAAACTTGCAAAATTAAAGCGTGAATTACTTACACCTTCTGGAGGAGGAGGTGGTGGTGGAGGTAGGTGAAACTTGACATTGATCATTCTTTATCTAAACATAAACAAAGTTGGCTTTGATGTTGCAAAGACGGGTATTGCTAGAATTGGTTTTGTTGGTAATTAGCAATAATACACCCTATTATTTTCTTGACACAGTAGTACTGAATGATACATATCATAGGTTTTCCTTCTGTGGGTAAATCAACTCTAATGTCTAAATTGACGGGTACCACTTCCGAAGTGGGTGCCTATGAATTCACTACCCTTACAACAGTTCCTGGTGTTATTCAATATAAAGGAGCCAAGCTTCAAGTAAACATCATTTGCTTATATGTGATTCATTCACCTTATTTGCATAAATAGATTCTTGATCTTCCCGGTATTATCGAAGGTGCCAAGGATGGTAAAGGTCGTGGTCGTCAAGTCATTGCAGGTAAGAAAAAAAGAATGCATTGGACATATTGAATTAACTTGGCTTTAGTTGCTCGTACATGTTCACTTATTTTCATTGTTTTGGATGTATTGAAGCCTATGACCGACAAACGAATTATCGAAAAAGAACTTGAAGGTTTCGGTATCAGATTGAACAAGAAGCCACCTGCAATTATTTTTAGAAAGAAGGAGAAGGGTGGTATCAACATGACCAACACCGTTCCTTTAACTAAAGTCACATCTGAAGAAGTAAAGGCTGTGTTGAGTGAATATCGTATCCATAACGCAGATGTAGCCTTCAAGGAAGACGCATCGATTGATGATCTCATTGATGTTGTAGAAGGAAACCGGTAAGAGGACAACAATCTTTTTTTTAGCTTGGCTACTGACTCTGTTTTAGTATCTATATTCCAGCTATCTACGTTTTAAACAAGATTGATCAAATCTCTATTGAAGAATTAGACCTCATATACAAGATTCCTAATGCAGTTCCCATTTGCGCAAACTATGAATGGAACTTTGATGAACTGTTAGAAGTGATGTGGCAAAAGTTAAACCTTGTCAGAATCTATACAAAACCAAAAGGAAAACTGCCAGATTATGAGCAACCAGTTGTGCTCACACAAGATAAGTGTACTGTAGAAGATTTCTGTAATAGCATTCACAAATCGATCATTGATCAATTCAAATGGTATATATGACCTATGAAAAGCTTTACATGTTGATATTCATACCTTTTATTAGTGCATATGTTTGGGGAGCTTCTGTAAAGCATAACCCACAAAAGGTTGGTAAAGAACATGTCTTGATGGATGAAGATGTTGTTCAAATTGTCAAAAAGTAAGTAACCAACTCATTGTTATTTAAAGCAAATGTTAACTTTATTATATTAATAGAATTTAGATTAAGTAATGATAACAATAAAACATGTATAAATGCCACTTTTTTTTTAATCATCAATTAGGGGTCGATGTTATCACCATACACTTTGGTGTATTTACCTAAGGCCCAGATACTGAAAGAAAACTTGTAGTTGGGATAAGAGATTGCACCTATGTACAACTATATATTAGAGATAGAGCTAACTTGAAGTATATTTTACTTACAATTTTTGTTAAAGACACCTTCAATAGCTTCTTGTAGCCATTCACCGTTTGGTTGTTGTCTTTTCATGATTAGCTCAATACCTCGACGAATAGGTTCTTTATGAGGATATTTAGCATCTAAAAGGGCCATCACGGCCCATGCAGTGTTTACAACTTGAGACTGTTCATGCTGACAATATTGATGGACTTCGCATGATTTGTAACTTTCGCCCCAACCGCCATCCTCTTTCTGGTGTTGAATCAAAAAGTCACAGCCTCTTCTTGAGCTATCGGAGTTTTCATAGTATTCTCCTACACTTGATAGACTGGAAAGAGCAAACATAGCGGCATAAGTATAACAAATACCCCATGCACCGTACCATGAACCATCTTGGCCTTGCACACTTTTAATATACTTTACGCATCCCTGACATGCTGCCTCAATTTCATCTCTGCGATAATCAGGGTTTAATTTGATAAAAGTACGGAGTGCATGCAGGACAGCTGTTGTACATTCAGGGTATTCATACTCCACCATAATATTGCCAAATACTTCAGCAGGATTAAAAGCTTCCAAAAGTGGTGTGGCGCGATTCTTTTCATAGCTACCATACCCGCCGCTACGGTTTTGCATGGACAGTAAGATGTCAACGGAATCAAGAAAGCGTTCTGGATTGATAATCGTAGGCATTTCAGGTATGGTCTGAAGGATGATAGATGACTTGAGACCTTCAGCTGTACAATCAGAAACAGTATATCCCTGACGCTTTGTACTGAATGGCCAGGCTCCCTTCGTAGCTTGACGGTTACAGCGTTCCATATCCTTGGGGTTCTCTCTGATCTGCAAAAATAGATGAAATGAGATATAAGAAAAACAGCGTCTAATATCAATTACCTGAGTCATGTCCAGAAATTCCAGAACCTTTACCATATTTTCACGATAGATGGCGTTCTTTGCCAAACCAGCCTCTGCGCATGCCTGTGCGATAAAAGCTGTATCCCAAAGTTGAGTACCGTCTGTGCCATTCATCATCATGCCTTCTGCACCCAGCCAAAGGAAATGAGCATTACGCTCAACATGCAGCTTGAATTCAAGCGAATCTTTGCCCGAGTGATGATACCAGACAAGCCAATTCATTGCTTTATTCACAGGGCCGATACCCATATAGTATGTGTTTTCATCTTCCATACGAATCTGCTCTACTGCTTCTTTTAATCCATAGTCTCTGAGAGCAGTGAACTTTTTGGCAAAGGATTCATAATAGGTCAAAGCATCTATTGACAAAGACAGTGTCAGTGATACATGCGAACATTTTAAGTAATAGCATTACAGTTGACGACGTCCATTATTTTTGTATGAGGCATGTATAAGTCGACTTCAGCAACGTTATTCCTTTGCTTGTCCCAATTGATCGTGTCATAAGGTTGCACATAAAGTTCTTCACGTAAAGATTGGGTGAAGGTAGTCAGAGGCGCAGTGACTCGGTGGCCATAGATATAGCCCATAGAAAGGTAAACATTTCGACAATGAACCCACCAGTTACCCGGATAAAGAGGGACGAACTTTGGTAAAGCCCTAACAATAATTTTCAATATGATCCATTAGACAACCCGTGCATTATACTAACCACAACTCGGGTGGAATTGGATTCACACCATTCCAGTCATACACGCCCAAGACAGCAAGCCAAAATTTTCCCCAAGCAGGAATTGCAGCAGCTCCACCATGTCTATGAAGAGTATTTCTTGCTTTTACCATTGCTGGATGGTCTGGACCAAGACCCAAGATACGAAGGGTTACATAGTTTAATGCTGTACCAAAGACGGTAGAAACACCTTCAATATGAATTCCCCAACCACCATCTTCCTTGTTGGCTTTATTGAGTAAATACCGAATCATTTCAAGTCGAGTGGGTTCATGAACAGGTGTACGAGTGACATAGTGAGCGATGATTAAGCCAGGTAATAGAAACCTAGGTTTAATAGAAACGGTTAGCGATCACGGCATATATATACTTCATACATTCTATTTACATAGGTCCGCCATATTCTCCTGCCCAATGACCATCCTCAGTTTGAAGACGTCGATAAAATTCGAAACCATTACGCGCTGCTTCCAAAGGTGTCTTTGCTTTTTCTAGTTCAGGGACGTCCTATAAGAACGGCTGTTAGCTCATCAAGCCTTTGTGTAGGGAGCATAGTGTTATTTTCAGTTTACAATAGGAAGACCCAAGTGATATTTTTCACAAATAGATTGAGGTCGTGCTTGACGTTCCTGTTCTGTTTCGAGATATTGCCAGATTTGTGAACCTTCATCAACATTTAATCGCCAATGAGTGAGATCAGTAAATTGAGGATTTGCAGTCAAGTTGAGTTTAGCTGAAGGAAAATCCTCTGGTAGAATTCCCATTTTGATATTTAGTTGTTAATAAAGTGAAAGAGATAGAAAAAGCGTGTGTGTGTATATTTATCAGTCAATTTGATGTATCGGTAAGAGTACCAGAAGGAATAAATGTTTATCCGTCCAATTAGGAGCCAAATGCAGCAAAGTTGAAAATCATGATTTTTACAAGTATTTGTTGTACAGAACAAATGAAGAGGTATTTTATTCAAGGGGAAGAAAAGTACGATGTTCTTTCTCTTGGTTGAAATCAATAGTCGTGTTTTATATTTTAATACAATTTCCTTGATTTACCTGGTATATATATATATATATATGTCTAATATCAGTACTCATAAATCGAGTCTTGGGTTCTTAAAGCTCTCTTAAAAGACCCGTTTATTTGACTTTAAATTTTATCACTTATGAAGCTTCCTTTTTGCTTACATCAATCATTTTTAGCTGCAAAACTGTTTACGTTAATATGCTTCGACTCATCATTAACTGTGTAATAACTGTTAACTATATTCACTGTTTTACATCTTTGCATGTGACCACAAAATGATAGTATTAATACTCAATAAATTCAATATAGTCAAAAATCGCGTGATTATCATATCCTGCAATGTTTGATAGGCTGCAAATTGAAGAAAAGTTGGCTCAGCCGTGAATTGTCTTGATAAATGTTCATTGTTCTGGTATAATGACTCAAGCTTTCCCAAGCCTTCAATACTAAGATAGTAACATTAAAATCCAAGGCATGAGGCCTACTGGTTACTGATATCGAGACTGATCATCATAGTCCAAGCTTCTCTTTTTTGCCATGAAAAAAAGTCTGTTTATTTGTGACAAAGAATGACAATAAAAGCTATCTCTGATTGGCTAATACACTTAGTGAAGGAGCCTATTTAAGTTGTCAACAAAGGGGCAGTAATGATTTCATTGTTTCATGTTTTCGGTATTTTGACATCAGAAGATGTGATATATCTTGAAGCTGCATAAAACATAAAGGGTTCCATGATAAAACATCCTGTAGTAAAAAGGCGAGATCAATAAAGGCATATCATTGTTAAAGTTCGACCATGCGCGCTCTTACATGAGTGGATATAATAGTAGCTAATGTAGTCTACGTTGAAGGTAAAAATGCTCATGACTTCAACTTTTAAGCCTATTGTGCTTATTATGATACCCTATAAACATAATCAGCATGTATACAGCGCGTATTTGATATCTTTGCTTTGATATATCTGTAGTATATATACTCCCTTGTTTTATATGCATAACGATGCTTGAATAAAGGCTGTTTATGACCTATATCACTTTAAGACAGTCGACTATTTTTTTTAGAATAAAACATCTGCTAATAAGGTTACGCGTATTGAGCATGTATTTTTAGTTTTTAACGGCCATCTCCTTTTTTTCTTTGTTCTTTTTTCTTTATCTTTTAAATCTTAAACTTTTTTATGATGAATCAAAAAGGCGGTTCTCAAACGCTTGCTCAAGGAACAGCTTCTGAAGAAACAACCTATTCTCAGTATATGAAGCCATACGGCCCTTACTCAGATGAGAGCGATATTCAATCTGATAGTCAGCAAGCTACTGAATCTTGGAAGCATGAGAATGACGCTTCAACCAATACCAAATATGATACTATCAAGCACAAGTCCAAGACAAACTTATCTTCTCAAACTAAGGACACTGTGCTGAACTCACCTTTCTATGATGAGACATCAGATTATGTAACAGACGATGTTAAATCAAGCACATTCCATGCCTCAGATGAAGTACATTCCCCTACGCCTGGTGCGGCCGCTTTACAGAAGCAGATTGACCCATACAATGAATATCTTACAAGTGAGCTTTCTGATGTAGTTAAACTACCAGTAAAGCACTCTCAGCAAAAGATGCCCTTGACAGAGAAAAATGAATACTCTAAGTATCATGAAAAGTCGAAGATGCATCAAGATATCGTAAAAACAAAGGATGCTCAATCTCTTTACTCCTATAAGCTCAGAAGGCAGCCAACCCTTTTTTCAATCGTTAGCCCTGATGAGCAAAGCCAACCTGATCAGTTCTTTTCTGATGGTGATTATATCCCTGAAGTTGTACAAGAAGAGCCCATACATACTGAGGATGCGGCTAATAGCAGCACTATTAATGATGATACCTTTGAAAGCGTCCAAAATGAACCTGTTGATACCAAAAACACTGCTGCTACTGCTACTGTTGAAGAGGATACCCCAAGAGATCTTCAAGAAGAACCTATGAGGATAGATAACGCCTCTAGCACAACAGCTTCTAACAAAGCCTGTTCAAGTCAGCTTAGTGACCGCGTTACCCAAGATACATACCAAGAAGCACAGACCACCAATAAAAATACATCAACTGCACAAACAAATGACGATCAGAGCACAGAAAATATAGCAAATCCATCCACTACCACCAACATTGTAAATAACCAGCATGAATCTATTACAGATGAAAATGTAAATAATGAACTGAATAAGCTCTTGCAAGACAAATACAGCCCACTTGCAGAAGCAGACATGAAGGTAAATAAATGAAAATACAGCATCAAAATTGAATCTAACGCTTTTTTTTTTTTTTTAAAAAAAAAAGAAACTCATCCCTCAAGTATTAAAAAAACTGCCCGCGAAAAAGCGCAATGAGCTTTGTTCATATCTACCCTTGCCTGATGTTAACTCTGGAAAGATAACACAGGACTTTATAAAGCATGGCAATACTATTTTCTGGGAATCAGCTACACTCTGGCAGCAGTTCCTTTCTGCTGGATCCTTCAATCCATCCAGAAAAAGAAAGGAGAGAGAAGAAAATACCGAAAGCCCTTTTAAAGATGATCAATATGAAGAATACTGGGGCGCCAAAATTGAAAAGGCTCGCAAGAAGAAAACAAGGACTTCCAGCAGAAACAAATAAATGCATAATGTATTGAATTTAAACAATGCAAAAGTAAATTAGTTCATATCCTTATAAAGAACTTTTGCGCATCTGGCGACCTTACTTGCTCAAAAAGCTTCCTTTCGCTTTAATAATCATCTAAAAAGGAGTGACCAGCCTCGGTCAGTTACTTGGCACTTTTTCTACTGGCTACCTGCTATGACTCAAGATTACTTATTAATATCAGTACGATTCATATATGAATGGAAATGCATACGAATGCAGAGCTATTATAAATAACAAAATATAATTATTACCGAATACAACAGGAATATAAAACAACGGTTGGTCAGGTAGAGCTCATTTTTTTACTTGATATGCTCAAGTAACCGTAGGGATGTTAAGGTTCTGTTATGTATTTAAGAAAGAACATATATATTGATGATTACATGAAAGTCATGCTTAGACTGTAAAAGAGTCATTATCTACAAAAAGAATCTGCGCTATTTACAATAAGAGATAAGTGATGCTATACATCAAATTCATTGTTTTTTTATTTGTCCTTTTGTAAAATAAAGAAAGGACAGGAGCTATTATGTTTTTGTACACTCATTCAATGTGAATGGCTTGTAATACAGTATCAGTTACGGTGCTATTTTAAAACACTATATCTTCAAAATACATAGTGAGTGTGATCATAGCTACTGAAATAAGCTGACAAAGCACTCGTTATCATCAGCCTTAGACGTAGTCACTTGTTTTAAGTGGGTAAACCTTTTGTCGCTATAACTATCACACTCCTTATAGTAGGCATTGCTTTTTAATGGGATCACCCAGTCCACTTGACACAGGCACGTGTAATTAAGAATTAAACACCCAAAGAAGACAAGAAAGAAATAAACATATAAAATATCAGTTCATGGAACAAGAGTTACCTAAAACTCGGGTAACTATGGCACTGCCCCTCTTTCCCCGCAAAATAACTTTTTTATGCAGTCAGTTACCAGGTTACAATATCACGTGAATTCATACCCAGTTACGATAAATATAAATAGTCCTTAGTCAATAACAATGTCTTTTCTTTACGAAAAAAGATTATCTCTTATATTTGCCCAAAATGACTGTAAATGAAGTTTATGAAAAGGTGATGACTATCAAGTCCATCAATCCACTCGTAAAGAACGTCGAGTATGCTGTTAGAGGAAAGTTGGCTATACGTGCAGAAGAGCTTAAACAAGAACTGGAAGAGGGTAAAGAATATCCTTTTAGTAGGGTCGTCAACTGTAATATTGGTAATCCTCAGCAATTGAATCAACAGCCTATTAAGTTCTACAGACAGGTAAATAAATAAATAAATTACTTTTTTTTGCAAAACTAATAAATATACTAGGTATCTTCTCTTTGTGATAACCCTGATTTACTGAAGAAGGAAAATTATCATCTTGTGTCCCAATTATACCCCACAGATGCTATAGAAAGAGCCAAGAAATTGATGAAATCCATTGGTAGTGTTGGTTCATATTCTCACTCACAAGGGGTTCCGGCTATTCGCCAAACGGTCGCGCAGTTCATCAAGGAGAGAGATGGCCATCCATCTGACCCCAACCATATCTTTTTGACGCAAGGTGCATCTTCAGGTGTACAGACATTGCTCTCCCTGTTGACTGAAAACTCAAATAGTGGCATCATGATCCCTATCCCACAGTACCCACTCTATTCCGCCTCACTTGCTTTATATGGTGCAACACCTGTTCCTTATTATCTAAATGAAGCCACAGGATGGAGCTTAGACGTTGATCAGCTCACAGATGTAATCACACAGGCACGAAAGGAAGGTACAGACGTAAGGGCACTTGTTATTATCAACCCAGGAAATCCTACTGGCCAATGCCTTACAGCAAAGAATATGGAAGAGATTGTTAGCTTCTGTTATCAACAAAGAATTGTGTTGTTGGCAGATGAGGTGTACCAAACAAACATTTATCAACCAGAAGAAAGACCATTCGTCAGCTTCAAGAAAGCCTTGATGGATCATCCCATACCCGAAGTAAGAGAAAACTTGGAACTGGTTTCATTCCACTCTATTTCAAAAGGAATGATTGGTGAATGTGGACGTCGTGGTGGATACTTTGAATGTGTAAACTTGGACAGTCAAGTATTAGAACAAATATACAAGATGGCCTCTGTTTCTCTTTGTCCAAATGTCCACGGACAAATCTTGGTGGATTTAATGTGCAACCCTCCCAAGCCAGGGGACCCTTCTTATGAGTCATACAAGCAAGAAATTGAGTCTATTTATGAATCTTTACGTCGCAGATCTAAAAAACTAGAACAAGTATTCAACAGAATGGAAGGCGTCACTTGTCAACCAGCTCAAGGATCTATGTACTTGTTCCCTCAGATAACCTTACCACCAAAGGCTGTTGAAAAGGCTAAAGAGTTAGATATGGCTGCTGATGCTTACTATTCATTAGCTATGCTCGAAGCAACTGGCGTTTGCGTTATACCAGGTAATACAAAAAAAATAATTCACACGGTTCCGTCACTAAGTAACCCAACCCCACAGGTTCCGGATTTGGACAAAAGGAAGGAACATGGCACTTTAGATCCACATTCTTACCTGAAGAGCACTTGTTTGACGAATTCTGTGGTGCTTTAGAAAAATTCCATAAAGAATTTATTGAAAAGCATACCTAAGTCATCTCTGCTAAACAATACAATTGTTGATCTAAAAGTAATAAATTCTTTCCATTTGAATGCCATCTTGCCTTTCTGATAAAGAAATCACCTACTCCATTAGTTAGCATTTGTTTATTTTGCTGTTGTTTTCTCTTTTTTACTTGTTGGTACTGTGGATGGTATAAACTCTATTCCTCCTTCGGTAGTCAATTTCATAAAATGTATATTTTCATCGCCGCAAACAATTGCCAATATACCATCTTCTCTTGGATTCCATAGGACTTGTTTAATAGTGTTTCTAAATAAGACAATATAACGGCATATTAAGCGATTTACATCCCAAATCCATAATGCATTTGGTATATTATCTAATGCCCAATGATTAAAGCAAAGGATTACATTACACTATTAGCTTGTAGTTTACCATTTCTACTGGCAAGATAGTTTCCGTCTTTACTGAATTGGCATACTCCGATCCCTACTTTTGGATTAGGTTGATTGTAGTCTAATCTAAGAGAGGGTAAATTAAATGGTCTTTTTACAATGCTTTGATCTACACGACAATAGAGATTCAGTATGTGGATATCTTGTTTTATATATAGAGCCATTACATGCAATCACTGTTTCCAGTGTAGGTATTTGTGGTTTAGCAAAAGTTGTCTCTTCAAACAATTGCTATCTTTCGATTGAGTAAAAATGAGCTTTGTATATTAAAATGCTCTTACTATGTGTGTAGTACTATTATTTAGAGTAGAGGGATGTTCTAATATGGTGATCAAGTCCCATGACATTGTTGATAGCAGATGTATCTACATAGGTTATTAGTTATCAAGTTCGTTACAAGAACACAGTCATACTGTTTGATCATAATTTCCTATTGCCAGCAGTTTCCCATCTTGACTCCAATTGGCTGTCTTTATGCCCAATCCATGCTCATATCCATTATATGTTGTACATAGATAACCATCAGGTCGATAAACAGAAAGCGTATGCTAATGTAGACCAATTAGTCTATCTGTCTCCTATATCCTTGTATAAATGTTTACATATAAGTAATTATCCCAGATAGCAATACATGAGCTATCAGGAGACCACTTCATGTTATCCAAGTCAGTCGTGTTTACTTCAAACTGTTGTAAGGATATAAATGATGCACTGTGATAAATGCCCAGGGCGTCTTTCCCTGAGCGTTTGTGGATTACAGCAGTATATTTCCCATCCGGACTAGTTTCGATACACTTGTCTCTAAACTTTACACCGTTGATATATCTCTGCTCCTTCTTTGATAAACTCCATATTGCTAAACGCGACTAAAAAGTAGTACTGTTTAGTTTTTTTCTTGTTTTTTCTATGCTTTCTCTTTTTTACACCCATTTCTGCTGTACACAATATACTCTTGGAATCAGCTGTCCATTGAGCTAAAGCAATAGGGAAACTAGGATCTCTAATATGTGCAGTCCATTTGGGATCCATGATGGAATGGACTTCAATTCGCGAGAATTCATAGTTCACTGCCAATATACACTCTGAATTAGGTGACCATTGGATATAGTTGATAGGCCTTGAACACTCAAACACGTGAATGGCCGGTAGTTCTTCCCCTGATCTTCTAATAACAAGTCTATTGGCTACAGCATTTGCTACATATTGTCCATCAGGTGATATTTTCACTTGATGGAAAGCATGAGAGCAAAGATTACTAAATGTTATTTTCATTAGAGAAAAGAAAAAAATATTTTATTATTGTAAAGTATTGGCTTTATTTTCTGTGACATCTTCCATTGTCTCATCTTCAGCATTGCTAGGCATAGGTGTATTATTTTCTGTAAAAGTATTGGGTGTAGCAGCAGCAGAATCTGTCATCAAGTCATCGTCTGTCATGTGCGCTTGAGCATGAGGTGCAAATGCTGGGTGTTTAGATGGATCATTTATATTATCAACATCGTTATCTTCATCTTCATTGTCTAACGATGGCTCTGGTTCTTCATCAGATATATCATCTAACTTTGGTGTATGAGACCGTTTCTCATCATCTTCTTGTTCTTGTTGAATGGCATCAATTGCTTTATTGATTACAGGTCCATTGTTCACTGTTGTTTCCGGTTCAATCTTTACTGTTTCTTCCATATTCACATCCTTTGTTTCGTTACTAATATCCTTGGGTATAAATGTTATTACAGATAAATCATACAAGATAATAGTGATTTTACTTGAGTTGTCTCCACAAGATCTGCCTCAGGCTCGCTTTCTTCATCTTGCTCAAACTCAATTTGTCTTTCAGCTATTACAAAAGATTAGAATCAGAGTCTTTTTTTTTTCTTGTTTATCTTTTTTTTCTATTTACATTTGACCCATTTATATGTTTGAAATGTCTTTGAATTAGAATGTAATGCCCACTTTTTATCCCTAAGACACCAGTTAATTTTAGCATGGCTTTCAAACTAAATGACTAAAATACCATGCTTGGACTGGTTGAGACAATGCTCTTAATAAACGATCATTATCAGATGTATTATATTTTCTTTCGCGATATCTGCTATTCAGAGACATGGTTTAACAAGTTTAGAAAAGAACATAAAAATGTGAAAGCAAAATATCAAGTACCACGTGACTTGCTCTACAGGCCCACCACACCTTCATTTTGAACAGCGCTGAAACTTCATTGTTTTAATGTTTTATAATTCCAAAGTAACTAGGTAAGGTTATTATTGTTTGTTCATTTGTTTAATTGTCATGATATAGGATTTTATCTTATTAATAAATGATTATATCTTTTTCATTTTAATCCAAGGGACAAAAGATAGTATGTACCTGAAATACGGTATTGAACGGCAATGGAGCAGTTTTAGTAGCCATTTGAGGAAACATTGACGGTAGAACAGGTTCGATTTGATATGCTGTAAGTAGGCAAAATTGACTTTCATATCATGTTTTAGATTACTGCTATCACTTTAACGTATAAGATCACTATAACCTTTTAGGGTTCTTTCTCCAAGATAGAATATAAATCTGGATAGTCAATGGCGTTATTTTGTACATGAATACAGATGTTTTATTTCTGTAAGAATGAAGTATGTATATGCAAATATGCTTTTACAACAAACAAGTGAATGCTTTCTTATTATTAGAGATATCGTTGCTACGGATTCAGTTCTTGCTGGAAAGAGCAGTGACACCAGGGAGTTCCTTGCCTTCAAGAAGTTCAAGAGAGGCACCACCACCTGTAGAGATGTGAGAAACCTTCTTTTCAGCACCCCACTTGAGAGCAGCAGTGGCAGTATCACCACCACCAATGATGGTAGTAGCGCCTTCCTTAGTAGCTTCGATAACAGCTTCAAGGACGGATTTTGTACCGCTAGCAAAAGCATCAAATTCGAATACACCAGAGGGACCGTTCCAGACAATAGTCTTGGACTTTAAGATTTCCTCACGGAATAATTTAGAAGATTGTTCACCACAGTCAAGACCCATCCAGTCATCAGGAATACCGTCAGCATCGGTAGCATAGCCTGTCTTGGCATTAGCATCAAATTTATCAGCAGTGATAAAGTCGACAGGGAAGACGAGCTTGACATTCTTTTCAGCAGCCTTCTTGACGAGGTTATCGACCAACTTGGAACCAGCTTCATCGAAAAGTGAGGTACCGATCTAAAAATTTTAAATGTGGGATGAGCATCGGTATTTGAACTATGTTTCCCCAAATGGTAAACCCATGATGTATTATTACCTTGACGTTGTTGAGAGTCTTTTTGAAAGTGAAAGCCATACCACCACAGATAATCAAAGCGTTTACCTTATCAAGCATGTTTTCGATTAATTGAATCTTATCAGAGACCTTGGCACCACCGAGAATGGCAAGGAAAGGACGAGAGGGGTTCTCAAGAGCCTTGGCAAAGTATTCAAGTTCCTTTTGCATAAGGAAACCAGCAGCGCGCTGAGGAAGGTCAACACCGACCATAGAAGAGTGAGCACGATGAGCAGTACCGAAGGCATCATTAACATAAACATCAGCAAGAGAAGTCAAAGAAGCACGGAACTTTTGGACAGCTTCAGGATCGGCCTTGACCTTTTGACCATCCTTCTTGGCAGAACCTTCTTCTTCGATATGGAAACGAAGATTTTCCAAGAGAATGACCTTACCACCAGTGGCAGATTGACAGGCCTTTTCAACTTCGGGGCCAACACAGTCGCTGAGGAATTGAACAGGCTTCTTCAAGAGTTTTTCTACTTCGGTAGCAACAGGCTTGAGAGAGTACTTTTCAACAACTTCACCGTTAGGGCGACCGAGGTGAGACATCAAGATGACAGCAGATGCACCATTATCAAGAGCATATTGAACAGTAGGAAGAGCTTGAACAATACGGTTATTGTTGGTGATGGCACCATCCTTCATAGGGACATTGAAGTCAACACTAGACAGAAAGTGAGCATAGAGTTCACCTTGAACGCGTTCACTTACCGAATGAGGACACGCTTATCCTTAAGATCGAGGTCACGAATGGAGAGTTTGTTTGATAAAGACATTACTGAAAAATGATGTTTAAAACGAAAAGAAAAAGAAGAAAAAGAGAATTTATTTAGCATTAATATACTTTCTCGAAAAAAAAAATCATGACTTCACAAAAAAAAATATCCAACATTATCTATTGGACGATGTGTCCTCGATGGGGATTCGGAATTTCATTAGACTCTGAACGCGTACTTTATTATGAAAGCACATGCTTGCTGTATTACAACTATGCTCGTATCTTTAAACGTCAACCTTTCTTTCTTTCTCTTTTCCTTTCTTTCTTGTTTATGAAAAGGACGAAAAAAGAATCGGACAAAAAAAAAAGTACAAGATATCATATCACTGATTTAATCTATGATAAACTTTTTCCTCTTTCACTTAGAGATCATATGTCACACGTTTAGCAAATAGATTCCATGTCCGATGTTATTATAGATATCCTCACTTTTTATGTCTTTTTTATTATTTATTTATCCTTTGCTATATGATCTTTATGACGTTTACCACCTCCAGCCTAGGTCATTATTAATACATTTTATAGGTCAAACACCACAACTAGTTACCTGAACTACTTTTGATATCAGTCTATCCACCACTCCTCTATCATTTTCGCACCATTCAACAGTCCATCGTTCACCATCTTGAAAGTTTTCCATATCAACCCAACTACCAAACACTGGTCTATTATCCAACGGTACCTTTCTTCCTGATGCTGTTGTTATAGAAACAATCTTTCTTGTTCTGAATGTAGCAATGATATGAATTTTTTCCGCCAAAGATAGACCTGTCTCTGTAGGCGATACATCTATCCAGACTCTATGCTCCTTATTGATCGATTGAACCGTGATCTGTCTCGTTTTCTCTATTTTGAATTAGTTTACAGTAGAATAAGAATATAATTCTTACTTTCATTCTTTGCACTAGTGTCCTTCTTTTCGCTCTTGTTATCCACAGGTGGATCAGACAATGTTTGTGGAATAATTCGTTGATGAGGAGCTGTAGCCAAGGCTGGAGTGGCCACTATGTTGGGTGTCATATTAGGAGCCATCATAGGCGTTGGTTGTATATATTGAGGATATTCATGCTGTGAAAGGCCGGAATGATATTCTATTGGAGGGTGCATTGGAGGATAATTTGGATACACTGATGGCGCCATGGTTGGGTAAGCATCTGCAGCTGTCTGTGGTGGCTGAGGGTAAGGATATATTTCTTGGCTGTATAACAAAGGATAGGTGGGGTGATGTTGAATGAATCCTACAGGATGCTGTTGAACAGGATTCATATAAATAGAACTATCAGTATCAACGGGGTTATATTCAACAGGTGGCAAAGGTTCCTGCTGTTGTTGTTGTTGTTGATGTATTGGTTCTTGAGGAAGTGGTTTACGATTCAACTGAGTACTAAATAAGGGTGCAGACTGTCTTCTCAAGTGGTGTTCGTCTTGTATGAGCTGAGCATGGCGTGGTTTGGCTGACATTTTCCAATTTTCTGTCTCTTTTCTAGTCCTCCAACTCTCTTTATTTTTCGATGTCTTCCATTGTTCCTCTGTCAGTGAACGTGGTCTTGGTTTATTTATAGTAGTTGACAATATATTCGAAGGTTGTAAATTCAGCTTCAAAAAATTTACGATGATTTAAAAAAATATAAATACTTGATAATAACAACCTATTTTACCTTATTTATATTCTGTTGATGATAATAATTATCTTCATGCATGGGGGCAATTTGCTCCATATGATGTCTATACACTTGATCTATATAAAGAAAGAAAAGAGAAAAAGAAAAAGGAATATATAAAAGAAAAAGAATTTTTTTTTAAAAAAAAACAATTTTCCAAAAAAGAAAATTTGCCTGCATATGTTTTCACTGTCAAGAATACTTTTCATTATATGAATACTTTTTTTTGCATTGTAAATGACTATAAGGATAAAAAGATACCCCGATTAAATTTGTTCTCCCTTCTTCTTCTCTCCTCCGATTAGGTTTCACATAAAAGATATTCTCCAGTTTTTGTGCCTCTTTCACACTCTCTTTCTTTCTTTTTTATTTTATTTTTTACTTTTTTTTATTTCATGCCACTCCTTAATATTAGTTCTCCAAAAAAGAAAAGACCGGAAGTTTTAGATAGAAATGTAAAGTCTGCATCTAATATGTCTACTCTCTCTTTACGTACTATCAGTCGTATGGGTCAGTCTATGAGTTCAATGCTACCACGACAGAGAGAACCCTCCGAGGAGATGATCATGACAGACAAAACGGATACTGCAACATTAAATATAACCCAAAAGCAATGGGACATTGCGCAGCAAAACCTATTATTAGATATCATTGAAGTACGCAAGGCAATGGATTTATTTTTGAATTCACAAATTTCAGAGGCAGAAAGCATGTTGGGTCCAAAGCGCTACTCATCACTCTATCACTCCTTGGGTCATGCGTTCATTTTGTTCTTGAAAAGTTTAATGACCTTCCAACAAACTGATATTGAAGCTGCTATTGATGCCTTGAAGGAAACAATTCAATTAGCTGATGCATTCAGAAAAAAGGACTCTGGCTGGGTAGGAAGCATAACTACATGGGTCAAAGGGCTTTCTGTTCAAGACATAAAGAATATGTCTAGATTGCATCGCCATGCTGTAAGTATATAAAAACGGAATATCAATTTGGGATCCATGTGTCCAATACAATCTGTAGGAACTAATATTTGCCGAATCATACTTATTGAAAGCTCTTGTTTGTATCATTCATGATGAAAGCTTTGTCTCTTTCTTAAGAGAAGGCCTTCATGTTCGATCGAGTTATAATACTTATAAAGTGCTACAAAAGTTCTTAATACATGTAAAAGAAGAGGCAGCAGCAGGAAAAGATGTCACGGGATTCGAGCTAGACGATCACTTTACCTCAGGTGTATCACTTGGTGTCGGTTTATTTCATATCATGATATCACTCTTACCCGCTTCTGTTATGAAGGTAGTTGAATTCATTGGGTTTACAAGTGATCGTGCTTATGGTTTAGAAATATTGGAAAATGTGGGTGGTTGGGAAGAGTACGAAGGTTTACCACCACCTCAAGAACCAGACGAAGGTTTACGTAGACAATTCTGTGATATGGCTCTATTACTTTATCATATTATACTGTCAAAGTTAATTCCTCTATCCAATGTTGATGAAAAATTAGCCGAACGAGTCCTTGAATACAACTTGAAATTATATCCATCAGGCGTATTTTTCTTGTATTTCTCTGGTAGACAACTTGGCGCAAAGGGTCAACTGGATGAAGCAAAATCTCAATTCCAAAAGGCGATTGATACTCAAAAGGACTGGAAACAATTACAACACATGTGCTACTGGGAACTTGGCTTGATCAGCTTGTTACAGCAAGATTGGCAGTCTAGCAATAAGATCTATACCACTTTGTATAAGGAAAGCAACTGGTCTAAAGCCGTTTACAGCTATTTAAAGGCTCTTTCATTTTATATGGTAGCATCTACAAAGAATCCAGGTTCAGATGAATACAGGGAATTGATGAAACAAGCATCAGAGATTATGCAGAAAGTAACAGGCGCTAAGCAAAAAATTGCTGGTAAATCCATTCCCTTGGAAAAGTTTGTAGCAAGAAAGGCTCGTAAATTCATTGCACAGAACAACAGATTGATACTTCCTGACCTTGAGACACTGAATGCGTTTAATGCCATTGATTTCATGAACAAGGATTTGGTGTCAAAAAATGTAGAAAGAGTAGACAAGCAAATACATGAATTAATTACAACTGCTCAACCAACAGAAGCACTCAATTACTATGATGATCTTTGTTTGTGTCACTATCTCCGCGCTATCTTGCTACGTCAACTGATGAGTCGATCAAGTGATAGTAAAGAAGAGAGCCATGCACAAGAAAAGTATCAAGAATCTATCCGCTATGTCATGGATAATGCAAATAAGATACAATTGGATCATTATATATACTATTTTACTCGATACGAGGAAGCGCGCATGATGGTCATGCAGGAGAATTATGAAGCTGCTCAAGAGATTGTAAAGAGTATTATCAAAGCAAGTGAAAAAGGACAGTTCAATGTAGGTGCTGGACCACATGCAAAGAACAAATATAGCTTAGAAAGCGCCCTGTTGTTTAAATGTCACAACTGTTTGACGGAAATAGAGCTATTGATGTCAAATCCTGCCAATACAGAAACAGCAGGCACTTCTTCTTCTTCTTCCTTTGTTTCAGCTAATGACAAACAATGATAGGCTTATTGTATCATTTGAAATAAAATGTTAACTTATAAATTAGAATCTTTCTCTCTGTTTTTGTAAGAGATACAATTTTATTATCTCTTTTTTTTTATAACTTGGAAAAGTGTGTTCTAGGATACATCTTATCATAAGCATAGCTTCCCAAATAGTCCTTTGGATTTGCTACAAAATGATCTTGTAAGTTTCGAATATCAACCATTTCAGGCTTTATCTGATCAATGGAAGTCACACCCATCAAACGCATGACCATCTCAAACTCGTTCTGATATTATATATATTAGCACATGTTATATACAAACGGTATTTTATAGGATTTACCTGTAATAATTCTAAAAGTCGTTCTACACCTGCTTCTCCATAGGATGACATAGCATACTATACAAGATATAAGAGATATGTTTAGTGTGTATGTTTTCTGCAACTTACGAGTGATGGGCGGCCAATGCCAACACCTTTAGCACCTAGTGCTATGGCTTTAAAGATATCGCTACCACGACGAATACCACCATCCACATATACTTCAAATCCTTCGTCCAGCTTTTCTCTTTTGAGAGCAGACATAACCTCAGGTAGAATTTCAATTGCAGAAGGAGCAAAATCAAGTTGCCTACCACCATGGTTAGAGAGCACAATACCTTGGCAACCGTGTTTTGCCGCAAGGACAGCATCCTCGGGTGTTTGTATTCCCTTGATAAGGATAGGCATTTTTGTGATACTCTTGAACCAGGCTATATCATCCCAACACAAAGAAGGATCTATAAACTTACTAATAGCCCGTGCAGCACCTTCATCTCGACGCATTTCGGTAGCACTACGCTCAATTTCTTCCGGAGCATCTAATGAATACTTTTGACGCATGTCCTTTTCTCGACGGCCTATCATTTGATAATATGGATCAATATAAACAAAATCCGCACTTATTTATCCTATTTTTTTTTTACCAAGCTGTGGGGCATCGGCTGTAATAAATAAACCCTTCATTCCTCTTTCTTCAGCATGACGAATAAAGGTTTCTGTGACTTTACGATTAGAATTGACATAGAGCTGTAGCCATTGTGATTGATGAGGAACACTGGCGTTCACAATTTCATCAAAAGAGCAGGATGACAAGGTTGAAATCATCTGAATCACATTCCTTTTTGCAGCTGCTCTTGTCAAGACCACTTCACCTTCTCGGTGACCTAATTTTCCTAATGCGGTAGCTGTAATATACAAAGGAAACGAAACGCGGGTACCGAGCATAGTCGTTGAGGGATCCACGTCTTTCACATTGACCATGACACGAGGCTTAAACCAGATACGATGATAAGCATTGTGATTTTCCCTCATGGTGATCTCGTCATCGGCGCCCGATGAATAATAAGCCCACGCGTCAGACTTTAACACGGTCTTAGCAACAGCTATATGCTCATGTTTAGTTCTTGATACAAGAGAAAAAGGGTTGTATGTTACCTTCAAAGTCAAATGCATTATACATTTCTTCTAATCGAGGCATATTTTCTCTAGCAATTCTAACTCGCTTATCTTCTTCTGTTTCCACTTTTTCAACATTTGCGAGTGCTTCAGGATCAACTTCTCCTTTGCATACATCTGGAGATAAAAAGCGTTGAATGATATCAGGAGGATGAATAGGGTCAAACGCATCGGTAGCATCCTTTCCAGCATATTTTAGTATCACTTTCTGACCACCGGGATGTTCAGGTAAGAAATTAGTGAGATCATAAACTTTCCCATGAATAATAACCCAGATATCATCTAGTTCAAGTTAACAAACAGTTTGATTGATGCTATATGATCCTGGTGTACCTTTAGTATTATGTTTTTCAACTTCTTGTAATGATATGACTGCCATAGGCTTTGTGTTATTAATGCAAGTAAAGAGGAAAAAAAAAAGCAGAAAATGACAGAGAGAGGACAGCTGCTTAAAAGCTGGGAAAAAAATAGAGAGGAAAAATATTACCCGGTTAGTCTCCGAAAGTATTATCCAATCAAAGCCTCCAGGCACATAAAGGTTTAATGCATTACTGCAGTCATTGATGTCATGTCGTCTTATTGTTTGATGTATAATGACTGATTTATTCAAGGCTTGTAAAAGCGAGTTAAAAAAAAAGGAGTTGAATAAAGGAAAAATGAGTATAGAATAAAAGTTTTTTTTTTTTTACTAAAGGACTCGCTCTGGGAAAAATAGTTGTAAAATGATGGCACACAAATGATTCTTTAGGGAACGTTTTAGCCATAAAAACACATACATGTACAACATATGGAATAAATATCGCTGGCAATGCTATACGTTTAAACAAATTTTTATTTATAAATAATTAACATCTCTAATGGGCGCATGATTGTAATATTATATCTTTCCCGCCCGAGGCAGTTCAGAAAGGAAGGATAGTGGTGACTAAAAAACTCTTCTGGGATCAAAGGTAAAAATGCTTTGAAAGAAGCGAATGGGGTCAAGTGTAAGATATACTAGTGAGAAGGAGAAGAGAGGAGTCATTCTAAGAGTCTTTGCCCGAAGTGAGTGGGCGGGGTAGTCGAAAGCTTAGCGTGATATAGGTAATCGAGTTCATATAGGGTTCTGCATATAGTTAGCCAGCGGACGGTCCACGCGAGTGTTGTGTTAGGAGAGCGGGGCTTCTTGGTAGGTAGCATATTTAAAAGGAAGGACAATGGATCAGAAATGGTTTGGGTCGTCATGAGTCTATGGTGCATTTGGAGACAGTGAATGGTATGGGCTTTTATGAAGGGTTGGCCAGGGTGCCGAGGGCAAGTTTTGTATCGACTACTAAGGAGCCGGCCAAGACGCCAACGTATGCAGCGAATTCTTTCAGACTTGAACATAGGTAACCATAGGACAGGGTCGAGAGAGATAGTTGGGCGACAGTACGTAAGAAGAACGGAGGCATGCATAGAACGTTTATTGTTGAGGTTGTATTGGCGGTATTCTCGTTGTATCGACCGTAAAGAGCGACGATCCAGGAACTCTGGGTTGGGGACGTCTCTTCCAAATGGGAGACCTAGAGAGCTTGTACTATTGGGAGTGACTTCAGGACTGGCGGATAAGTGGAAGAAGATGGTGTAACAGAGCATCTTCTGGAAGAGTAAGGGAGCGTAAGAGGAACTGAGATTGCAGAGTATAAACACGTTCCTGCAAGATTGGTAGCTTCGGCATATGTAGCATTATCATGGTGGAAGATGTATGAGAGTCGCTGAAAATCCGACGCAAACAGACGCTTTGGGCATCTTCCAATTGTTTGCTAAGGAATGTGGTGACCTTGGTAATGGCCAGGCCGTATTCCAGTTGAGCACGAACAATGTGGCTGTAAAAGCGGTACCAAGGAGAGGAAAAAAGCCTTTAAGGTGTACACCAATAACTGAGAGTTAGTTCATAGTGGCAAGGGCTTTGGTCTTGTTTTGATTGACCAATGCAACAGCATCAAGATAGCCACCAGGGCGAAAGAGGATTCCGAGATAAGGAAAGGAAGGTTGCTTTGGAATTGGTTCACTATAGAGGGCGTAATTTGGAGACAGTTGCGTTGGAACTAATATAACGCATTTACTTGGGCTCCATAGGTACCCAAGCTTGTAGCTATGATCTTTGCAAGACTTGAGAAGAGCTGGTATGTCGGCCATATCAGTTATGAGAACCACACCATCAGCATAGAGGAGACAGTTCAACTGAAGGATAAGTTCGGTAGGGAAAACATCCGTGGTTATAGGTTGTGGGCGCAGAAGGCAAGATAACTCGTTAATGTACATAGAATACAAAAATGGAGAGAGAATTGACCCTTGTAGGGCACCGGTGACTGGCGAGAAGCGGGTGAATGTTGCATTGTTGAGCAACACTTCTATTTGGACCTCGTCAAACAAGTTTCGCGGTAGTCTAACGAGTGCTGCAGGTACTGTTTTTTTCTAGTGTGTGTCATATTTGACGGTGGTCCACAGTATCGTATGCTAACTTGATGTCCAAGAATGCCAGTACTGAGGTTATGTGATAGTGGTGACGGAGAATGTCACATATCTTTGCTAAACAAAAGGCTTGGTCTAATGATCCTCTAGATTCGCGGAACCCGCCTTGGGCTATGTCCAAAGGAAGGCTGTGGTCAATCAGAAAGTGATGGATACTACGTTCTAACAGCTTTCGGAAGATAGACGTGAGGCTAATGGGTTGATGGTTGCCAGGCTCATTCGGGCTACCCTTCTTGTAAATCGGTACTACTTGGGTCAAACACCAGTCAGCAGGTGTGTAAGGTCATGTCCATCATAGCTGAAACAGAAACAGCAGTGTAGATGCATGTGCGGGCTGTAGAGGAGCGAGCATCTCTTGCCGGAGATGATCAGTGCCTGGCACCTTCTTAGGTGGTAACTGTCTAAGAGCATCTTAGACGTCATCTAGTAAAATTAGGCAGGTATCTTGCGAAAAAGGAGTGGAGTGATACCACAACGAGTGATCTTTGTCCATATCTTGAAGTGGTCGTCCTGAATAGATCGTTTGCAAGTGCGAAGCCATTACTTCAGCTGCCTGTTCTGAGCCTTCTATGGTAGAAAAAGAAGGCTTTAAGTTTCTGTTTTTACGTATTTTACACAACCCTGCAATAGCTTTAGTATAATCCCTATTTTCCATTTTGCTACAGAAATCTTTCCAGGTTTCTCGCCTTCGTAATGTTATACTGTATTTCCAAAAAACAATGACGCTGCTACTGAGACTGAATGTTGTGTCTTCCAAATTTAGATGTCGTATTGAAACCGTTGTAATGTTACCAGAATAATAATAAATACAAAAAGAATATGACTCACTATCCCATTTGACAGTAATATTAACAGGTGAGCTGTCTTGGAGCTGAAATTAATATAATACTAGAAATAGTCCTTCTTAGTCTCTTTGTAAAGGCTTAAATTCTTTATTCGGTTTCTCCATAAAATCAAGGAACATGTAGTCATTTTTGGCAATGCATATTCTTGAATGGTCACGATGTAGATTGCTCCTATTTGACATGATTTCTTTGTCCTAGATACCCTACTTGAAAAAGAAAACATATATAAACTTATTTTAATTGAGCCCTTTTTTTGCTTCTTTACAGCAGTTATCAAGTGTCCCTCTGAGTGTTCAAAGATTCACCAATCAAAACTAGCCTGTCGTCATGATCTTTGATCTGACTCGCTTGTCCCGCCCTCTTTGCTCTCTGGTGTGTATCTGGAACGTTCCTCAACTGCCTCTTCTTGTGTTCTGGGTTCTCTCTGTCCTCCGTTCCTTTTTTTTTTTTTTTGTTTAAACAATCCTGAGTAGTTATCGCTACCCTCCCCAGAATGCACCTTGGTGGCAAATAAAACTAATATTAGGATATATGCTCTAATACTAGCGTACTTTTTCTCTCTTTTTCTACATATACTCATTATCTCTCAGATCGTCTTCTTTGATTTTTTCTCCAAGATTGTCCATGGGGAACGTCTCAACCATCTTTTCTAGCAATTTGAAAATAGTCTTTACTAAGCCTTCCACTTCAATTATCTCTTTTTGTATTTCAAAGCATGCTTACTCTCTTGATAGAGAATGGTCATATACATGCTGAACTATTGTTAAAAGATATAGAAATTTTTCAGTAGGTAGTACATAACTTAAACGATTGTGTGCCACATTCTTGCGCTGTTCTGTCATTTCAGAGTGAAGTGAGGTTGTCTCATTGCCTGTAAATGGAAGATTGGATAATAATTTCTTTATGGGGACCAGTAAGTTAACTTTTATTTAAATAAAAGAGGAAGAAATTGTATTATTTTAAACGATGAACTTTTGTAAGTAAAGAAAATAAAAGAGAGAATCAAGTCAGGCCAAAATGGCCATCTCCTTTCAAGTGGTCAGAGTAAAGAGCGTTTGCGTTGAAATAGTACGGAAGGAAAGAAAGTGTGCCATCAAAGATAATCTCCAATGAGCACGCCAAATAGCAAAAAGGGCAAAGCTAACAAAGCTTGAATTGCCCGTATTCGAACAGATGCATTTCAAAAGATAGACTGTTCATATCTTGCTTGAACAATTCTTTCAGCTTCTTCTTTGTCCAAGTGTTTGATGCTGTTAGGGAGCCTGAACACCTTGATCGCCATTGCACTAGAAGCCTCACTTACATAAATGCAAAGGTAACACTTGGCATTAAATGAAATCCCCACAGAGTGTAAAGTCCTAACAACCATATATAAGTCAATAGGACTTTACTTAATAAACACATCATTCTTTTGTTCCATTGACTTTTATGCCTCAATGATTTATCTTTAACAAATATCACACGAATATCAAAGTCATTTTCTGCAATTCAATCAATGGCGGTGCTATAGCCACTCATTTCAAGTTATCTCATCATCTCACAGTTTACTTTGTCTAAAGAAGAGCTTTTTGTCAAAAGGAAAAATAGTGTTGAAGATCGTCTTCAACAGCAGAAAATGTTGTTTCTACGTCATCATGTTGGGGTGTAATTAGGTGGCGTTCATAGCATTTATCTTCACTTTTGGCGAATTGATTTGGGACCCCCTCATTCTCAAAAACTTTTTGACTTCCCTCTCTTTCTCTTTATTCATAACAATGGCTTCAAAATTCATTGGCTGTGCTCAGGTTTATCTCAACAAAGCTTTGGGTAAAAAGATAAGATTCGTTTCAAAGGAATATTAACTTTTCTAATCGTGAATACAGCTCTTCAAAAGCCCGTTGTTTACAACACAAAGGTTGCTGTTGAAATTGCCAAACAAGTATACAAGAAGGAAGGCATGGCTTTCCCTTCCGGGGCACAGTTTGCTGAAGCCCAGCAATCAGTGCAAAATGCTTTAAAGATCAAGAATCTCAAGAACTTGACCTTTTCTGATGTCGCAAAGGGTGGTGTCATCTTTGCTGAAATCTATACCTTCTTCCTTATTGGTGAAATCGTTGGCCGTAGAAATTTGATTGGATACAATGTCGAGTCTGAAGAGTCTGCTCACCATTAAATGATTGATAAAGAGATTAAACAAAAGACAAAGAAATATTTAAATTTGTATACACTTTACGTTGGTTATTATTAAAGACTTTTGTGATAAAAGAAGCACTTTTTGTAGACACTCAAAAGGACTGTTGATTTAGAGTAGAATTGATGTTTATGAGTGTACGCAGAAGATGGGTTCTATGGTAGATTTATAAATTAAATAGAAGAGGGCTTAGTTTGCAGCTGAACTGCTACTTGCAGTCGATGTTTGTGTTAGTAAAATATCTGCTGCACGGTTCAAGTCTGATTTAGCTGTTCTTAATGCTCTCTCAACTTCAAGTTTTGTATAGTCTGGAAACATGGCCAACATGGTCTGTACATCCTCTTCCTTCACTTGCATTTGCCCGGTTCGATGACTACTTCTGTTTTCTGTCCTTGACTTTTGCTTGTGTGTACCTAAAAGGGGCAACAGATATTTTGTAGTAAAGTATCTAATGGCTGTAGGAAATCGCCACTTTTTGATTGCTGTATTATCATAAATAGATCCAATAAGTAAACCACAAAAGCAGGATAAGAAGGAAGGAAAATAGTTTGAAAGGGCAAGCTTTTTTTTGTTTTCTTGTATAAGTCTATGTACTCGCTATGTTTAATATATTCTCTTCACTTTACCTGAGCTGCTGCAAGATAAACATAAGTCTTGTCAGTGATCATTACACCCATCATGCGTGTTTGGTAGCTTGCGGGTACTATTTTATAAAATTGATATAAAACAGAGCAAATGATGACAAAGCTAGATTATTCTATAAGCATCACCCATAACCCATTTATATCATAACTTACGGTCCATTAGATGCATCATATTTGGGATAGCCTGTCATCCAGGCTCCTGTATGAAGAAGTGTAGATGCTATAAATGAAATAAAGATAAGGGCTGCATATTTAGAGCTTCCATATCTTTGTTCAATAATCTTCATGCGATATATCAACCAGGTACCGACAACAGTAGTACCTATGCTAGGAAACATCCATTGTGAAGCAAATATTTTCAAAAACTATTTACAAAAAGTGTGTTAAGAGCTTTAACTTTTTTTTCTTCTGTTTTTCTTTACCTGTGAATTAACTGGTAATTGTAAATTAGGACGTGAATTATAAGCAATGACAAGACTAGAGCAGCCACCTACAATAGGTACTAATAATTTCGTAACAGGTGTGTTACGGAATCCATTACTTTCCATTTTGTTAGTACCCAAAAAAAAAACAAAGGAGGGGGAAGGAAGAGAGAAAAAGTCTAATTCATTGAGGAAGTCAATTTCTCTCTCCGCTAGACTCAGGCCAATAAAATAAAGAAAAGTACATCAGGCATAAAGGAATGTTTAACAGCGTTAAGGATGGACGATTATTATTTAATTGCTTTATTGACAGCTCTTTATTCTCTCTGATGTCCATCAAAAACAAGCCCTCTACACAAGCGTAAGAGTACGGTTTGATCTTTCCTGTTTACACAATGAGTGAGATATGGTAAAGAATGACACTTGGAGTTAAATAACGTCTTTATAAATTGAAAAAGTGGTCTTTTATAAACCTGCTTACAACAAATGCTTACATCCTCTCATTAGTAAATTTACTAGTTGTAACACAGTCTCTCTTACCATAATTATTGTAATTGCGAGTGGTGTTACTACTAATGGCACTTTTGCCATTGAATAGTGCGCACTCGTTGACCGTATACAAAGTGACATGTTGTAAGACTTTGTACTTGGGCAAATTTGTACCAAAAGATTGTGTGACGGATCGCTTGACATTAGAAAAAAGGAAAGAAAATGGAACGTTGATGAATTGATTATGAAATGGTTTACTTTATGATAGAACCACACTGATGAGCATCAATATCAGTATAGGTCATATAGTTAACTAAGCAATATATATTAAACTGCCTTTATCTCTGATATTTCATGGCCATGCAAAGGGTTGTTTAATTTAGCTTCTTCTTTTTTTTCCCATTGCTGTTGTTGAAACTAATAATTCAATTGAAAATGACCTTACTTGCAATGGATTTAATAAAGGCATCTTCTTAGTACCTTTGCTTATTAGATAAAGAAGAAAAGTAATAAAATATATAATTGATGATGATCCTATTCATCGGATATTCTCTATTGATCCTCTTGAAAGAAACCTGCATTGTGGCTTTCAATCATTCAACTGCATGCAGAGTTGCATTTTCGGAACTTGAATCCGAAATGGGATAGCCTCTAACCCCCTGTTTTTGTATCTTTTTTCTCTCTTTCTCAGAATAGGTTTGATAATGCTTCAATTGGTGAAGCAAAACTTGTTTACGATCTTAGCACTAGTCACGGTACCCTGTGGATATTATTATGGAACGATGTTGAGAGAGAAAAAGGATGCATTAAAAAACAAAGATGATGAAATTAAAAGAATACAAGAACAGATCGAACAACTACGGGAAGAACGAGAGATGATGTTGAGTAAAATAAAGAAATGATGATACCACTTCTATCCTTTTTAAATACATATAAAAAATAAACAAAGACTACAAATAAATAGGCTTGATTGAAGTCATTCATAAACATAGAAAAAGGGCTTACTTTTGAAGCATAAACAACCACACCCCCTTACAACACTTGTACTCCCTTTTTTTTTATCCTCTGTATAAATAAACAAACTACCCTCTTTCACTCTTTTTCTCTCTCTCATTTTTTTTAATATCTATAAAATGATAAAAAAACAATCAAGAAGTAATTTATATGATAGAGTAAAATCAGATCTGTTTGATCAAGATGATCTAAATAACAGAGAAGATATTTATATACCATCTATCACAGCCATGGTATTACTTCAAATGCAAGCTTATATTGTTCAATCACTTGTTAAATCAAATACCAAGAGTTATCTTCATCAATTCATTCATTGGATCTTATTATTTGCCTTACTTATTCTTGATAATATGGCGCGTCTACTGGACGTAGAGAATGAAATAGCTAATCTAACGCATAAAAAGAAAAGAGGTCAATGCGTTGATAATGGAAAGAAGAAAGAAGAACCACAAGAAATTGTAACAATAACAAAACCTTGTCATACACTAGTATCACCTTCCTCACCTATCACTTCTCCTACGCCCACTTATGTTCGTCAAAGAAAAGTGTCTTCTCCGTCCGCGGTTCAACAAACATCTCCTGTATTGGAACCCTCCCGTCAACATAATACGCCTCCTTCTCCTATGGGTCATGTACGCTCTTTATCCAACAACATATTGGACAAAAAGCAGCATACATTACGTCGTGTCACAGGTCAACGTGAAATAACAGTTCAAAATACAATTGCACCTACTCAAAAGAGCCACAAGCATCATAGTCATCATAATCATCAAAGAAAGACAATTACTCCTATATCAAGTACTGCAAACTCTGTTGCCTCTCGCTCATCCTCTTCCGAATCATCTCTCACAAAAGAAAGTCCAGAGTACCACAACAATCATCATATTAAACCTAAAATGGTACAAACAAGATCCTTAACTACTCACGATGTAAGTTAATATGTGTATTTATTATTCTCTTGGTTTACTAAACAATATTTCTTGTAAGTTAATAGAGCAAAAATCATTAGACAACAGACGGCCTTATGGACGATGCTGTCCCGCTTGTGAAAAACCTTAGCTTGTAATTAACCTTAAAAAAATAAAACCCTCTTTTCATAATGATACTCCTTGTGTTCCCATTATGATTATTGTCAAAAAGGGGAAGAAAGCATTGTATATGCTGCTCCTTAAAGAACAAAAAAAGTATATAAATGAACAGCTCTCTCTCTTTCTCCTTCCCCTCTTTTTTTCCCTATTCATCCTTTTTTTTTTTCTAATGTTACAAGAACCAGACATTCCTCCACAACAATTATGGGAAGCATTCAAGCATAAACGTACCTCAGTTGACCTTTATACACAAGATGCTACTGTTCTATTCGTTCCTACCTTTGTAGGTGCCAGAGGAAATGCCGAGATACGCAAATTCTTTCTACATCCTCATTTTTCTGATAAATCCAATCCTATAAAAGAAATTGTATTCAATACTCTCATGTCAAATGATAGATTGATGGAAGAATCCATCTGGTCAGTTCATTTTCATACTGGAGAGTGTAGTTGGTTAGTGCCTGGTATTGAATCAAGATATTTAGTAAGTTAAAGATGCATTCTTTGCATTTTATGGTATTAACGTTAATAGCTTAATGCAACTGTCAAATTCCCTGTCGTAAGTATAATATTTGTATATCACCAAATACAGTACTGATCTGTGGCTCTGCAGTCGACCTCGGTTACGTTTGTTAACAATAAGATCCAATCCATTCGTTACCATTGGGATCAAGCCTCAATATTAAAGCAACTCAAGGTCATTACTGAAAAATTACAATGGCCAGTCATTGGAGAACAACAAGTAGATGCTTTTTATACAATCAACACTGTTCCATTGAAACACTTGCATGAACAACAAAAGGTAAGGAGGCGTGGCAAATGTTAAAAAGGAGATGAATAATGTTATCTTACCGAAACTAAACAGCCGAACACGCCATCGCCCTCTCATTCGATTTCAAACCAACCCTGTAAGTTACTTTGTCAAGGAAAAAAATTCTAGTTTAAACCAACACTTAAATAGTACGAGGAAGCATCTTTGGTCCAGTAGATTCAGGAGACCAAGTGACACGCTCTGTACGCGCTTCTGAGTCAAATACTCCTCCCGCCCGCAACATCTTTACATATCAGCCGCCTGCTGAGCGTTCCTCCGTTATGTCTTATCCAAATAAACTCGGTTCAAGTTTCTCCTTGAGTCATGATGAAGGAGTAAACAGTAAACAGTATGTCGATCAACAAAGGAACAATCCTCAACATCCCGTTGGCGTGGCAGGTAAGCCTACGCCGAGAGTGACTCATAATATTATCTGTTAAATAAAACCATATTTTCGGTATAACAAGTACAGAATTTATTTCTTCTTTTTGCTTTCATTCTCTTCCTTTTGCAGCCTTCTTTCTTCTGCTTCTTCTTCCATTGCTTGCAATCTTCTTCTCTTTCTTCTGCTCATACCTTCATATTTATCCTTCTTTGTCTTCTTTTCTACTTTTTCTTGTTTTGGTTCTGTGGCTTGATGTTTTGCCTTTTTCTTGTCTTTTTCTGATTGAAACCAAGTTCTAGCAGGTCGTGACATGATCTCATCTTGATGTTTTATCAAGTTTTCGCTTCGTTTGAGTTGCATCTCTGCATTTCTAATTGCTTTTTCTTCCTTTTCTTCCTCTAAAACTTCCTTGATCTTTTTCTGTAACTTTTCAATCTTTAGCTTGAATTTCTGAACTAATTCAGCAGGAACAACGCGGTTCTTGACCTGTGATCCTGCAGTTGATTTTATGGCCATCTTTAACATTTTTCTGTCTGCTTCTCCTACCAAAGTGACGGATCTTGAAGATTATCAGTATGTGTCCTATAACACATCAACAAACACTTACCGTCCGTTTCGACCAGCTCTTGCCGTACGACCCACACGATGAAGGTATTGTGCGAATTGAGTTGGCATATTGTAATTGATGACTGTCTCAATTCCCTTGATATCCAAACCTCTAGCAGCTAAATCTGTGGCTAATAAGTAGTCTACTTCATGATCTCTGAATCTTTCTAATGCTTCCAATCGCTGCTCCTGCGTCAGATTACCATGGAGTTCAGCTGCGTTCAGTCCCATGAGTCCAAACAAAATTTTCATTTGATGTGCTGCAGCCTTGGATCGGAAGAAAATGATGACTTTGGTCTTGAACGTCTTTTTACATAATGCAAGAAGTACAGCTGAACGATCTGCTTCACGTGCTTGACGGATACGAATAAATTCTTGCACAAGACGAGATGCAGCTTGATTGCTGGAATTCACAAACAGACGAACAGGGTTATGTAAAGACATACGGATCAATTGATCGACATTATCTGTCATTGTAGCAGAGAAAAGCATGGTTTGTCTAGATTGGGGACATGACTTGATAATCTCTCCTAATTCATCCGCAAAACCATCTTCCAACATACTAATCAAATGTTGAGTTGTCTACAGTTGATTTATACACAATAACTTACCGATCAGCTTCGTCCATAACCAAGATTTCACAAGCATCCAAGTGGAATCCAGAGGTGTTGCGTACATGATCAATTAAACGACCTGGTGTGGCAACAACAACGTCTGGCTTCAGCTTCAACTCTTGTTCCTGTGTCTTCAAACTCAATCCACCCACACACAAACAGAAAGAGATATCGGTGTAGGCCGCCAACTTGACAGCAGCGTCATGAACTTGTGCAGCCAATTCACGAGTAGGACAGAGAATGAGCACACGTGTAGATGGTGTCTGACGAGGTCTGTATAGTAAACGTTCCAGGATAGGGATGATGAAGGCTGCGGTTTTACCTGAACCTGTCTCAGCGCCACCACAGATATCTTTGCCCATAAGAGCAAGAGGAATGGTCTGTGACTGGATCTTGGTGGGTTTGATAAAGCCAAGGTTGCTGATACCCTTCAAGATGGGTCGAGAAAGATTCATGGAAGTAAAAGAGACATGATCTTGTCTATCAACCTCGCTTTCATCAGCAAAGTATTCTTTTTTACGCTGTTTACAATAAATTAATATTGCATTCAATATAGACTATCCAAATGTACCTGAATCTCTGCCTCATCTTCCTTTTCCTCTTCGTCACTGTCCATTTCAATATCATCACCACTGTCATCATCATCTTCTTCTTCGGAACTCTCTTCTTCTTCAGAGCTTTCTTCTTCAGAATCAGAGGGTGCTTGGTCAGTATCTTTGGCTTCCAAGGTATCATCGTCTTCTTCTTCACTTGCGACAAATTCATCTTTTTCTTTCTCTGTTACTTTTTTAGTCTTTTTCTTACTCTCCTGTTTCTTTCTGGCAATAATATCATCAATCGTCACTCTGTCAATATCGTTCTTTTTAAGGAGATGAGTTTCAGTTTGTTCCATTATATATACACTTTTGTACCTGCTTTGGCTTGAGCATTCCCTTTGCAGTTGTAAAGTCCCAGCCGCTTTTGAGTCCCTTTGCGCCTCCACCGTCCATGGCAAAGGTGAATTCATTGTTGAATTCCTCCTGATCCTCTTCAGGTGCCTTTCTCTTTTTATTATCCTTCTTATTTTTACTCTTCTTTTCTTCAGCTTTTTCTTCAACAACTTCTTCTTCAACAATTTCTTCACTAACAACGACATTATCGTCGTCGTCTATTGTCATTACAAAATCATCGCTCATTTCTATTTTTCTTTGTCTGATTCTAGATCTGTCAAGGGAAACACTTTTTTTTTCTTTTTCTATTAATTTTCTAAAATACAGGTCACATAACAGTCCTGCTTATTTGCGTAACATAAAGTATTGCACTCACAATAAATGAGAGCTTTTCATCGGCGCACATCACTGATAAGAGAAAGAGAGTGTGTGACGTAGGGAGTACAAAAAGACGATCCGTTACAGCTTCTTTTTTCTACTGTTTTCTCATTCTTGTTATGTCATTCACTGAATATCCATTTGAACCAAGAAAGAGAGTACTAAGCATACAGTCTCACACGGTAAAAATAGTATCAAAGTCGCCTTCTATGGCTCATATATGTTGTTATAGGTTTCTGGTTATTGTGGTAAAACATATTGTCCAAATAAAGTACAACTTTAACCCTGTTCTAGGAAACAAGGCTGCGGTTTTTCCACTTCAAACGCTTGGATATGATGTAGACATACTCAACACTGTTCAATTTTCTAACCATACCGGGTATCCCTCTTGGACAGGCAAAAAGTTTACTGCAGAAGATGTGCAGGAATTATTTGACGGGTTAGAAAAGAATGAGTTGACGGATGAATACACGCATGTGTTGACAGGTATTTTGTGTCTTATAAAAAGAGAAATAATACTCAAATATAAAAAGGCTACATTGGTAATTATGCTATTTTGGAAAAGATTGAATTTATGGTTCAAAAGTTGAAATCAAAGAATCCAAACTTGATATATGGTAAACATATAGAAAAAGAATTACTCATAGTAATATATATGTATAGTCTGTGATACTGTCATGGGTGATGGAGGTGCGCTTTATGTTGCTCCTGAAATAGTTCCTTTGTATAGAGATATCCTTCGTATTGCTGATTTTATAACACCTAATCAATTTGAAGCAGAGTAAGAAGAGAAAGAGAGAGAAAAGAAAGAGAAAGCTTAGATAACCTGGTATGTCTCCTTTTCTTTCTCTTGTAGACTATTATCAGAAATGAAGATTGCCAATTTAAAAGATGCGTGTCAAGTGGCAAAGAAGCTTCATTCCCTTGGTCCACGTAATGTGATCATCACCACACTTTCATTACCTCTCAAAGACGTCCCAGAAGAAGTCCATCTTGAGAGCAGCACAGATGAGTCACTCTATTGTTTCACGAGTCAAGTGACATCAGACGGAGACATGGAACAATACTTGATCTCATTCCCTACTTACGAAGGATATTTTACAGGCACAGGAGATCTGTTTTCATCATTGATTGTTGCTAGGTGCATAGAGAATACATTGATTGATGCAGCGTATAAAGCTGTTTGTAGTGTGAATGCAATCACAAGAAATACGTTTTTTTATCAGCAATACTATCAAGAAAAATGGGAAAAGCAAGTTAAACCAAGCAAAGCGAAAGTAGTACATAAGCATGAGCTATTATTAATTCAAGGAAAAAAGTTTATAGAAGATCCACAGCTTGGAAGCAAGGATAGAATAAAATTCATAAACGTTGATCAACAATAAAGGAAGCGATATTAGTTCTTTTTTAAGACTATCTCAATCTATTTTTCTTTTTTCTTTTTTTATAAACAAAACAAAATGGGTAAAGAATCGAATATACAGGCTGCAAACTATATATTGGAGTCAATCATTAGAGATTTAGGATTCTTAAAAGATAACAACTTTTTACCACATCAAACATATCAGGAAGTCGTTGCTTTACTACCCAATCATATATCTGCTGTGGATGATACCGTTCCTAGACCTCCTTTACCTTTACGTAAATCAAATTCAAACACTACTACACATCAATTGACTCCTCCACAACCAAGAGAAGTGAGCAATGGTCCCAAGTTGTCTGTCAGACGTACAAATGATTGGTCACCTCAGCCTATAGCCATGCCTTTACCTGTTGTTAATGCTAGACAGCTTGAACCTGAAAAGGTTCATACAACTCCTCCTCCTCCTGCCTATGCGGAACAGAACAATAGCAATGTGATTGCTACTGCTGAAGCATTATATGATTACCATGGGGATGACCCTACTACTGACTTATCATTTAAACAAGGAGACATTATTGAAGTCATCGAATATGGTAAGATGATGCTGAATACATATAACAACGTGTATAGATTTTACAATGATTTATATTAGTGAACGATGACTGGTGGAAAGGAACAACTCATGGCAAGACCGGTATATTCCCTCAAAACCATGTCAAGAAATTACCGTAAGTGCTTTATTTATTTATTTTTTAAAGAGAGCAGCTGGCTCATGCTTTGTAAATAGACCTCCTGTTAAAGCAAAACGTCCTTGGACACCCCAGCCTCCTGCTAAACCTTCAAATGATCATCTCTATAACAATAATGCACTTGCCAATAATAATTATAATAATAACGTCCCCTCATATCCTGCCACCCCAGGTGCACCCTATGCCTATCCACCTCCTCCTACCACTATATACCAACCACCTCCACCAGCACAATCTTATGGTCCACCGGTTGTTGCAGTCGCACATGAAGAAGAGAAAGAAAACAAGGTTTCCAATTTGACAAAGAAATTTGGTGGACAAGTCGCAAATGCTGCCACCTGGGGTTTTGGTGCCACACGTATGTCCTTTTGCCATTTTTATATAAATTGTATAGCTAATATTTCTATTTTTAGTTGGCAGCATGGCCGCAGATGCAATCTTTTAATGGTCTTTTTGGAATAAAAATAATTTACTCGACAAACCAATTTGATCTGTGCGACTGAGTGCGCCTACAAGACGAGCTACTCTCCTCTTGTTTAAGCAGAATTTTTATTTTTTATTTGTGTGTGTAAAAAGGATTTCATTTTTTTTCCTCCTGTTCTCGGACATCTGGTGTCTGAGATATATCCTCCTTTCGTTGAACAGTATAGGTGCTATCGAGATCGGTATCAGGCGTTGCTCGGACTTGACTTACGAGTGACTCTGATGCGAGATGCTTAAGCATTGGTGGTGTTTTTAATTCGAAATACTGATTTTCAATCTTATCCCAATCAACATTGCCGCCTTCTTTCAATACTGTGTCTTCACTATCTGCCGGCTTCGAACTCTGAGTCCTTTTCAGATAGATCATAAAGATGACAGCACCCAACGCAATAGCCTAGCCATTTTTTAACATTAGATTTTTTTTTTTTTTCCTTAGATAACGATGTTTACTTACGCCAATGATGACACCAGTCGCAATACCAGCTTTTGCCCCAGAGGACAGAGAGGGAGAGGGTAGAGGGGTTATATCATTCGTAGTACCAGTGCTATTTGTCGTACTTGTGACATTTGATGCACTGGCAGAACTGGGCACACTAGTAGGGTTTGTTGTCGCAAGAGTATAAGGATAACTTGATGCTAGTTGCATATTTGATACATCGGTTACATCTATTGCAAGAATATTTATTGCTAGGCCCTCGGCAACCTGACCAGATAATATAAAGAGGGTGTTGTTTACAAGCACGGCTATAGTAAAACAAAGTTTGTCAACAGGGACCATACATAACAAAGCGTACCTGAATGTCCAAATCGTGGTAAAGATAAAGTGCTATTCAATCGAACTTGAACCCATGTATTTGTCTGAAGGTTGAGCGTAAAAAGGTAATCGGAAACAACTGGTTTGAAACAAAAGACATCAGTAACTTTTTCAGGGTTGGACAAACATATACCTTTGTTTGCAGAATCTGCTCCTCCAAATAGGATAATATGCTGAGAATTAGGAGCTAAATACTTGTTAAATCAGAGCACATCAAATAAAGAAGGAATACTAACCCATTGTGCTAGTATGATACACTCTGCCTGAAGGGAAATTATCGTCTGGTGCAGTGTAGTTGCAAATATTCCAATTTCCATTTGCTGTATTAAATGTGTATCCCCATGATAATTGGGAAATAGACGGCTGTATAGCACCAATTATTTCACCACCAAGGTAATATATAATACCTGATTTAGAGTCGAGAGTTGCTGTATGAAAGATTGGAAGTGCACTAGGTACATTGTTTTGAGGACTAAAGTAACTCCAAGTCTAATTTAATGCTGATAAGCATCCTCTTTACAAAATGTATCCAACATTACCTTGGATGTCGTATTGAAAACGGTTAGATTTGTAAATCCTGGAGATCCTGTGACCTTGGGTACTGAAGCTGCCTCAGATAAGAAAACGCTAGGCATAATCTTGAGTCAGGAATACTGATATAAAATCAATATAGTTTCATACCCAGTTGTGCCTCCAAAGAAACCAATAGTATCCATAGTAACTGAAGGTAGATTTGTAGCAGTTCCTCCCCAGCTGTAACTTGGTTAACAAATAATTTCAGTGCAATACCTTATGCCTACATCTTTGTACCGTTCGACCGCGTATAAGGTGTAAGCTTTTGCCAAGTTTTTTGGGATCCATCAAATAGAATCGTATCGTTTAACATGTTTGGATCATTACCACCTTGAAGAACAATTTGATAGCCGTTTGGTAACGTTGCAATTTGGCACAGTCCTCTTAACTCAGGGTCAAAAGCATTGGTAGAAAGTACAGCTTGCCACTTGTTTGACAAGGTATCAAGTGGTATAGGGGTATTGAACCCCAAGTCTAATGTAAATATAGTTGAACCAATATTCCAAGCATTTGGTTGCAATGTCCCAGTGCCACCAAAACAACGTATACTTTTATCCTTTCCATAATGAATGTATCCACAGCCTGAAATATCAATAACTTATTGTGTAATTGGTATACATGCCGCATCACTTACGGGGATATAAACGACCAAAATAAAACGCTGTGGTCAAGTGTATAAAAAAGTCAAGTATTGTACAAGTGATTAAGGTTCCAGATATTCGCATTTTACAGAAAAATACAGAAAAATAGATGATTAAGATCATTTTATACCTTCTATTTATTAAAGTGGGACAAAGGTTTTGCTAGGTTGCTCATTTTAGAATGCAAACAGGTACCACAGTCAAAGGGGTAAGATCTAAGAACAAAAATTTCAATCACAAAGCTTTTGGCTCATAATTCTATCCTTCGGGATGACATTAGTATACACACTTGGTTTTTTAGCCATACAATACTTTTTTTTGTATTAAAGTGTGGAATTTATGCAATACAATAAAGGAAATAAAGAAGAGTTGGGTATATTATAATTTGCATGTGATCTATTTACAGTCATCTAGGTTCAAATGAGACGCTTGTAATGTTTTTTAAAAGATAGATGCTGAGTATTTTTTGTAGATGGATTGTAAAACGCAGAATTAGACAAAGGCGGTTTCTTTATTGATAAAGTGGCTATTTTTGTGGAAGTTTGATTTTACACAAACATTTGATCAGAGTTCAAAGATCGTTTAAATAGAACATCTATAGTTACTGCCTAAAAGGAAAAGACGACGCGTTTAATATTGATTTCGAAGCAAAACTGACGAAAGGCAAGATAACATGATTTGGGATTGGTAAAGACATCTTTGGGATAAAAACCAATCCATGACAGATTTACGGCTAATGATTTAAAAAGATGTATTTTACTATTCGTATAGCCATGATCAAGCTACAAAGCTTCATAAAACACGTCCCACCAAGAGTGCTGTCAACACTATATTGTTGTCCATCTTGTAAAGCCAACATAGCAATGTAGATTTACCCTTTTCTTTCTCTTTGACCTTTCTCTTCATTGCCTTTAACTACAACGCCTTCAAAAGGAAACAGACAATACTTTAAAATTGAAAACAAGCGTTCTTTAATAAAAAACGGTAAATGGTGTTATATTTTCTGTGTATACAACATACATAGTTTACAATTGCATTATGTACCTTGTAATTGAAATTCTTGTCTGAGATAGCTGCAATGAGCAAGGACACATATCAAAAACTAGTGTCTGCAGCAAGTGCCTCTGCCGCAAGTGAAGTTTCCACTATTTTGCGTGTTTGTGACATACCGTGTAAATTTAGCCCAAAACCACCATTCTGTCCATTGCGCAAAAAAGCACTTTCAGAATCCTTGCAAGAGAAATTTGAGGGAAATGTCGAACGATTTACACGAAAAGTACATTCGAAGCCTGTTTTGCGACTAGACTTTGAACATAAGCTCACCATAAACGCTGAACAACTTTGCGACTTTTTTTTTTTTTTTAGAAACTTGCTTGTTCGGGTACAGCTTTTCGTCAACACATACGCTGTTCAAAATTATGCATCAAGTTCTCTGAAAAAAAGTACAGAGCAAAACTTTTGGTATTCCATATTTCCCAACTCGTCATGGGAATAAAGGTTACGAGCAGAATATATATAACCAATGAAATTGTTCTTGCCGTTGACGATTTTCAACAAAGCTATCCTTCGAATGTTTACTCACAAGAGCTATAGTGACCCTTTATCTTCTGCATGTATTAAAGTTGCTACTACATAGTAGAAAATTTCAGGCGAAGGTTGATTTATTTTCTTATTATAAGGCTAACAGCAATATATGAAGTAAGTTGTATTACATGTGTACTGAAAAGAATAGGCTTTCTAACTCTTTACCTAATAATATAGGGCTTATTCAAAAGAATGTTGTACATACTAGCAGAAGAATACTGTTACGAATTTCTTCTAAATAGTGAATATGTTCAATGGCCAGCACATAACAATTTGATAGAAAAATTGAAGACAGAGCAAGTTATAGAAGTACGTCGTTGAAAGAAAAAATGCAAGCCTAACCCATTGTTGTAAATCTTACAGCATTCCCAACTCAGTTTATCGCAGCATTAGCATACTTTATTGATAAACGTGAAAAAAATAAAGGACTCCACGCCCGAGCCTTCAAGTAAAGTTAGAACTTTCTCGCTACGCCCATGTCCCAACTTACGCTGGAGATATATCACCATCAACACGAAATCACTTACATCGATCACTGCAGTAAAAAGCAGTGACACTTACGAAGGAAACCTTCAGCAGTTCCACATTGTGTTTGATTTTAGTAAATTCGAATATAAAATATTAGATATTAAACATTTATTACTCTACAGCTGTAAATTCTAACATTGTTTAACTTTGAGAAGATGTTGAGTAATAATAGTAGTGTCCAGTTCACGTGCCGTGTTCAATGCGACGGCTTAGAAAACTGTTTGTCTTTGCTAGACGAGAATTGAACAGCGCTGTCGATGATAGCTTGTTTGGTTTAGAGGATTTTGATTCAGACAAAGTAGATTGGTACTTTTTACACTGCAGGATAGACCTTGGAAGGAGTCATGTGTTTATCGTGACCATTGCTCTCTCTGTGTCCGGAAAAGAAATTGGACGTTGCAGCTCAAAAGAACGCGCTTGCTATGCAGACACAGCAAAGAGAGCAATTTATACAGAAAAGCTAAAGCAACAACAAGGAATAAAACCTATTGAGTCGCATATTTCTTCAACGAAAACAATTGATTTAGAAAAAATGGACTATCATGTTCAGTACATGCTGAGACATATTACCGCATTATTCAAGTTTTATAGTACCCAGTCTCTTTTAATTTTCACAGCTACCAAGGCCGACAACGAGCAAATGTCAAGATGGCAAACATTCTTATTAATGGTAATAAAAAGTACAACCCTAAAAAAAGAAGAAAAAAATACAAAAAAGAACAGAAAATAGAGGAGGGAAAAAGCAAGTGGTATAGTAGCTTTTCAAGTCGTCGTGCTTTATTTGAAAGAATAACGAAAATGTCACGTGCTCATAAAATGGCCTAAATGAATAAAATACCTTTAAACCCACAGTGACGCATAAACCTGTCTCTCTCGCGAATTTTTTTTTTTTTTTTGTTTAAAATGAGTAGTCAACAGTTACCTTTGACAGTCCAAGACGATATTCAAGCAAAGACAAGACAACCAAAGCAAGGAATATCAACTTATTTTAACCCACGTCGGATAAGACTTTGGATACTTTTGGTGTGTGTATTTATGTCAACTGTAGCATTGATGAAATATAGTGGAACCTATCAGCACATAATTACGGAGGATGAAGTTATTTTAAGCAAAAAGCTAAGTTTAAAAGAGGAAATTATTCATGATATCAATAGTCATCCTTTGATTGTCTATTCAAAGACGTATTGCCCGTAAGTAGGAAAGGATTCTATGGTTTGTGTTATTAATAGATAATAGATATTCACAAAAGGCAAAGAAGATCCTAAAAGAATACAAATTGAAGCCATTCAAGATTGTCGAAGTTGATAAACGAGGTATAAATATAGACAGAGTGTGGGGAAAAGAGAGAGAGGTCTTTGAAAACGATGAGCCACAGTGATCGCTGCCATTCCTACACGGATCGATTTCTCGTGTCATGATCGACCACGTATGCTATTCTAAATATAAAGACCTTTTTTTTCTTTCCCTTCTAAAAAATGATAAATAGACTCTAAATATTTATCCATTATAGATGATGACTATGAGATCAAAATGGCGCTAAAAGATATCTCAGACAGAGAAACGTTTCCAAACATATTTATTAACGGACAAACGCTGGGCGGAAGTGATAATTTAGAAGAACTGCATAACCGCGGGGAACTAGAACGCATTTTAGCAGATAACCATTTGTTGATTTGATGTGTCTGGATTAATAATATAAAAAGATGGTCTAGTTTTTATTTTATTTTTCCGAACTATATATAAAGACCCCTTCTGCACCTTTTCTTTATGTTTTGCACCCTTTCTTATCTCTCATGTGGCCATTAACGAAACCTAATAATATTGAAATCGAACTATTAGAATCTGTTGTTTATATTGGCCCTCATACCAGGACAAATCCTATTGTTCGTGGCGTTGTCCGCGTATCGAACAATCGAACATCACATATTCACATCTTGAACATCCTATTTGTATGCGACATAAAGACAAAATATTGCTACAGTAAGTTTATTTGTATTTTGTATTCTCTTGATCACTAAGTATATGATAGATAATAAATTTTCATGCGACAAAAAGTCTATCACAGGGGATCGTTTGACTCTCTACTGTTCGCACCGGAAGCCTTTGGTTATCAATTCAGATTCAGCAACACAACTTTCATTTGAAATGCCACTGCCATCCGAGATACCGGAAACGATCAATTGTCCGCAGATTCATGTCAACCATCATGTCACTCTCGATGTTGAGTATTATTATGATCAAAGAAAGCTGTACCAACAGATAAGAAAGCCGGTAATCATTGCCCGTTTACCCGATTGTCGAATGCTGACAGGTGAAAACTTGCTCGAGATGATCGATAGCCGCAAGAACGAGTCCTCTTGGTGTCAATACCGTATCACAATAAAAAAAAAGGCTGCGCCTCTTGGGTCTCGTCTACCTATCCAATTTGAAATTGCTCCTCTCATACCGGGTGTTAAGCTGAAAGAGATTTATGTACAACTCATGGAACGCCGTACAGTCGTGCCTGATGTTGACCGAGTAGAACGAACAACACAGTCCTGTTTCTTTATCTATCCTGTCAAGAATTCATCTTTTCAACTACCTACGAATATACTCGAGTCTCCTTGGGAGGCAACAGTAGAGTATCAGCTACCTTCCAAAATGGCCCATTCGACAGAGACATACCAAAACTTTTTTGTAAATCATCTTTTATTGGTATCTCTTGTCTTTCAAGTGCCCGAAAGTGAAAATTCAACCAAGCACACAACAAAATCGATTTCCTTTTCTTCTAGTATTGATCTTTTACATAAACATACAGCAAATGCAACAAGACTACCTACCTATCACTCTCTTGTTTCAGCAGATGAAACAATACACAGACATACCATTAACTTAGACCAGCCTCCTCCTGATTATAATGCCGTTATATAATGGCTTTAATCGTAATTTTCTATTGGGAATAATCAATAAAATTGTCCACATTATTATTTATTATCATTACCTCGTTACAATATGGACAATGACCAAATAACACATTGAAACTCTGAGTTGTATTAGGATTCGAACGAAGCCACTGAAGGAATGAGGGGGTTAAACAAAGCAGTATTTAGTTTTTATGAACCTTCTTACTTGATAAAGACAAATCGAGTGAAATCCACGGTTACAAAGCTTGCATATCGTTTCGGGTGTTTCGTCATTTTCTAGCTTATAAGAATAGCAAATGGCGCATTCGATATCACTTGCGTTAGTATAGTCTTCTTGCTCTTGTTTGTCATTTGGAACAAGTTGAAATATGGTTAGTAAATTGGTATGTAGTGGAAGACTCTTGTTCCTAAATATGCATGAATAAACTTGCTTTTTATCATTTTATATACAACACACCATTCAGCCTGATCCCATACTCTTCTCAAGTTCTCTACTCTACTTTCACTACCAAATAGTCTAATCTGAGGCCTATTAAAGGGTAATAAGGGATCTACAATCTTTAGATATAATGAGCAGTGATGACTCAGGGCAATCTTTCTCCATAACTCGCTTCTTTTGGGGTGCTCTGGTTCTAATATTCTCATGTACTTATCTAAATCGTCCAGACAATTGAATAAATCTTGATGTTGGTCAATAATTGTTTGGTGCTGACGAACAATAGTTGCCAATGAAAGTGAACTCTGGATTGGCACAGGTGTATCTGCCACGATGTGGGGTGCTGTAAATGGATAGTTTGAAGGTAAGATCACCTTGAGCTCATGTTCTCTATCACCCATATCCCTAAATATAATGTCAGCACATGATATCAGCTAAATAAATTGCTTACCTTATACTAAACATAACCTCATTCATCGTATCATTCATATATTTCACTTTTTCAAAGCCAATGGATAATAGTTCTTGATAGACAAAGGACAGTTTATCAGCTGAGGGTTGAAAAGGCTTTTCCTTATCTCCTATATCATGCTCGTCCTAATGGGTTAACAAAGAAAGAAAGAGCATTATCAATGTCTTTACTAATATTTCTTTAAATTCAGATAGAAAACTCATGATATCTTGAGCTTCATTCAGTTTAATTTCAATCAATGTCTGTTTATCCTTGATCAATTCGTTTAGTTTTCCTGTTGTCAATAACTGTCGTCTAGGTCCAAGTTCAACTTGAATAAAGTGTTCTTGTTTCTATAGTCATTTGTTTTTATATTGTGTACTCTTTAAAAGAGGTATCTTACCTGTATGCTTATATATCCCTTGTATATTTTATTCTCTTCATCAATAGGAATCACAAGTGGGAATGGTACTTTATACATGACAATAAAACGCGCGCGTGTGTTTAAAAAAAGAAAAGAAAAAAAAAATATAAGCGCGTTCGTGACTTTTGGTATCCCTTTTTCCCTTTTTTTTTCAGCTAAACAACATGTCAGGAACAACATTAAAGCCACGTAGCATGACAGCAGGTGCACGTAATGTGCTTCGTTCGAATGATTCAGCAAGTTTATGGAACTGTACTCTATCTCCTGGTTGGACAGAAGAAGAATCTGAAATATTACGAAAAGCTCTAATGAAATTTGGCATTGGTAACTGGGCCAAGATTATCGAAAGTGGATGTTTGCCTGGTAAAACCAACGCTCAAATGAACCTTCAGCTGCAACGTTTACTCGGTCAACAGAGTACAGCAGGTAAAATGACCAATGAAAGAATATACGCAATATTCAAATTGTGTATATCCGATAGAGTTTGCGGGATTACATATTGATCCAAAGGTGATTGGAGCAAAGAATTCAAAGATACAAGGTCCACATATTAGACGTAAAAATAATTGTATTGTGAATACAGGTGGCAAATTATCCCGTGAAGAACTGAGAAAGAGAGTAGCAAGTAATAAAGAAGAGTAAGTCATATCAAAGTTACTTATTCAGTGACTCATCATCAAAAGGTACGAACTTCCGGAAGAAGTATGGAAAAATATAGAGTTACCCAAAGTCGAAGATGTAAGTTGCTCGACTTTTTTTTAATATATAATTAACACTTTTAAAGCCATTGATTATCCTTGAGCAAAAACGAGCCGAGATGAAGAGATTGAAAGAAGAGCTTACAAAGGTACAGGCAAGTATCTTGAAGATGACAAATGCACAACCTGACAGAATGGATAAATTAAAGGTAAGCTCCTTTTTTTTTTCTTTGTTCTTCTGCTGAGTTATATACATACAGTTTGAAGTGACACAATCACCATCTGTGTCTACACCAGGAACACCTGTAACCGAGGATAAAGAACAAATAAAGATAATAGATGATGAAGATGAAGATATTATTATAGGAGATGCTAATAGAGAAATAGAAGAAGATGATGAATGTGAGGATATGCAAACAAGCTTATTGGATCAAGATTATGCCTTGGCTATGAAATTACAACAAGAAGAAGAGGATGAATTAGCAGGAGAATACGAAAACTTGGATTACAGTGATGACGATGATGAGGATTTTAACCAGACCAAGAAAAGAAAAGTTACACGTAAATGAGCCTTAAATCCTTTTTTTGTTATTTTTGTGCTAAGCAGAACAGTAATAAAATTCAAAAACCAGCCTCATTAAAATTAACCCTATTTCTTTTTTTTTCTTCTTCTTTTCTTTCTTTTTCTTTATATTAAATAAATAATAATGGCTTGCTGTGAACTATCATCTGATGAAGCAATTAAGAGAAAAGTAGTTATTGTTGGCGATGGTGCATGTGGAAAGACTTGTTTATTGAGTGTATTTTGTAAAGGAAGCTTTCCTACTGTAAGATCATTTACATATTGATAAAGGAGATGATTAACTCTTTATTATATAGACACAATATATTCCTACCATATTCGAAACTGCTGTAAAGGATATGGTGGTTGATTCAAAAAATGTAGTAGCAGAACTCTGGGATACTGCAGGTATATTTTATAAAAATTAAAGAGTCTCCTTATATTAAAATAAAAAACACACAAAGGTCAGGAAGATTATGATAGATTAAGAACCTTAAGTTATCCTGATTCAGACGTGATTCTCGTGGCATTTTCAGTTGATATACCAGAATCATTAGAAAATATAACTGAAAAGGTACATTTGATGAGCATATTTATGTCTAATATTAAACTTTTTTCTTGTATAGTGGGTGCCTGAAGTAAAGAGATATTGTCCCGGTTTGCCGATTATATTGGTAGCCTGTAAAACGGATTTAAGACAAGATCAGACGACGATTGAAGAATTATCAAAACAATCTCAACAAGTCATCACTTATCAACAAGGAGTGGTTGTCGCAAGGCAAATCGGAGCATACAAGTATGTTGAATGCTCTGCGAAACTAGGACAAGGTGTTCAAGAAGTATTTGTCTCAGCAATAAGAAGTACTCTGAAGCAAAATTCAAGCTGCAATGTCATGTAAACCCCTCTTTCTTTCTTTGTCCTTTTTTTTCGTTGTTCTTGAATATATCAAGAAATATTTTATTGTTCACACTAAATTTTGATACAAGAAAATTAATCAAAGAGACCTATAGTAAATACAGATATTAGTTTCTCTCTTTTTAAATAAATTATATAATCATTTCTTACCGAAGCCCATATCGTCATCAGATTCTTCCTTCTCTTCTTCCTTCTTTTCTTCTTCAGCAGGAGCATCGGAAGAACCAGCGGCACCGGCAGCACCAGCGGCAACAGCGGGACCAGCACCAGGAGCACCAACGTTCATGAGAAGGGCCTTGAGGTCTTGACCAGCCAAAGCTTTGGCATAAAGAGAGAACCAGATGGGTTCAACTTCGACACCGGCAGCAGAAACCAAAGTTTGGAGCTTGTCAGCCTAAACATATACATATTTATATTAGCACAACGATCCATCTAATTGTTTCCATCCATCTTACAGTGATTTCAATGTTGTCATCCTCAAGGATGAGAGCAGCATAAACGACGGCGAGTTCGGCAGACATGATTAATTTCTTTTTGTGTTCGCAAGTAACGATTTAACCCGAAGGATACAAGACGATTAAAAGAAATCACTTATTTCTAAAGAGGTTGATATTTATTTCCCCATTTGCAGTGTCCCCGGACATATTCTTTTTGTCCGGTTCGGTCGCTCCGGAGAGTCCTGTCATCATTATCATCGCGTTCCCTTTTTTTCTTTTTTCTTTTTTCTTTTGTATGCAACCACAACAACAACCTCACATGTTCCAAGGCGATATGGGACAACATGGAGCCATGCCTCCGCAAAATATACCTCAAGCTGGAATGCAATACAGAAAGAGACCTAGTGAAGTAGAGTCACTTGCAAAACATATAAAGTAAAAACAAAAGTTCAAAAAAAAACAACATCTAAGCTTCTTTTCCATTAGGAAAAAGAGACCCACAGATAAAAACTTGTCTCCAAAAGTATGTTATTTTAGCTAAACATGGCTTGAACTTACTTGTTCAAATATAGATTGAATCATTTGCACCAGAATCAAAGCTTTATACAGAATTAGTAGATTTTGAGAAAAAGTTAGATGCGACCATTATGCGAAAGAGGTTGGATATTCAAGAAGCCCTTGGAAAACCAACAAAAGTAACATAATTTGGCTTTGTTGTGCAATATATAATAACCCACTCTATTTCAGGTACGCCGTACGCTTCGTCTTTTTATCTCAAATACAACAGCACCAGCCGATCAACAAGAACTGAAGCAAGATAATGCAGAATTCGACTTGAGTAATAATAATGCACCCACTTGGACACTAAAGATTGAAGGAAAATTACTGAGCGTAATGTATTATGATTATTATCATTATTATGATGACTAAAGATGAACGTTGAAATTATTAGCCTGATAATGATAATTCTTCAAAAAATGTTGAGCCGACACCAAAGATGACAACTTTCTTTAGATCTCTAGCGGTTGAACTTGATAGAGATCCAAGTCTATATCCTGAAGGCAATACGATTGAGGTAAGCATGAGCCAATACATGATGATCACGTAATTCATGGTGTGTATAGTGGCAAAAACAACCTAATTCGACAACTGAATATGATACTATTGAAATCAAAAGAAAAGGAGATATCAACACAAACTGCAGGATCACTATTAATCTTTTCCACAATCCACAGAAATACAAGCTAAGCCCCTTGTTGGCAGATCTGTTGGATACAAAGCTAGATACTAAGCTTCAGATTGTCATGGGCATATGGAACTATTGCAAGGCAAGTCTTTGTTTTTTTATTTTTCAATATCATATTGACATGAGTCATAGGTACATAAGCTTCAAGATCAAGAAGACAAGAGGGTCATTCGTTGTGATAATCGTTTGGTTCAATTATTTGGGTATCCCCAAATTCACTTTTCTCAAATTCCAGAGCTAATAAATCAACACTTGAGTCAGCCAGATCCTATAGTGATCAACTACACTATTCGGTAAAGATTGAATTTGGAAACTACAAAAAAAAAAGAGACTAAACATGCAAATAGAACGGATAAACAGTTTCATGCATCTTCAAAAGCTTACGATATTGAAGTTGAAATGGATAGCGCTGCACGTCAAAAGATGATGAACATTATCTCGTCAAGCCAAGTACAAAAGGAAATCATGACTTACGATGACAAAATTGTTCAGTGTGTACAAAGCATAAACAATTCCAAGATCAAACGAGACTTTTTACTGCAGTTCTCCAAGGAGCCTGTCGAATTTATTAACAAATGGATTGCTAGTCAAGCAAGAGATTTAGAAATCATCTTGGGTGAAAGTAAAGCCAATCTAGAAGAGATAAAACAAACAGACTTTTATAAGCAACCATGGATGAAAGAGGCTGTATTTCATTATTTAACAACAAAGGTAATAACAATGATTCATCATAGTGTATATTTGCTTATTTTTTATAATAGACACAACAACGTATGCAAGAATTGCTTACAACGCAACGTTAAGGTTTATTATGTCCAAAAACGAATACATGTTGGCTCAACGTGTTCTACACTAGACACTTGTTCTAATAAGCCTGTTGCTTGATCAATCTTGAACACAGCAATATTATTACTATCCTATAAACAAATACATCAATAAATAAATATATTCATAAAAAAAAAAAAAAAGAACTACCGTGTTGCCAACCAAAAGAAACTGGCCTGTTGGGTCTATGGTGAAGTGGCGAGGACACTTACCTCCAGTAGGCTGATAACCTACCAAGGAGAGTTTACCTGTCCATTCATTGATCTCAAATATAGTAATCGCATCATATCCTCTCATCGACACATACAAGAACTTGCCATTAGGTGAAATGTCTATCTCGGCTCCCAAATTATCTCCTTCAAAATCTTGAGGTAATGCATGCACACGTTGAATTTCATTGAATTTACCGCCTTCAAAATCAAATTCAAGCATGAATACATCATTGGATAATTCACCTACAACATAACAAAAGTTGTTGTGATTTGGAGCAAACTTGAGGTGACGTGGCCCAGTGCCGGGAGGAAATGAGAAGGTGGAATGAGGAGATATCGATCCAGATTGCTTATCAAATAGATAGGTAACAAGTAAATCACATCCCAAGTCATTTACGAAAACATAACGATCTGCAATAGGATCAAAGTCAACTGAGTGACAATGTGCCTTTTCTTGACGCGTGGGAACACTCATTGTATGGTTGTAGTGTTGGTTGTGGTCTGAGAAAGAGATAATGTTACCTAGATTCGACTCAGGTGATCCTGGTGCGTTGATAGGAAGCACAGAAACTGAACCGCCGGTATAGTTCGCAGCTACTAAAAAGTTACCAATAGAATCACATACTGCATGACAAGGATGTTGCCCATTTGTAACTTGTTGGTTCGCCAAAGTTAATTTTCCTGTTTGTGGGTCGCGGTTATATGCGGAAATGTAGCCCGTGTTGGCATTATTGAATGACGCTACTTCATTAGTTGCATAAAGATGTTGTCCAGATTTGTGAAAGCAGAACCAAGACGGGTTCGCGCTCTCGGCAGCCAAGGTTTCGAGTGATAGAGCCCCAGTTGTCGTATCAAAGGTGTAAAGGTAAATACCTGTTGATTTTTCGTTGGTATAGCCTGAGACGTAAACGGGGACTTGTGACATGATTTAAACAAAGAGAAAAAGCGAGGTTTGTATAGTGTTACATTAGACTTTTAATCCAAAAAGAGATTAAAACCGAGACGGCAGTGATGTCAGGTAAAGATATACTTTGAAATACACCGGCCATGTCATCATGTATACTATTCTCTTCGGAAAGTCTAATAATGACCTTAATAATGTCTTTATTATCTGCTGCAAGATAGTAACAAAGCTTCCGAATATTGAGAAATAGATAAGAACAAAAGAGAGAAAGAAGGTATCACTCTGTTTGTAGACAACCAGAACATTTAGTCAGTCATATTCCGAGACTCATATAGATGAAAAAGTCGATAACGACAAACTCGCGTATAGTTTTCAAAGAAACCCATTCTTCAAAAGACTGTGGAATTGTGAATAAAAGTCGTATATTTATTATGATCGTCTTTGTCGTTGTTGTTCTGCTGCTTCATCTTCTTCATCAAAGCCCTCATCATCCTCATCACCATAAAATAACTCATCATCATCATCAGTGTCATCAATAGAATCTGCGTCTGGTCCTTCGTCATCACTCGGCCCATCATCATCTGGTCGAGGTATGCGAGTTTCAGGGTCTAGTCTTAGTCTTCCCATTGTTGACGTCAATTCGTCCGTTAAGCTATCCGTCTTTATGCTTTTCTTTACAGATTCCATTCTCTTTTTCATATTAGCTTCTTTAATTTCTTTTTGCTGTGATTCCTGTAATTGTATAGATTCGTCGAGGCTGATGATACGTGCCGATCTTGCCTATAGATACCGTTAGTCACCCTACTTAACGCGCAGCATATTGCCATTAGTTACACTAGAAACCATATCTGAATGAGATCTTAATAGCTTATGCGACTGTTGATTTTCTTGGCTACTTGCTGACTTATTTGCATGAATCAAGACTTCCTTTCGTGTATTCGGTCTGTCATTAATTGATAGTTCGGATACTCGTTTGCTTAAACTTGTATTTTCGGTATTTTTTAGTGCCTCTTCTATTTGCTCAAGTTTTGCTTTCAGTTTAGAGCCTCCGTCTGGTAGTTTTATGCCTCTATTGACAGAGTGTTAATATAGAGCAACATCTTATTCGATACTTTTATACTTGCGAATTGTTCAATATAGCTTTTGTCTTTGTGTAAAGTTCAACCAGTTCATGATGACTCAGGTTGTTTAAATCACGGTTGGTTTGTATGGATCCAACTGAACCCTTTCTTCCTTTAGAATAAGTCGTCATTTTGCCTTGTTGATTTTGTCCATTCATTTCTGTAATTAAAATAAAGAGAGAAATATATGTGAGTGGCGCGTCATTCCTTTTCCTAAAAGAAGAGAAAAAGTGAGTTTAACCAAACAAAGTCACGAATGCATAAAATGTGAACAATGACAAAGTAGAACCTCCTTATCAATTTGAATAAAGAACATAGACCAAGATGCTGTCTTACACACAAACTCACTCAGAGCTACTATTCAACCCCACTCTTATTACTTCTCATTTACCGATCCTATCTTTTATATGATTGTAACGAGGATGTTTCTCTCTCTTTTTTTATAACTGTATTACCATTAAATTTGGTGAACCCTTTGTGCTTTGCAGATCATCTTACACAAGTAATCCATGACCTTTTAATTATTGCTACATGATATGATAGGGGGAACTTGACTCGTTTTCGAATACGAAATCAAAATTGATGAATGACTGAGATGAAGAATACACAATTAACCAATAATGACACGTACAGATGATGACTTGATTTACTAGATAAATACAAAAGAATATATATCATAAAAAAGGTGGAGGCAAAAGCAACTCAATCAAGATCACTGACTCTCACACTTTCTCTCTTTAATATACATTGATATATGATATAAACATGTAAAAATGAGAAAGAAAGAGCCATGTATAAAATTTTTGTTAAACTTGACTCACATCTCACCAACACCCACACATATAAAAATAACTTCTCCGCTTTCTTTACCAAAAAAAAAGGGGAGTTTTTCTGTTTCTTTTTTCCTTTTTCACAGACTTTGTCATGTTCGCTTCACGTCTACGATTGGTTTCAACAAGATTAGCACTCCATGGCATAAAGCCTTTTGCTATCAATAATGCTATTAAAGTAGTAAGCACTGCTCATATATCTCGCTCCTATGCAACCAAAAGTGGGAAACAAGTTTCATACACAGCAGACAAGTTCCCGGGTTACGTTCGTAACGAAAACTTTAAAAAGGCAAGCACATACAAACAGAAGAGAATGATATTTTCTAATATGTTAATATATAGCTCACTGAACAAGACGTTGAATATTTTAAAACAATTGTTGGTGAAAATGGATTAATCTATAACAACGAAGACGACCTTTTCGCTTTTAATACAGATTGGATGCACAAGTTTCGTGGAAAATCACAATTGGTTTTGAAGCCAAAGACGACACAACAAGTATCCGAAATTATGAAATACTGTAATCAAGAAAGGTAAGATAACAATAATATATAATAACCATAGACGATACTCAATTTCATTAGATTGGCTGTTGTTCCCCAAGGTGGAAACACCGGATTAGTCGGTGGATCAGTTCCAGTATTTGATGAGATTGTTCTCAGTCTTCAGGGACTAAACAAAATCCGTAGCTTTGACAGTGTATCAGGTATATATATAGATCATCATCTTTAATCGACCTATTGATCTCATACAAACCCCAAGGTATTTTGACGGCTGATGCTGGCTGTGTGCTCGAAGTGTTAGACAACTGGTTGGCCGAAAAGGGATATATGATGCCATTGGACTTGGGTGCCAAAGGAAGGTATGTATAAAATATATCTTTTTTTTTTTTTCCTAATCCCATATAGCTGTCATATCGGTGGTAATATCGCAACAAACGCTGGCGGTTTGAGATTATTACGCTATGGATCACTTCACGGCACTGTCTTGGGCTTGGAAGTTGTAAGTCATCATCAATAGAATCATCTATGGCTCTAATACTTTTCTCCTGTTTTCTAGGTACTTCCTGATGGTACAATTCTTGACAACATGTCTACATTAAGAAAGGATAACACAGGTATATCATTGGAACACATACATAATATCTGATGGAAACTGACGTGTGCATGTAGGTTATGATTTAAAGCAGCTGTTTATTGGATCTGAGGGTACTATCGGTATAATCACTGGTGTCTCTATCTTAACCCCTCATCGCTCAAAGGTTATAAAATAACAAGAAGAAAACGTAATATGACTAACATATAATAGGCTGTCAATGTTGCCTTGTTAGGCTTGAACTCATTTGAAGATGTACAAAAAGCATTCAAACAATCACGTATTGAGCTCTCTGAAATATTGTCAGGTAAGTTAAAAGCAATGTTTAATTCCCTTAATTGAACAATGAGAGTTAGCTTTTGAATTTTGGGATATTAATGCATTACAAATGTTCAAAAAGCACGCTACACCAAAGGAAGTGATGCAGAATGAATATCCATTTTATGTATTGATTGAAACAAGCGGTTCAAACAAGGATCATGACGATGAAAAATTAACAACATACCTTGAGAATATGATGGTCGATGGTGTTGCTGAGGACGGTGTAGTAGCACAAGATGAGACACAGATACGTGAACTTTGGAGCTTGCGCGAAGGTTTTACTGAAGCACTCGGAAAGGAACCAGCTGTGTACAAGTACGACATATCGATGCCTGTCCCCAAAATTTACGAGTGTGTACAAGACATGCGCCAACATTTACGTAATGGAGGTGTTTTCGGAAAGGAAGACTCACCTGTGACAGATGTGGTTGCTTATGGCCATGTTGGTGACGGCAATTTACACTTGAATATTGCTGCCAATCGCCTCGACAATCGTGTTTCTGAATTAATAGAACCCTATCTGTTTGAATGGGTTGGTAAGTATACAAGCATATTCCCCTGTTGTAACATAATTCTAATTACAAATATATTTATTAGCCAAACATCAGGGCTCAATTAGTGCAGAACATGGTCTTGGTGTAGCCAAGAATGAATTTTTAGGGTATTCCAAGTCTCCAGTCATGATTAAGTTGATGAAGACCATGAAAAATATGCTTGATCCAAACGGTATCATGAACCCTTATAAGGTAAGCTTTATTTTATATAAACACTGAATAAACAAAGCTTAATTATATACTTTTAGTATCTTCCATCCTCATAGATTTCATCATGCTCATATGTGTAGACTTCAATAAAGTCAAAAAAAGGGGGTTCACTGTATAGATTAAATGTTTTTATTTCTTAACAGTCTGTTGAAGCACCAGGAAAGTATTTTGGTAATAAATCTACGCCAGTTCACTGTTATATAAAAAGGATACACTTCTTCTAAAGTTACTTACCTTTATAAATTGGCTTGTCCTTTTCATTAAACAAGACAAAAATGACTTGGTCGATCTACATTAGCCAAGTTTAATAAGATGCTGATACCATCGTTAATGTATTCACCTTATCCTCTCCCTTTTTCATATCTCTCTCCAATTTATCATGAACAGTTTTTAAAGCAATGTTTGCTGCCTTTTCATTGTCATAGCCATATACGCCTGTAGCAATACAAGGGAAGGCAATTGTTCTGAGACCATTCTGTTCCAGTAACTCAAGACTGCGTTGGTAGCAGCCCTTTAAAACATCTGGCTTTTCTGATTGTGGACCCACGGTGTGTATGACATCTTTACAAAACTATAAAGAAGACTGCTTTACAAATTTATATTTACTTACGTTTTGCAGGAAGATTGTATCCTAATAAGTCAAGTTGAGTATAGAATGAAGGAAGTTTATTGCAATTTTACCTTTTGTTATTTTGGCTTCCTATATCGTTTATAACATTGTTAAAAAGGTAAAGAAAATGGTTCATCACCAACACTTACACCTTCAGGACAGCCATTTAAGGTTCGACATTCTTCCAGCAGTTGCTTTCCTGCTGCTCTATAAAAGAATAAGCTCTTTTGTATGTTCTTTTTCTTTTGAACCAACGTTACCTATGAATAGCTCCGTCCACTGGTAAAAATAAGCAAACTGAATGTAACAATTTTTCCCCTCACTTACCTCCTCCTCCACCGAGCAAAGAGCTGTTTGCGGCGTTAACTACCAAAACATCAATTACTCCACTCATTGTTTCTGTTTTTTTTTTTTTTTCTTACCTATCGCATCAACTTCAAGTTTGGTAATATCCTGGCAACTACGCTATATATAAACAAAGTCTTCAAATCGTCTTTCTTATCTTATTTACCATAATTTAACTTTATGTGCTAACTGGTTAAGCATTTTTCTTTTTTTTTTTTTTTATTGAAAGAAAAGGATTATTATTGAAAAACGTATTTAAGTGCTGTACATTATGTAATCGTTATGCCATTCTCTATTCCTGGGGTGAGCAGGTTTTCAATTTCAGATTTCACACACAATAAGCATCTTTAATCAAAAAGACAACATTATTAAAAAGCTGCTTTCATCAAGACGACTCACTCCAGTTCAATGAACCGCTATGTTCCTGTTGGAATCGTTGAACACGGGATGGCTTCAGCTCGTTCTTTTGAACTACTGCTACCCGTATATTGTTTCCGACATGCCTTTTATTCCACAGATGAATCGTCAGTACCTTGACCAAGTCGACTAAAATAAATGTAATCAAAGCAACTGCAATAATGGCTAAGCCTGCTGCCCATCCAATACCCTCTACAGTTGCATCACCCACTGCACCATAAACAGACAAGAACAACGCAATAACCTGTGTTCCTAGGACAACCACTGTAAATGGCCATGAAGGTAGACTTCTCCAGCAAAATGATTCGGTACGAGTAGAAAATATAATAAAATGGGGTGCTATAAACGTGAAGTTACTCTATCTACTTGTCCTTTTTTTTCCTTTTCTTTCTTACCTGCAGATATATGAAGGTACATCACGGTTGATAATTGGCCTGGGGTCACTTTAATAACATCTCGAAATATATAAAAGTGAGCAAATGAGAAAAACGAAAGAAACACAGCTAGAATGGTGGACAAGAATACCAGGAGCCTTAGACGCCATGTATTTGGATGCTTCGAGATGGTTACATTATCTATGGTCATGATCATTGTAGCTGCATCATTAAGTACTGAAATTAGAATAAGGAAGATAGGTGGCATCTGCCAGTCTTCTGCCAAGGTGATGACAAAAAAGAAAATGAGAAAGTGAATGGTAGATGAAATGCGGTAAAGCGCATAGGACTGAAGACGTTGAAAGATAGCCCTAGATGTCTTGATGCCATCCACTATAGGAGAAAGCCCAGGTGTTAATAGCACAATGTCGGCTGCAGTTCTAGCCGCGTCAGTGCTGCCATGTACAGCGATACCAACGTTTGCCTACATTCATGCATATTAGTGTAATCCATTGTGCTTAACTCCCGGCTCATACCTTCTTTAAAGCCGGTGCGTCATTGACACCATCTCCTGTCATCGCCACAAAATAGCCTTTATCCTGCAGTAACTCAACGACTCTGTACTTGTGTTCTATTAAAAATGAATAAGGGCTTACATACAAGAGTGGCTATGTAGTTGCTATACCTGGCACAACACGAGCAAATCCGTCTACATGAAGACACCGTTCTGCTATTTCTGTATCTGATTTGGCACTATCCACAAGGGAATTTGCATCCAGGATATTTTGGCCCATATTTAGTCTTTGAGCGACTTCTTTTGCGATGATTGTTTGATCACCAGTGATCATCTTTACAGAGATGCCATATTCTGAACAATCACGTATAGTCATGGCGGAATCATGGCGTGGAGGATCAATCAAACTAAAGATGCCTATCAACTCCCATTCATCCCCACTGTCATCCATGATCAACTTTGGTTTTGTGCGGGCAACTCCCAAGGCACGTAAGCCTCGTTGGGCGAACTCTACAACAACCTTTTCAGCATCTACTATAGGGCGTAAACCACTGTTGTTAACAAGTTCCAGAATGACTTGAGGCGCGCCTTTAGCTACTTTAAATGTCGATTGCGTTGTCTTATCAAGGACAACTGCGCGAGACATCTTTTCGACTGGATCAAATGGCTTGAAGGATTTCACTTGATATCCAGGGACATCATACTTTCCTTCGAGTGTCGAAATGATTGGGTGATTTCGCTCTGCTGCATTTCGGACAGCGAATTCAATGGGGTCACTGGTTGCTGGCTCGGATGATAAATAAGCGTGAAGCAAAAGATCGCTCTTTGTGAATGGTGGTGCCAAGTAAGGTTCGTCAAATGTGAGCTCGTTAAGTGTGAGTGTGCCTGTTTTATCGCTGCAGAGTATAGATACAGATGCAAATTCTTCTACTGATGTCAGTCTTTTAACGATAACCTTTTTCTTTGCTAGCTGCTTTGCTCCAACAGCCATTGTTACTGACATGACTGTAGGCAAGCCTACAGGAATCCTGCAAGATTTAATTAATACAATGTAAGCGCAATATAAAAATAACACATACGCTGCGATAGTAAGCACAACCATTTCCTTTAAAGCGTCCAAGACATCAGGACCAGTGACAACGCCTGTCTTTATCTTTTTCTCTACCAAGTCATAGATAAAGATGATTGTTACCAGTAAAACTGAGATAGCGATCAGAAAGTTTCCAATATAGTTAACCACTTTTTGAAAGTGACCAGCGTCTGTTGTAACAGAAATCAAGTTGGCAGCCCTTCCTATGAACGTACTGGAGCCAGTCCTAACTACGATACCTAATTGCTGCCCCTGTTTGACAATGCTGGAGGAATAAACAAGATCACCTTTTCGCTTTCGCACAGGTAGTGATTCTCCTGTGAGGGCACTCTGATCAATTTGAAGATCACCCTCGATCTGTTCACCTGTGGCACCTATCCCCAGCAATCTCACATCTGCAGGCACAATATCGCCCAGACGTAACACAATGACATCACCAACAACCAGTTCAGCTGCATTGATTTCCATCAACTGTCCTGAGCGCCAACAACGGGTATGAAGAGCTAGACTTGTTTTAAGAGCAGCTACAGCAGAGTCCGCTTTGGCTTCTTCAATATAGCCAATCAAAGCATTAATAATTAGCATGGATAAGATGATACCAAAATCCACCCAGTCCTTTGTTACAGCAGTTAGAATAATCGATATTTCCATGAGATAAGCAATAGCGCCAGTAACTTGTTAAAAAGAATAAATGAGCTTATAATAAAATCAAACAATAAAAACTTACAAAATGATAGAAAATGCTTTATTTTACTCTTCTTTTTATCTTGTAATTCGTTTTTACCAAATTTTGTCAACCTTTCTGCTACTTGTTGCTCTGTTAATCCATAAGTTGGTTTAGTATCAAGATATACTTCGACTTCAGGTGATATCTCGTCTTTCCATTCTTTTTCTGTGTTTGTAATTGATTCAAGAGGTATAGACTCATTGGGTAACATAATAATAAAAAAAGAGAAAGAGAAAAAAAAAGGGGGGGAATACCTCAAGGTACGCAAAAAAATAACATTTGTAACAAAGATTTGCTCCTAGCAGAAAAAGATAGTCAAATACTTGCAGGTGCATACAGCCTTTTTTTCAACTTCAAATTGAGATTGATTCATCATCATTTAGCTGATTGATACAACATAACAAGCTTTACTTTCAACATAAACCGGTTAAAGAAAAAAGAGTTTCTCCTTATTAATAGAGAAAGAAAAAGAGCTTTTTGTTGGACAAACACTTTTGACACACTCCAAAATGTACTTGAAATCCCTAATACTACGCTCTTCTTTAGTATGTTCAGTAACAACATCTAAAGAGAAATAAATATAAATACAACGAAATATTCTTTGTTCATAGAACAAAATACAATGTTTATCGTGTAGTACAGTTCAGCTTGTGTAAATAATACAAGAAAATTACTCAACGCTTATTTGCTAATCCCAGGTTACCTCTTCAGTTGTCTAATTAAGTAAATGGGCGTGTCTAGGGTATAGCTAGGAACAAAACATTATTTCTTTGCCTTTTTTCTTTTCCCTTTTTTTTTTTTAATTCTGGGATAAATCCATGCTTACTGTTAAAAGAGTGATAGGAGTAGCAAGCCTACTAATTGTCACTTTATTACTATTATTTATTCAATATGTATTTGTAAAAGAGAATAGACAACCACAACAGTTAACAAACAACTCAGACGAGTGGTATTATGATAACCCATCCACATTAACATATCCACATGATCGATTCAAGGCTGCTCTTTTCACCTTTGTCAAGAATGATACAGCATCACTAACAAAACTAAGACACACCATTCGAAATATAGAAGATCAGTTCAATAAAGAGCGAGGATATCCTTATATTATCTTTACTGATCAAGACCTATCGCATGAATATATGGAGTTGGCAAGCTCTTTAACAAAAGCCACTGTTAGATTCGAAAAAGTTGACAGTGACTTTTATGGATATCATCCAGAGACGGATCAGGACCGAGCAGCGCAGACAAGAGCTAATATGAGCCAGATCATGTTTGGTGACAGTGAAGACTATCGATTTCAATCAAGGTTTATGGCAGGAACGATTTACAGGTAAACTGATAGTCTATATGTGACAAAGAGACCTTTATAGATCTTTAAATAGACATCCTATCATGCAGGAGCTGAATTTCGGCTGGAGATTTGAAGCAGGAACAGAGTACATTTGTCCCATTGATCAAGACCTATTTCAGTACATGTATGAAAACAACAAGACGTTATCATTCGTTATAGCACTGTACGAGTATGCTGAAACTATACCTACTTTATACGAAACAGTACTTGATTTCGCATCACAGCATAATGAATGGATAACATCTAATCAAGATCCTGATTCACTTTGGAAATTTATACAAGATCCTTTCACCAAAAACTTTAACGGATGTCATTTGTGGAATAATTTCCAGGTATGAAATACTCCAAGTACAATGGATGCGCTGATAAAAGTATGTATAGATATCCAATCTTGACTTTTTCAAAAGTGAAAAGTATCAGCAGTATTGGGAATATATAGACAGCTCAAATGGAATATTTTATGAAAGGTGGGGTGATCCAATCATTCAATCCTTGGGTGCTGTGTTATTCTTGACAAAGAAAGACATTCAATTCTTCGATACGGTCGGATACAGAGTAGCCAATTCATTTACACATTGTCCAGCCAACTACTTTAAATGTACATGCAGGCCTGAACAGAACTTTGATTTTAATGGATATAGTTGTCTACGGTTTTATTTTTAAATATCATCAGCTTTCTTTCTTTCCTTATCCAATTCGATCAACTTTTCCCCAATCTCCTTTTCATGTTCATTTAATTCGTATATCCTATCCTTTTCTTTAATGCATGATGTCTCAAATTGCCAGTCTTCTCCTTCTGCATAATGAGTGAACATCAAATATCGATTCTCCCAACGGTTTTTATCTCTTAGTAGTCCTCCATTCCACCACCATGGTCTCTTGTTTGTATCCAGATGAAGCTGATTGCCACACACGGTTCCTGCTGCACCAGAATCGCCCAGTCCTCCAAGAACTGCGCCATATGATCTAGGGAATAGATAAGGTGTTTGAACCATTTCGAAACCAGTCCAGAATGTCTATTACGTAGGGTTAAAAATAATAATAGGTAGTTTTTGATCCGTTACCTCTTTATCACCATGACTATGTTTATAAGATACCATATCTCTCTCTTGTTTATCATTCATTTTGCAAGTTGACAGCAAGCCAAACAGTACCTTCTTTTTATCCATCACAACAATACCTGACTCCTGTTCATGAGCAGATGTCTTTTTCCACCAGCGGGATTGCTCAACGTAGGTGCTATAAGTGGGTAAAAACGACTTTAACCATCGACGACCCTCTTCGTAATTATTAAATAAGGTGCGATCCAAAAAAAAGAGTGCACCTGTTCGTTTGTAGCCTTCGTCTTCAAATAGAGTATCGGGCTTTTGAAACATAAATACATCCGCATCCATCAAAATGACATGACGGAAACTGCTTGCGAGCATGGCATAAGGTTTGATGGCCCAACCACCGAATTGAGTGTATTCATCATTGATGATCGTTGAGATATCGACTGTCTTTACATTTTCAAAGGTTTCAAAGTAGTCTCGTTTGCTCTTTGATAAGTCGTCCTGGTTGATATAAAATATTTCAATTGGTAAATCTGACTTGAGCACCTGTCGAAGGGCTCTGACAGCTGAAGCTGCGTGTTTGAACTGATCTTCGCCTACGCACATGACAATGCCTTTGTCCTGCTTGATGGTTGTGTTGATCTTGAATGCATTTTTCCAAAATGGTTTGATCCAAGGATAAAGTGAATTTTCTAATTTGCTGTAGATAGCCCAGGTTTCCTTATAGGCAGGTTCCTTGGTCACGTCGACTAAGCCTTCGGCAATGATGGGGTCAAAGTATTGAAAGAGTGATTTGAATATTCTTTGTTTGCTTGTCAAAAGCTTAAAGTCTGGTTTATCTTGTGAATCAGTGGTAGTGAAAAGGTCAGCTGCGAATCGCTGTCCAATGGGTGACTTGAGTAACTGTAAGTCGTCGTCTATGTTTTCATAATGTTATTCACTCATTAAAAAATAGCACTCCTTATTTACCTTTCCATGATTCAATCGGTGTAGGAACGGCAACATAGTATTTGTCGATAAGGTCGATGGTATTTTCTACAGTAATTTCTATATATTATGCGATAAATAAATGTTATCAAACTATATGTGCTATCATTACCTGGCTCAACAATGGCTCTATTTTCTAGAATCTTTTGCATTCTCTTCTTTTCCCTTTCTATCTCTAGCTGCTTTCTTCTTTCTTGTTCTCTTTCTTTCTCTTGTTTTAGCAGTAATCGATTTTGCTCTTCTTCTTGCTCTTTTAATAAGCTATTTCTTTCTTCCAAGTGTATGATATACTTGAAGAGAAACAACAGACATGCTATAAGAAATACTAGAGATATTAGTCGAACAAGTCGACTATTCAATTGTGGCTTCATTTCAACAAAACAAGAGAGAGAAAAAGTGTATATTGAGAAAAAGGAGAAAGGGGTCTTTAAACTCAGTGTAGGGTTACACGATTTATTTTTGGAACACATCATTTTTTCTCTCTCTCTTGCCGTCTATAATCTAGCAGAGGGAAAAGGTGTCAGTTATGAAGATCCCCTGGGGCTGATGAAATTATTAAAGTGACTTGTAATCAAGATGTCACTTTACATGACAAGCAATATAAAAATGGAAAGTACCTAATACGGGATCCGTCCCCATGGTTACAGTCGATCAAAACAGACTCAGAGTAAAAAAGTTGTTAATTGGTGAAACTGAAAGGACTTGCTTTAGAAAAAAAGATATAGTTATTTGTATTTGAAATTGTAAGAAACGAGTATGAACAATATGTTTTGAATTATTTTTAATATCTGTATGTAGTTTATTTAAAGAAACTATTTACAATCTATACATTATTATAAAAAGAAGCAAGATATTATGGTATCAATGAGTTAACTTTATCCTTTTGACTATTGTACCATAAGAATTGAATGTAGATAATCATATCGAAGAGCAAGGTGCCAGCTGCACTAATGATGAAAGGAAGGGCATTGATGAATGTTTCTCTTGTGTGACCTGGATGAAGGATAATGCTAAGAGCATAGGTGATATTGCCAACAACGGCGAAGCTGAACAGTGCGAGTGACAAGCCTTCCACGGAATGACGCTTATGGTTTTTTATGATTTGTGGTATACGAGAAGATAAATAGAATGTAGTGCACGCCCATGCTAACAAACGACCCAAGACAACTGAATCGACAACCAAGCTAGATTGACTCTTAAAGCCAAACACCAAGAATAAGGCTAACAGTTGCCTTTTAGAGTTCTTTACGGATCCGTAAGTGGGTGAAGTTGATAAAATAGGGGTCGTTTCAACTATTTCTCGAGACTCAGTAGCAAATAATTCTTGAGCTTTTGACTCAATGAAAGAACTTTTACGATAATAAAAGTATTGAAAGAGTAGCACAAGATCTGTCATACAAAAGTAAAACGCCAAATAAATCTGAAAGGGTAACTGACGGTTTAAAATGCAGCTGACAGTATTTGCTACATCGCCTACAGAAAGAAATAGATGAGTCTATTTTTCATACATGTATGTATTTATATATACCTGCTAACCAAAAGTACAGTAAATATAAACTAAGTCCATCAGCGGACTGCAATTGATAGTTTTCAACCATTTGACTAAGACAAATAAGTATAATAATGCTCATCTAATCAAATAACTGTACTTACGGTAATTGAGCACACAGCCAGCAAAATAAGGATGTATAACCAAATAGTTGACTAGAGAGTTCAGCGTATCCGTAGACGCAAGATCCAAACAATGACTACAAGATCAATGTTATGCTTATATAATTTACTGATACTGTGGACACTTACATGAATCCATTGAATAGCTTGATCTTTTGGCATACAATCCATTCTTCAGAAAACAAGAGAAAGAAAAAAAAAAAAAAAAAAAAAAAAAAAAAAAAAAAAAAACTAAAAAATCTTTTTTTTTCTTTACATGTATAAATCCAATCAAATTAAAATTCGAGAAAATTTTCCTTTTATATATAAAACATAGGCAGCAGTTCTTGCCCCCCTTTAAACTGTTTGAACCAATATTTAAGGGTATTATTGTACTTTGAGCTAAGTGATCTTGGTTGTAATCATTCTTTCTTTATTTATTGAATTTGTACAACCTAAAATACAATAATAATAAAATAATTCTAATCTTTTATAGTGAGTTTATATAAATACAAGATATAAGCAGGTTAAAGCAGAAGAGGGAGGCGATAATAACCTTCAGTACATGTCTCTTTGAAATCAAAGTTGCACCTCATCAGTTCTGAAATCGCAAGTTACCAAAAAAAGGAACTGTTTGTCTAGAAAACGTTGCGCATGATAGAAAACCTGTCACTTTCTATACGCTTATACCTTATTTGGAAAGTATTTCGTTACACCATTCCGACTAGTTTAGGTGTACAAAAGTGTAGGAACTCTGTTATGTTTCTTTAATAGAGTACAAATAATCGCTAGTATCTCATCCCCCCACGTATAATATGGCCTTCATTAACCTCGTTAGCTCTTAAAGACATTCACTTGAACAGCATCGCTTCGGCTGCTACAAATACATTATGTTCCGTAGTTATCATCAGATAGACGGCATGACCAAATGCACAACAAAAAAAATGGTTAAAACCATCATATATGGAACATTCTGGGTCATTAGACGAGAGCTATGTCCCACAAAATCAGAACTTACAATAGCTTTTGTTGGAGTTGAAGCTGCAGTGATTGCAAGCTAAATAAATACAGAATCTCCGTTAACAACTAGGCTCTGTGGACAGTACCTTCACCCACAACTGTTACCAACAAGCTGTCTCTAATTACTATCAATCAAATCCCAATTTCTTGGAAAAATCTAATGTATTCCAAAACGTCCAATATTTAATACTTGAGAAACGCGTCCAGAAAAAAAAAAAACTTTTAACTGTACAACTCCTGCAGTTACAGCCTATAGTCCGAGATTTTGGTTCGTTTATGTCTGTATGAAGGCCTGTCCTTCCATTGGACAACTACAACGTCGTCTTCACAGTTCAGGACTATCGTAGTACAGAATTTCGGATATTCGCCACCATGGCAGAAATGTAATTGTCTACCTTGCCTATAATTAGTATGTCCCAGGTCTTAATCACCTGCTATGTCCTGGCATCACAATCAAAGAGTACCTACCCCATTTGATTTCCCCATCATTCGCGAACGTATCCAAAGGTAGCTCAACCACTGAAATGACGTGAGACGCTACTTCGTATATGAAAACTACACGTACATTTATGCAAAAGGGATTTCAAGGAACTTATCAGTTGTATTTGGTTGTGGCGTGTAGAAAATTATTCAATTACATGATGCGTTGATTTCATCATGTTTCATTTTTCTAACATTCAGCCCTTCCTTGCTTTCTTTCTTGTTCTTTTTGCTTTGGTAGAGCAACTAGCGCAATTGAGTAAAATGGAAAGTAGTACCTTCTAAATAAATAGACTACATCTGTTATCCATTTGTTCAAGCATTTATGAGAACGTCAAACTTGATTTTAGCCTTGCTATTCCTGTCTACAGATTGAGATCGAGCTTTTTTGAGAGACGGGCTGTCATGTTTTCTTGCGTAGTCATTAATGGCATTTTGAGTATTTGAGCCCGATAAATGTCTGATACAATCGCTTCGTAAACTATTCCAAAAAGGCTATTAGAGAACATGTGGACAACCGTTGCCATCACACTTTTTAAAATGCCGTCAAATCCATTTTTTGTTCAGCTGTGTCGATGGGCATTACTGCATGAAAAGTGTATTCAAACTACTTTACTGAACAACTTTTGAATATTTTCTGTATTTAATTGAATTCATAATATCATAACTTAACTTAATATATATCAATAATTGAAAAAAAAAGGGTGAACATTGCTTTCAGGAAAACACAAATGATTTATCCCCCATTATTCGATAAACATGTCTGCAGCTCGAGTCAAAGTAGACAAAGAGTTGCCATCCAAACCAACTTTATTTTTCTCATCACTGATAAATTTTTATATTTTTATTGTATATTTGCAAGTGTCCGTCAAACAACTCTTTTGTACGGATATCTGTTACTTGACACTATTTTTCATGTATCCCAGCTAGTGCATTGCATATTTGAACATCGTGTTTGTGTCGTAGGCGGCCTATTGATATCGTATGGCTTCCAGTTTTCTTTTCCTGTTCTTTTGCAATGAATAATGTAATAGCTGCTTTGATTACTAACCTCTGTTCAAGACAACATTAAAAGCATTATTAACTATTATTTAATACGTTATCCGCGTGATTTTGTTGTATCGGATGTGAATCGTGTTGGCCTTCATAATTAATAAGCCAAACACGATTTTTCGTGGCACAAAGGGCAATAGTGAGCTCAGACCAGCTCATAAACCTTGGCTGTACAAAAAGCAAAGTAAAGCATAAGCATATTTAAAGTAGATTATGTGAAGAACATTTGAATAAACCATTAACAGAATAAGTAACTAGAAGATCGTGGGGCATACTAAAACATCATTATCATTATGACAAAAGAAAAAAAATGTATCCATCTTTTAGGCATCATTCTTTTTTATTCTTTCCCTTTAAACATCGTTCTAAAGAATGAACTTTATCGATTATTACATAATACCCCATCCTTTGGACTGATTTGGCCTGATTTCTTCTGACTCATACAGTGGCTTTTACCACGTTTGAATGTCAGTACCAACCATGATCTGGTTACTGCCGGAGACAGAAAAAAAATTTTTAATATAAAAAGAAGAGAAAAAAAAAATTACTAAATAAAATTTTTTTCTTACAGAGTGGAACCATATAAACACTTTTTTTTTACAGAGTGGAACCTCTTTTAGTAATTCGTGTAGTAGAATGTCTCCTTTATCCAAGTTCATTGTTACCCCTTTGGCTTCTCGTCGCTTATTTTCAACCACAGTTGCTCCTCATGCTTACTATACTGCTTCCTTGGTTCATGATGTATCAAAAAAGGTCAATAAAAATCTAAAGCTCTATGACTTCCGAAGTGATACTGTCACTGCCCCTACAGATGAAATGTTTGACCTCATGAAGCATGCCTCTCGTTCTGATGATGTCTTTCAGGTACGTGCTACTATTATACATTCTATTAAACAATACGTACTTACTTGACTATAGGAAGACAAGTCTGTTAATGACCTCCAAGATTACGTGGCTGAATTAACTGGCCACGAAGCTGCTCTCTTTTGCGCTAGTGGTACTATGACAAACCAGTTGGCCCTTCGTACCCATTTGGTCACTCCTCCTCACTCAGTCGTCTGTGATTCTCGTGCTCACGTCTTTCTCTGGGAAGCAGGTGGTATTGCTGTCCATTCTCGTGCCTCTGTTTCTCCTGTGATTGCTTCAAACGGTGTTCATGTAACAAGTGAAGAAATCGAAGCAAACCTCTTGGGTGAAGACATCTATTCTGCACCTACACGTGTTGTCTCTCTTGAAAACACTTTAAATGGTATGATTTTTCCTATTGAAGAACTTGCCAAGATATCCAAAATGGCTCGTTCCAAGGGTCTCGCTATGCATCTTGATGGTGCTCGTCTCTGGAATGCCTCTCAAGAGACTGGTATATCACTAAAAGAATACGGTAAACTCTTTGATTCCATGTCGCTTTGCCTTTCTAAAGGTGTAGGCGCTCCTATTGGTTCCATCGTTGTTGGTAACGCCAAGTTCATCGACCGAGTCCGTCATTATCGTAAACTTTTTGGTGGTGGATGGAGACAAGCTGGTTTCATGGCCGTAGCTGCTAAACATGGGATTGAACACATCGTACCAACCATGAAAGAAACCCATCAGCTAGCCAAGTACATGGCAGACCAACTCGTTGCTATGGGAATTGATCTCCAGGTCCCTGTGCATACCAATATGGTTTTCATTGACACTAGTCGCGCAAACATTGAAATCCAACGAGATTTAATTCCTGCCCTGGCTGAACGTAACATCAAGATGGGCGGAATGGGAAAGAAGGCTCGTCTGGTCTTGCATCATCAAATTGATCGTCAAGGTGTTGACTCCTTTTTAGAAATTGTGCGTGATGTTGTTATGGCTGCTCGTCGTAACTGCAAAGAAGAACAATCTACACGGCTTGCTTTAAATAACTCTGTCTAAGGATAACCTTTAAGCATATACCATCCCATTTTGTTCTTTTGCATTATCTCACTTTTTCATTTACATTTACATCATCTATTACCATTATCACACTTATATTAAAATAAATAGTGATTAATACATCTATAAAGTCTGTATTAAATAAACGGATATAGCACGGCTATATTACATATATATTCCTTGCCTTTTTCATAGTTCTACACAAGTTGTTCAAACTAGGCATCATTTATATGCTTGTTTATAATCTATTAAAGGTGTCAGTAATGCAAGTGTGAGTTATTTTAATGTAATCATATGATATTGTTAGATGGTATGAGTTAAAGGTTATTTGGGGGAAGTGGTGCCATTTGGTAAAAGACATGGATAAATGCGGTATTATTTATCTTCAGTGACTATGAAGGAAATCATGACTTTAAGGTTTAATTATACTTACTTTCTCGCATTCAACCAAGTGTAATGGATTCTTATTAAAGGACTATCTAAACCTTCTACATGGTAGGTGTTATCACAATTGGATCTATGATAATGATTTCAATCGGCGACAGGGGTTCAGTGCCTCTAGCAAAAAGAACTACATCGGTTGCTTTTTCCTTTTTCTTCTCTCCTTTTCTTATTGATATAGCCATGTCTACCATAGTAAAACCGATTCCTATCACAGTATTCACAGGGTTCTTAGGAAGTGGTAGAATCATCATTAACTTTTATTATCCTTTGAGAAGACTAAAATATGTCATACTTTTTTTTTACAGGTAAAACGACACAGATATTGAACTTGTTGCGCAAGGTGCCGAAGGACTATAAGATTTGCTTATTAAAGAATGAATTCGGAGATATTGAAGGTGTGAAATGATCATAATACACATTACATACTAAACGTATTTATAGTTGACAGTCAGTTGGCTAAAGAGTCAAACATTGGGGTACAAGAAATGGTGAACGGTTGCTTATGCTGTGTACTCGTAGGTCAGATGAAGTTGGCTTTACAAGAACTCAAAGGTAAATATTATATCTTTAAGACATATATATCAAGCTCACATCTTGTTAAATACACAGAAAAATATAATCCTGACAGAATTGTTGTTGAGACAAGTGGTTCCGCGTTTCCTGGTAAATCAAAAAGCACCCTTAAATTCCCTACCTTGGAAACTGATTTAAAAAAGGATAGCACCTATCGCATGGCAAATTAGAGAAATGGAATCAGAGGGGTTCACGCTTGATTCAATCATTACAGTAATCGACTGTGAAAATTTCAATGGCTATGAAGACACCAGCTATACAGCCAAGCTACAAGCTCAATATACCGATGTCATCTTACTTAATAAGTATGAACTTGTAGATGAACGTAGGCTGGACTCAGTGTTGGATGCTGTCAATGTTCTTAATACCGATACTCCCAAAGTAAAATGCGAGAAAGATGGTATTTCACCTGACCTTGTCTTTGGACTAGACACACAGCTGTTCAAAATAGGGTACAGTCATGCTCACACATTGGAATCAATGGTATTTGATCCACATCACCAGAAAAATGAAGTGGATTTGATACAGGTCACTCAAAATGTAACCGACAGAAGACTTGATAAAGAAGAATTAGAGACCTTTTTGAAATCAATGCCCAAGGATGATATCTATCGTATCAAAGGATTTATTCGATTGAATGACGGTCAGTTAGTCATTATCAACCATGCATTCGGGCGATACACCATGACACCTGTGGAGAATGAAGAAACATTAGAAAATACAAAGGACGTGCAAGTAAAGGTCACTGTCATGGGACAAGATTTAAGAATGTATACAGAAAGAGTCAAGGGGTTATTAAATGGTCAAGAAGGCGAAGTCAAACTGACTCTGGCCCATCGTCATTAGACACAGCTGAAGAGGGAGATTTATGCTAGAAATAAAGTCATGTACAAGAATTTATTACAGAAAGCAGCCAACTTTTTTTTGAACATTAATGCTTTTTCTTGTCTTCAAGTGTGAGTTTGTTCAATGTTTTAATATCACCTTCTCTTAGTAGTTCTTCTTCACGGGAGGTGCTTTGTCCGTCCTTTCTTAATGCAGGAAATTGTTTACGAGGCAAAGGTATCAAGCTTTCATCTTCTTCCTCTTCATCCTGATTGTCAAAGTACCCAACGGCATTGCGCATACGTGGACTAGCAGGTGCTGACAGCGGCTTTGGAATCTTAACAGGTGTAGTTGTCATTTCCTCTTCCTCATCATCCACAAATGAGTCAGGATAGACTCTTCGCAAAGCCAATTGACGTGCCTTGATATACTCCAAGCCCATACGCTTCCAATCGAGCAGATCAGATAGACGTTCTGTACGGTTACGCTGATTGATACGTTGGCGACGCGTCTTTTGACAAAACCTAAACATTTGCTCAGAGAGTTGCTGTATAGACTCTTCCACAGATTTGAGACGTCGATCCACAATATAGATACCGTAGTCTTCACAGTTTTCGATATTTTCATCCATGAAACATCCGAATCCAGAGAGGTTTGTTGTAATAGAAGGAACACCCATAACAGTACATTCGGCAGGCGTGTATCCCCAAGGTTCATAATACGAAGGAAAGACACCCAAGTGACAACCACGAACAAAGTCTTCATAGTCAAGACTTAGTAAGGGGTTGTTGGCATTCAGAAATTCAGGATGGAAGATCACCTTAACGCGGTCGTCAGACTTGTTATACAACTGTAGCCGTCTCAGTTGGTTGATGATTGGGTCAGTACCATCGTCTACCATGTTATGAGTAACAATAGGAGGTAATGTTTGGTTTTTTAATGCAAACACTCGACGCTTCAAGAGAATCTTGTCCTCGTTTGAAAGGAAATGAGTGGGGTCCACGTTTTCGCCTCCTCTCAGTGCACTTTCATAGATTCGCTTGCCAATACGTTGCTGGATTTCGTTGACGGTTTCTCTCAATTGCTTTGTTACTGCCTGACCTTTCAATGCTTCAACATTGAATGATCGAGTGGCAGCAGGCATGACAATGAAGGCAACAACAGTTGTCTTTGAATTAGCTGCCCTCAAGCGGTCATTTAATCCTATACAATAACATAAACACATTGGTACATACAGATCTATCTCATTACTTACGACCAAGAGCCTCTACAAACATATCTACACCCTTATTACGATATTCATACCGGCCAGCTGTGAAAAAGTAAACCGTATTGTCCAAATCAAAATCATAGTGTCCATAAAAGTGACCACGAACGAAATCATTGATCTTTTCCTTATTAAGAGCATGTTTGTTCTGAAACTCATGAACAGCTTGGAACTTGACTACGTTCAGACCGTTAGGCAATACACCATCTAAGAGTAATTGTCAAAAAAAAAAGGCTCATTTGTCTATAGTATTTTTTTTTTTTTTTTGGCTTACCTGGCTTTCGTTTCAAAAGATGCTCACTTTCATAGGCAGTAATATGCGAGACTGTGGTGAAGACATCAGAACAATGAGCAGCGCCTCTTTCGATACAGTAGCGGTGATAGATGCCTCGTTTTCCGGCTTCTTGATCAACATCAAAATTGCGAAGGTTATTATAGAAATCCACAGAACCAGCACACAAGTAACGACCGAGCAAGGTAGCGTGTGTAGTAAATACAGTTGTTACGTCTATTTTACGTTTTTTGATCAGCGGTATTGCTACACCAGCTAGCCATTCATGGAAATGAGCAATGATAGCAGGGTTTAGTGATTTTGGGGAAGAAGGTTGCTGGTTGTACTACGCCAAAAACAGTTAGAGAAAACATACCATTTTTCCATATTCACATTCTTACTCGCTTTGTGATTTCTTCCAAAAACCAAGCGACAACATAACCAAACAAGATCGCTTCGTTGGTTTCTTGATCATTTGGAGGAGAAGGAATTCCTGCAACACGCCAGATATCGCCTTTCCATTCATCCAGTTTATGATTGACACTTCCAGTATCAAACAGTAAGACATAAGGTGCTCCTTCGACTAACCATCGGCCAAACAAGTACTTTACTCCTTGAGAAGATAATGCGTCCAAAGCTTCTTTGATTATTTCTGTAGGAGGTTCGAGAGCTTCTACCTCCATAGGTGCCGTCTTGTAGGAAAGTGGTCCGATCAAACAGTATCTTTCACCAAATTCACGTACGGTTACTGGTACCTTTGTCTTTATCACAGTGTAGATACCACCGACTATAAGATACATGACGTGTTTATACCCCTTCTAGTGTCTCTTGATATTTGTACATACCTTTATTTGCCACTTCCCAAGCAATTTCAAACAAGAGTGGGTTATACACGTCTTTGGTAGGTGCCATTGTAATATATATTAAGCTTAGAGAAGAAGAAGCAAAAGAAAGAAAAGGGAAAATGAAATAAATTTATGCTTAAAACGTCATGGCGGAATTAATGACTTGTGTTTATGCTCATGTCTTCGTAGTATCATAATATCTGTTTTGCTCAAAATACCGCTTTAAAAGATCGCCTTTTATAGTAATCCATCTCGAATACAATAATTTCTGATTGGCCAGGAAGAATCCAAAGATCTGAAAAGATGCATGATATGGATCGTTTAAGCATAACAGTAAACATTTGCAATGTTTGATTCAAAGCAAAAAGCTACTCTTGATATATACTTAAATATCCATAGTATTTATGCATAAGGATCAATCAAAACAACCAAGCCTCATACTTCAAACACACAATTTCCCAGAGTATCACATAAGCGATAGATTCGTGATAACTGTGAGTTGAGTAGCTTGACTTTATGTATTATGATTACACCTATTCTATCTTCACTTAGTAAAGTCACAGGCAAAATTCTCTTATTTGAAAATGACTTTGGATACTAATTATACGTCTGATAAACTCTAGTATGCATTTGTCATGAACATGGGTTCACTTTTTGGAGCACTAGATTGAATCACTATGCGTTGTTTAGTTCATTTGATTCCAGTGATTTGGTTATGCTTGTAGTGATCTTTTTTATAGCTGTGCCTTGTTTAGTATTCCGACTTCGGTTTTCTTTTTGCTGCAAATCCTGTGAACTTGAAATCATTTATCTGTGTCCCAAATCATAAAGGATATCAAAACTTGTTTACTCGATTTCATCTAACGACAAGGAAAAAAAAAGATTGGTGGCAGTTTCGAGAAGTAAGTATAGAATAAGAGCTTGAGCTTTCTTATTGCTCAAATTTGTAAAAAAAACAACAAAAAAACAAAAAAATTCGTTAGTAATCTGTGTGTTTTTCAACCTCTTTTTCAAGCAGCTCAATTGTGCTCAGATCAGAAGGATCAAATACTTGTATGAATTATCTCTGCTTGTGACATGTGGCACCATCTTTTTGAAAGATCAAATCTTTCTTCTCGTTCTTTATTATATTTCAGAAGAAACCGTGTAAACAAGCAGTCCTCACATAATCCATAAACGATCACGCACAGATCAAACATACCCTTGTCAAAAAGACAACTATATATCCCTTCATTAGGCTTTATTATAGGTACATACCATTCCTTTCTTCGTGTTGTTTACCTTGAATCCTGCAATCCTCGGCTCTTATCTGACCAGATTACTGATAGTTATCGTTCTTTTCTTTTCTTTTTATTCTTTGTCTGTGGTCCAGCTTTGTATTGAAAATTAAAGGCATGCCTCGGTTGATCACAATTCACATTTATGCATACTAAATGATGTATTCAAAGCCTAAAGGTTTCTTTATTTCCTTCTAATTGGCTTATTTATGACTATTACACTTAGATCAAGTATTTCGGAATGAAGAAAGGCTTATTTACTCCGACTGTGACAATTCAGATTGCACACACACACACCTGGGCCTGTCAAATTTTATGTTTATGATTCCTAGGTTGAAATTAAGGCTAATTGCTACTACAACACATTCATTACAAATTGTAAAAAGGCATATTATTAATATTGCGATTATTTGCTTATTTATTTAAGCACTCAAAGTGCCGGCATTCTTCTAGTCTAGCGATTCAACAATGTCTGCATACGATTGACGTCTATAATTCAGAAATCAACGCCTTTATCTCAATAAATGATAGAAAATTACTAGAGGAAAAGGCAAAAGAATCAGACCATAGACGCGAACAAGGTTTGAACTTTATTTTTCTTCTTCTGCTTCTTGCTAACTCTTTATAGGACAATCTATTGGACCTCTGGATGGTGTACCTATTGCAATAAAGGACAATCTATGTACAAGCACTCTTCCAACCACCTGTGCTTCCAACATGTTAAAGGGTACTTTTTATGCAGTGTGCTTGCAGTTATCTAACTATAAAATAGATTTTACATCCCCTTATGATGCAACAGTAGTTCAATTACTTGATAAAGCAGGTGCATTAATTGTAGGAAAGACTAATATGGATGAGTTTGGGATGGGGTAAATAAAGAAAAGAATGAAAAATAAATAGGAACAAGTAGTAATATAAGGAGAAAAAAAAAGTTCAGCAAATAGACACAGTGCATTTGGACCAGTTATTAACCCACACAGCTTAAACCAAGAGAATAAACGATTAGCAGGTGGAAGTTCTGGAGGAAGTGCAGCAAGTGTAGCAATGAATATGTGTAGAGTGTAGGTTCATCTTTTTTTTTTTTTTTTTCAAGAAAAAAATTGACGATTGTTGAGGAGAACAGTTCTTTAGGTTCAGACACGGGTGGATCAGTGAGAATGCCAGCTTCATATTGTGGTATTGTTGGTTTTAAACCATCCTATGGTCGATGTTCACGCTATGGACTAGTAGCCTATGCTAATTCACTGGATACGATTGGAATATTATCAAGAACAGTCGAGGACTGTGCCGATGTTTATAGTAAGCTTACGTCCTTTACAATATTGTACTCATCTTGTTTATTCTTAGATGCTATTTCTAAATATGATGCATTGGATCCTACATCGATGCCTTTGGAATTAAGAGATGAAATAGATGAAAAAGATAAGGAATTGGCATCAAAGTGGGAAAAAGATCTGAGTGGTCTTGTCGTGGGCATTCCACAAGAGTTTTATGTGGACTCATTATCACCCAAAGCGATCAGTGCGTGGAGAGAAGGCATTGATCGATTTAAACAACTTGGAGCCAAGATTATAACAGTATCCATGCCACATACACCTTTGGCTTTACCTGCTTATTATATCATTGCATTAGCAGAAGCAAGCTCTAATTTAGCAAGATACGATGGTGTGAAGTATGGTAAATCGATTAGATTAAGGAAATTCTGGAACCTCTCTTTATAATAATATATTCTAATAGGTCATCGGAGTGCAACAGAAGGACAAGATGAGGATCAATTATTATTTGCGAGTACACGCACACAAGGATTTGGTGCTGAGGTTCAAAGGCGCATATTGCTTGGGACTCATGTCCTTACGGCTGGGTAACAAGTTAATTAAGATCCATTATTCATATATTAATAGGTTAATGTAGGACTTATGAAACTTTATTTTTACCAGCACAAAAGGCAAGGAGACTCATCCAACAAGACTTTAATCATGTCTTTTGTCAGCCTAATCCATTGATGACACATGAATGTGGTCAAGCTCATTTGATACTCATACCAAGTGCAACAGGTGATGCACCTACACTGAAAGAACAAGGGATGAATGAATATATCAATGATGTGATGACTTTACCTGCTAATTTAGCTGGTGTACCTGCAATTACAGTGCCATTCATCAAGGATGATCATCCAATAGGTCTACAGCTCATGAGCCAATATGGTTACGATCAATTCTTATTGTCAATGGCTCAAAAGATACAATAATTCATTTTTTTTTTCTTAAAAGCGGGATTCCTATTTAACTGTGTTCTTTTACCTTTTTTATTTTCTTTTTCTTTTCCCTTTTTTTTTTTTTTGGTTGTTGTTGAAAATAAACTTAAAGTGGCGATAAGGAGACAAAGAAAGAAAGAAAGAAAGAGAGAGAGAAAAGAGAATGAATACATTATATGAGAATAACGATAACTTGGCTGAAGAGTGTGAGGATCCTCACTGTCACGGATGTCAAAAGGTGATTGAAGATGGTTCAGTGGTTCAGTTTGGTGATGGCATTTGGCACTTTGAATGGTAATAGATCAACTAAACCCTCCCTTTTTTTTTGTTTTCTTGTCTTAACTTCGTCTTACACAGTTTCCGTTGTGCAAAGTGTCATAAACTAGTTGAATGTTACAGTAACCTGCTACTCTTACGAGACGGAAGCCCTATTTGTGAAGAGTGCTCCTATAGTTGTCATGCTTGTGGAAAGACAATAAAAGATGAAGCTATCATGACAGGTGTGTTGTTATTGTTGCTTAAGTATATTATTTTTATATTTAATTCTTGTTTAGGCGAAGAAGCTTATCATGCAAACTGTTTTCGATGTATTCAATGCAGCAAGAAGATTGAGGATCTTGTCTTTACACAGACCAGCAAAGTAAGATATAAGAGTAATTGATGTGGTATTTACTTTACAATCTAGGGCATTTATTGTACTAAATGTCATGAAGCAAGAAAACTACTTCGCCTCAAAAAACGTGATGAAAGGAATAACAATGTAATTTCCATTAGTAATGTTGCTTCAATGTTTTAATCCTACTTTAAAAATAGAAAAAATCAGGGGAAGATACTAAACGTCCGATCCTACCCAATTTTCGCTCTTCATCCACCACTTCTATCGTCAATGCTTATGCAGAAGATTATCTAAAAGATCCTATTATAGGTATTTGTTATTTATTATATATTTATTTATTTGTATACATTTCTAAACAGCAAATAGATTCACGGGATATTACAGAACTAAATGATATGCTGGACCAGAGAAATAGTGAAGAGACCCAACGTAACACGGTTGAACCAAACATATATTCATTAGAGATCGATTCATGTGATGCCATGGAATTGAAGAAGGAGTTGATAGAGACGAGAAAGAAATTGAAGGAGGTAGAAGGCAAATTCAACAAGATCAAGGTGAGGGATAAATACACATTAAAAGGAACAATCAATAACAGTAGAGGGAAAAAAAAGACCATTAGTAGAAAGGCCCTAGATGAATTCCACATTGTGAAAGAAGGTTACGCGGCTGAGGTCACTGCTCGAAAAGAAGCAGATAGGCTAATTGTTCGTCTAAAGAGCGAGATTGTGTTTTATCAGCAAGCTTCCATCTTTAGTGGTCCTGATTTTATACAATTTACAAAAGATGAAATAGACGAGTTGAATCAAGCTCGTGGAGATTTGGAACAGATTTGTTTTGACCTGCGAGAAGAAAGAGATAACCTCATGCGAGACCTTGAAAGACATTCAGAAAACATTGAAAAACTTCTTGCTAGTCAAAAGCCACAAGAGTTACATTGGGAACGATTACAGCATGCCTATCAACAGCAAATGGATTCGATGCAAAAGGATATGGCTCTTATCAAGAGCAACTATACCAAGCTAATCAAGGCAAGAGAGGACATTATCTCCGACATGATTCTTCTTAACACAAAAAATGCTGAATTAACTCAAATGAATAACGATCTCTCTCGCAAAGTAATTGAGCGTGAACAAGAAGCCAAGGCAGTCATTGCGGGCACAAGTTTTCTAGCCGTACCTGAAGAGGGTGCTAAACCAGATAAAAGTAAAAAGGAAGGCAAGCACAGACGAAACCTGTCGACAGGTTCAATCGGCATTGTCCATTCCAATTCAATGCCAGATATCAAAGTAACCACAGCAACCGCCGATGCTTCTACTGCGACCGTGACACCCAAAGTGGCTCAGAGGGACAGCTTCAATGGCTCAGCAGCTCCGAAATTATTTAAATTTAGAAGAAATAAGAGTACTTTGGGAAAATCATCCTCAAAGTCAAGTAAAGGTGAAGAAAAGCTTATCTCGATTCCTTATGATACCACCCACAACACAAGGTCTCTCGAGCAGGTCTCGGAGTCTTTTGTAAAAAGAGAAATAGAAAACAACAAGAGCAGGCATCATTTTATCGCAAGCAAGTTTTTGCGACCCACCAAATGCGAAGTCTGTGGTGAAAAGATGTGGCGAGTGACTGAATTGAAATGCTCAGGTACACAGAAAAAAAAATTGTTGGGGGTTGCAATTCATATTTCCTTTATAGAGTGCAACGTTACCTGTCATTCCAAATGCATGTATAGTGTTCCACAGAATTGCACTAGAAAGAGTAGCCTGGAATCCAACGGTCATGATGATACGCGCCATATGTTTGGTAATGATCTTGTCAAGCAAATACAAGCAGAGAAAAGCAAAATACCCCTTGTGGTCGAAAAGTGTATTGAATCTGTCGAAGCACGAGGCATGGACTATGAAGGCATCTACCGAAAGTCAGGTGGTGTGGGTCAGATGAGACAAATTCAGCTTGCATTTGAGAGAGGTGAGGTGCCTAATCTGATTGATGAGGAGAAATGGAACGATATATGTGCAGTGACAAGCGTATTGAAACAATACTTTCGTGAACTTCCTAATCCGCTCTTTACATATGAACTCCATCCCAAATATATGGATGCTATGAGTAAGATAACCATCGTATGTGTGCCACATCTATAAGCTAACATTATGTAGCCATTTCTAATAGCGCAGAACAGTTGCAGACGATGACTCAATTGATTCAAATGCTTCCTATTGAAAACTTTAATACCTTAAAGTACTTGATGGAACACTTGCACAGGTGCAAACTATACAACCATGATTACCTTTTTGTATTAATGAAATGAAATAGAGTACAATTAAGACAAAAAGAAAACTTGATGACGTCCAAGAATCTTGCTGTCATCTTTGGACCTACTTTACTTCGGCACAAGGATGAGAATAGGGATCTTTTGGAGATGAGCTACAAGATCGGAGTCATTGAATTTATACTCAATAATGTGGATAAACTGTTTATAATCGAAACCTTGGGTGGAAAGAACAATACGGAGAATCGTAAAGTTCATCTGCCACCTGTTAACAAAGGAGAAGATTTGAGCACTGTTCTTGCGAATTACAATAATGATCTCACAGCTCTTCCTGCTGTGCCTCCAAGAGAGAATGCAAATTATATATAGCATATATCACACTCTTATATATAAATGAATGTACACTTTACACTTTATTCCCACACTGACAACAAAAAGTAAAATAATAAAAGAGAGCCCATTCAGCTGTTACATTGATATAAAAATTTATATTAAAAGAGGGGTTTATAAGAAAGAGAGGCAGGTGATTCTGTCATCCTCAACTAGAGGTTTAGCTATGTCCAATCAGCAGCTTTTTAAAGTCCAAATGACAGTTTTGCAAACTCTGGAGTTGCGTTTTATCATTTATTTGTTGAATACATCAAATAGTATATAAGACCATTGAATGCTCAATTAACAAAGTAAAAAAAAAAAAAAAAAACCTCACTTAAAATGAATATCCTTACAGCTTGTCAGCTACGTGTTATTTACAGTGTTGACCACATTATACAAGTCTCTTTATTTTATTTTATGTCTCTCAGAAAGATGAAGCTCATTTTATGTATTACTGCATGTTGTCAAGTTGGAAACAATAAAGCAAAGATCACCAAGTGTAATTGTTGATGAATAAAGTGCACGACCCCTTTTCCCAGTACATAACCCACTGTTTCCCTTTTTCTCTCTTTTAGTGTAAATTACTTCCTATTAAATACTCTTCAACGTGTATTTTATTATTATTATTATCCTGGACCAACTTTTGGAATGTCATGATGTTCACTAAGTTTCTCTAGTTTCTGATTAAATTCAGACACTCGATCTTTATGTGATTTTGTTGCAGCCTTTGATACTCTTTCCATTTGCTAAGAAGATGTCAATACAACTCTATATAAAAGCTGATTAAACAAATGTTTACCCTTTTGCGTTGAATCTCTTCAAATTTAAGTTCTGCCTCAGTCTTTTCTACTTCTTGAAAAACATCTGCTGAACTCTCGCGCAGTGCTCGCTCGAGTTTTTCTTTATCAGACTTGCTTTTCTTCTTCTTTTTTCTACATCATTTCCTTAATAAAAAGCTCATTCATAGTCACGTATTACTTACTTTACAGAAGAGGAGCCGCCTCCTTTGAATTTTAGCGATCCCTTCTTTACTTCGTCATAGGCTGACATTGACGGAAGAGAAAAGGAATAAAGTTCTCCAATGTTCTCTCTCGTTCGCTTTCTATCTTTTTTCAAAGTCACATCAGATACAAGTCATTTAAAGTCCGTTACAGGCCTGGTTGTGCAAAAACATCATTCTTTTTCATGAATACACTCTGTCTCGAGCAAATACTAAAGAATAAATCGTCGTCATTCATTTTAATTAATGATACCGTTCGTCTATCGTCCTTACCTATCCTTGTAAACATTGGTAAACGCGCACTTGGAGATAATAAATCACTTGTTGTCCTTTTGACAGAGACTTCGCCCAAGACATGGAAGAAACAGTTTGGTGAAACGGACGACATGTACATTATTGACTGCTATACTGATCCATACGGCTGGGATAACACAGCAGACAGCGAGTGTTCCCTTCTCGTGAATGACATTACCGATATTGAAAACTCCATTCTACTTCCACTCATCAAAAAAGTAACCAAGTCAGCACAATGCACGATCCTTGTTGATTCCTTAGTACCATTGTTTATGATTTCACAGTTTAAAACTTATCAACTTGTAAAGGCATTAGAAACATTGACGACAGGTCTGATATATTGTAATTTTTTTTTTTAGTTGCTTATCATAATACTACACGTAGACACAACACATTTGGTAATCGGACATCATTCAGACATCAAACTACCCACATCATCTGGCATTAGCATTCAAGAGTCTATCAACCGATTAGCCACAGCGATCATTCGATTGGAAGCTCTTAAAGAGCGTACGCACTTTGACACACAGGTAGCATTGACGGGATTCACGCCTCAGGATACATTTTCTTATTTGACAACTACATCCAATGCTCTCAGCAAAGGAGGACTTGCGCACATTGAATGGCGAAAGAAGAGTGGTAAAGTAACTTTTGAAACAAATGGATTTATTGTCAAAAATGGAGTCCTTCAAGTTGTCCCAGCGAGTCAACTGACAGGCGTGAGTGCTACAGAAAAGGAGTCTGAGGATATGGAAATAGACAAGCAACCAGATCCAACAGCGAACTTGTCATTTAATTTGTCTCTAACAGATGAGCAAAGAAGAGCAAAAGAGAGCTTAGTCTTGCCTTTTATGAAAGCACAACAATTAGAAGTAGAAGAACAAAAGAAACAAGAGAGTGTTATTTACTATGATCCTGATGCTGCTGATGACTTTGATGATGAAGATCCAGATGATGATTTAGACATTTAAATAAAAGAAAAGATATGCGGCGGTGTTTTGACACCAAAGTGTCTTCCTATTTTAGGCGTCAATCACCATGCTCATGCACTTTATTCAGAAATTATGCGCACACTAATAGAAAAATGATAAAAGAGAGCTCATCAAAAGTAAAAAACGTTTAGTATTTCAGTTATCTCATCAATCTATAAATACTTGCATTAAAAAGGGGTAAGTAAGCATTTTACAACATCTTACCGAAAGCATATTACAGTGAGCCATCGTCAACTGGCCCAGAAAAGCAAAGAAAAGAAAGAAAAAGGAGCAAGCAAAGAGGAGAATAGGAAAGAGAGAGAGAGAACAGCCAAAGGAACGGAAGGGGTTGAAGGAGTGGATGGGACCAAAGTTTGGTAAGAACCAAACTACCCCCAGCTAGCACCGGTACTGATTCAATTATAATCTATAACACTACATACCAGTTCCTTACAAGAGTAAAAAATACAACACACATTAGAGCAAGCTGGGGAATGATTGGCCTTACTGTTCGTTCAAAGAAGAATAAATAAAAAAAGAAACCAAAGTCAAGGACTATTTATACCAAGTCTCTAATAACTTTCCATTTTGTTATAAAGTGTTGATCACATTATACGAATATACTCTGTATAATTGCATGTTGTCTTTTTAATAATAAAGAAAACATTGATAACCAACTAAAGTGCAATTGACCTTGTATTGCGTGCCAAAAATTTCGGAAAAAACGTGTATATTTATTGCTGAAATAAAAAAAAAGGGGGGGGGGAAGGAATCTCTTTCTTTCATTTGATGAATATTTTTCATGGAAGCAAAAGTTACTAGACATACTTCAACCAATCTCGAAGAAATAAATGAAAAGATCGCAAAGTTACTAAAGGATCCTGCAGAGGCTATTGACAATGTTCCTATTGATGTCGATTCTATGAGTTTAACAGAATTAAAAGCCTTTGCTGAACGAGGTAGATCATGAAAAGAACAAGAAAAAAAAAACATATTTTTAAAACATAGAATAGGTGGTTTAGGTGCTTGTGTGTCAAAGGTGGATGTTTTAGCCAACACACCAGACGATTTGATGTACCTGCAAGGTTAATTTTATATCTTTTTTTTTAGACATAATATAAACATACACTATAGGCGAACGTATTGTTGTGCTGAAGCATATAGAGGATGATATCTATATGGTAAGAAGCAAGAAAAAATGAGAGAAAAGTCTTTTTCTTTGAGAGAATTTACCAATACAAGAAACTTTAGGGATATTGCGAAGGAGTCATTGGCAATTTTAATGCAGAAAACGTGCATTTTGTAGAGTTGGATCCTCGCGTATTAGAGTCACTGGACGCAGACCTTGATTTTACGGATCATTCACAGTATAGATACTCTGCAAGTAGTCATGGAACAGAGGATATAGAAATGATAAAAAACAGACAAGAACACTTTATACGAGATTCTGTGCATTCTTATTCATCTACCTCAGATCGATATACCTCTCCAGTACCTTCATCCAGGCACCACTGGGTTAGCAAACCTAGTTTTGAAAGCATAGGCACAGCTTCAACAACCTCAAGCAATAATCTGAAAGCATCGCATATATCTTACCAATCATACACTTACTCTGAAGAAAACACTAGTAGTGGATCACATTGCTTGTTACTTGTTTTGATGTCTTACTAGATCTTTTCTTTTTATAGATCATGAAGATCCTTTTGATACTTCTGCACTTAACGTTGATTACTCAGATGAAGAAAACTCAGAGTTGTACAGCCCCACACCATCTACACCTAACGTAACAGTTCCCAAGACAAATAAACAGATGGTATCTAATGCTGTAAGTAAACCTGCATCTAGCTCACCACTCGAGAACACGCGAGTAGACGAATATGGATTTGTAATCAAACCAGACCGTCCTTCCTTTAGGTATATTATGACTTTGCCTTTATCAGCACTAACTTCTTTTTTCTAGAACCAATATGACAGCCAAGGCTATGAAAGAGTACAGAGAAAATGAACTGAAATGGCTAACGATTGTGAATAAACTTGATGCTGGAACAGTGAAAAAGGATGTAAAAATGAAAAAATTGGTGAGAGGCGGCATACCAGCATCTGTAAGAGCCAAGGTCTGGCAGTTTCTTGCTGGTAGCGATGACTATAGAAAACCTCATCAATTTCAAAATCTGCTGGATAGACCTAGGATCGCCATTTATGATGTGATCGAACGAGATATAGAACGCTGCTATCCAGATCATATACAATTTATGGAAAAGGATGGTCAAGGGCAACAAAATCTTCGCAGTGTATTAAAAGCATACGCTCAATATAATCCTGACCTAGAATACTGTCAAGGAATGGGACGCTTAGCTGGACTTATGCTGATGCAAATGACGGCGGAGGTAAGACAAGAGCTTGGTGAAAGAGTTACAGAGTAATTGATATATTATAGGAATCATTCTGGCTATTAGTTACCACCATTGACAGATATATGAATGGATATTTTACTCCTACGCTCTCTCAATTAAGGATTGACGCATATATCATTGGGCAGCTACTAAAAGATCACAATCCAAAGCTTGCACAGCATTTAGAGAACAATGATGTTTTACCCATCATGTATATCGCACAGTGGTTTTTGACAGCATTTACCATGACACTTCCTTGGGAATCTGTCCTGAGGGTTTGGGATGCATTTTATTTTGAAGGTAAACAGTTATCAATACATTCTTACGTATATAAACCATCTTTGGTATGTTAGGCATCAAAGTGTTTTATCGTGTAAGTTTAGCCATTATGGACATTTGTAAAGGTAAAACAAAAGAGCTTGGTTTCCGAAACATGACATACTCATGGCATGAATAGATCATTTATTACACTCTTGTCCAACCAATTCAGAGCTGCTTGGCTTTTTGTTACATATCCCTCATGAATATCTTGAACCAAACGCATTATTAGACACAGCTTTTCGTATCAACTTATCAAAAACGGACATAAAGCGATACGCTAAAAAGGCAGGAACAGAAGACTCAACAGTGACTGGTTTACCGTTTGAACACGGCATAAAAAACCTTCAAGTCGGTAGTAATGGACATAGTCTAGGGTTCAAAGGGTTCAGTGGAAAGATTGCAAAAAAGACTTCCAATAAGAATATGCATGATGTAAATTAGTGGTTCTTCTTCATATACCTTTGAATAGAAAATATTCGTGTGCAATAATTTAGCCATCTTTTCCCTCTCTTTCTAATAATACCACAATAATAAACTTTTTTTAATCTGACGAATCAAAATTAATTTTCAGACAATCTGCTTACCTGTAAAAATCTAAATTCTCTGAACAGGAAAACTGTGTTCGATATGGCGATGTGATAAAAACAAATACATTATTTGCTTTTACAAAATGCTTGAGGCCGGCCGCGGCCACTGATGACTTCTTTTGAAATCTTGAAAATATTCTTTGATGCATTGACATCGCATTGCTACATTATTCCACAACTTTGGCAAGTGAGAATGCTGTTCAACCTAAATATTGACTGATAATGAACAAGATTGAATACTTTACATTCATTTAGCTTTGCGCCTTTTGAAGGTCTCTCTGAGCTGGATGATGTAGAATTCCTTTTCATTTGAAGCAAAAAGAAGAGCAAAAAGTGAAAGAGATTATTGTTGTTCATTTATCAAAATTCATTTAATCAATAAAATCATGTCCTTTTCTCAGGTCCAATAGACTTATGCTGTCGTAACATTTGGTATCGGCTTTAGTGTGGAATCAAACAACTCAGTGAATACAATGACAGAAGATGATCTCTATTATAAATATAGCTTGAAGGATGTGTGTTGCCTCTTCTTTAGACTTTACTCACAAATATACTTTTATTCAACCAGTCAGATTGCGAATGGTGTTAAGGTTGTCTTTTATGAGCTTCGGTTTAAATATTCTTATTTCAGTCTATAATACTAGCCGCTTCCAACTCGCTACGCTCGTTTTTGTACGTCGTCGTGCTGCCGCAGGCTTAAGGGCTTCGCCCTTTGTGATGAATAAGGACAAATGTTAATACAGCCCTTTAAGCGAATGGCTAAATTTGAACTTTTGTGCGCCTAACAACATGCTCCAGCTCCTCTCTGCATGCTTATTTATTGATGTAATAGTGCTGCATGCATGGCTTCATAAAATTGTTTATTCATAATAGAGAGCATATATTTTAATAGTATTATTCATAAAGGTTTATGTGTTGAAAAGCATGGCATATTCATAAAGCATTCATAATTGTGAGCATAGGTTTGTTTGGTGATCATATGATGTGTTACATAGATGGATATATTAATATATTAGTGAAGTAATAACTCTGGGTAGACAACATTGTTGGTCGTATTTGAGCTTTCTGGCAGAAGGACTGAGATACCAGAAAGAGAGGTAACTCTTGAAAGAGCGACATATAGCTGACCATGCATAAACGACGGACGCCACAAGTCAACTCCTATATACTTTAATGATTGCCCTTGGGACTTATTGATTGTCATAGCGAAGCATAGTTTTACAGGAAATTGTTTCCTGGTGAGTATAGATGGCGTATTGCTTTCTAGGATCGACAGAGTAAATCGTGGGATGAGTTCTATTGGAGCATCAGGTTTGTTGGCCAGGTGAACCCTAAGCATATACTGACCAATATGCATTACGGTTAGCCTCGTTCCGTTACAAAGACCTCTTTCTGGGTCAATGTTTCGTAAAAGCATAACCGGTGCACCGACATTTAGCTCCGGCTGTGAAGGAGGCTGGCCGGAGGGGTTAAGACTTTGAAGGTACTCTGTAGGGATGATGTGCAGGCCATCAGCATCGTTGATATCAGCAGAATCAGTTGATAAAAGCGTAGCCTTCTCACCAAGCATCTTTTGGAGCACAGCCATATTGATGGTATCCACCGTATCATTACGACTGGCTAAGATTGCCCTTTCACCAAAGTACGCTTGACTACTCAATTTAGGTCTTCGGATATCTTCATCTCTGTATATTCTACTGATGAATTCAGCTAATTGAGTGGTCTGGTGAATGTATGAAGGAAGGATGATATTGCCTTGAAGGCTATTGTTGTAGGACATGTCTGCCAAAAATCTTGCAAATGCAGTGTCATTTTCATTCAAAAGGCTTGTTAGGCGCATATTCTAGGTGAGTCTCAAGAGATGAAGCCTTAGCCAAAGAAATGATTGTCTAATGGAAGCACTGACGGTGTCAGCCCTGTTACCCCTTCGGACCACTGGCGGAATTTGGGCAAAATCACCACCAAGGACAACAGGTTTTCCTCCAAACAAATAGAACTCATCAGGATCATCGCAGATAATAGTGTGTTATGTGTTATGTGTAATGTGTTATAGTGTGTTATAATAGTGTGTTATTTTTTATCAGTGTGCGATCCCGACACACAAAAAAGGATGTCTCTAGTAAAAACGGATGGAAATTGCCAGAAAAAAATAAACAAGCAACGATTGTCTATTGGCTGGAAGAGTTTATCCGTATTACGAATTGACGCGTCATGCAATATACCGTATGTGGATGGATGTGTGTGTAACAGGTAGTGCATAAAAGAAATGCCAAACTTTTTTTTTTTTTTCATATTATTCAAAATTAAGAAATATATTATGGGTGCCCTCATTGTTCCTTCTGAATATGGCTATGTAAGTTGTAAATGAAAAGTTAAGAAAAAGAATCTCTGACAGATGTCAAAAAGGTCCTTGGTATTGCTGCCTTCAGTGCACTTCATCTCTTTTACTTGGGCGCTAAAGTTGGCAAGGCTCGTAGAGCTGCCAAGGTCCCTTATCCTTATGGTAAGTTCAAGATATATTATATGTGACGAGTCAATTAAACTGTATGTAGCATATGCCGAAAAGAATGAAGCTGAAAAGGATCCTCTCAAGAACATCTTCAACTGTGCTCAACGAGCACATCAAAACACACTAGAAGTATTCCCTGTCTATAGCACTTTGTTATTGATTGGTGGCCTCAAGTATCCCGAAATTTCTGCTGCTGCGGGTCTTGTTCACTGCTTGGGTCGCCAAGTCTATGCTTCTGGTTACTCGACCGGTAACCCTGACAAGCGCACGCGTGGTGCTTTTGGTTACCTTGGTCTTATAACTCTCCTCGGTACTTCTTCCCTTACAGTTTACCATCTTTTGATGGGTTAAGATATTGGTATTGGTCTTGCTTTGTAACATAAAATTCGCTATTTGACAAATTCTATCCATGTTTATTCTGGCATCACCTTAAAAGGAAATACTTGTCAATATCTCCCTTTTTTTTTCAAGCTTGGCACTTGCCACAAAAAGCAGTGATACTGAGTGAAGATAGGGCGTGTAGGGTGAAGAGTATAGGATTGTCAACATATAAATATGCACTAAATAATGGGAGCACCTGATATTTTAGAGTTCATTAGACCATAGTGCAGCAAGGCTATTTAAAGATGAAATGCATACGCTTTTATTTTTATATTATATTGATTTGCTTGATGTGAGTGACAAGTCGAGTGTGGGTAAGGTGGGGAAGAAGGGGAAAAAAAAATGCCTCTGTCCGTTCAGGCTTGTGGATAATATGGCACGGCAACGAGCACAAAGAGTTGAATGGCCAATTGATGGCTATGAGTGCAAAACAAGAATTCATCCAAATGAGATAGGAGAGAGAAAAAAAGATGATATAAAAGCAGTAAAGAGAAGCCATGTGGTATATATCTCGGTGTTTTTCTTTCAGTGGTTACTATATCAATCAAAAGCGCAAGTAAAAAGCTATTGAATGATGTAAGTTGTGCTTTTATTGAACCAGCATATCCTCCTCGGTAAGACGTGTCGTTACATCTTGTAGTACCTTTACCCCTTCTTCAATTGCAGCAAGTCCATGCGCTCTCGTAATGCATCAAAGTGCCTTGAAGTTTCAAAACTAGCAAGGTATTTCTCTCTAAAAAAAATACATAAATACTTGCAATAGTTCAATAGTATCAAAAGGAATATCAATGATTCTTCTCCTATAAACTATTGCCACTAATGACAAAACACGCATTTTTTTTGAAAGAGATGAAATATATGATTGGATATATGTCGTCAAGTGATATCAGAAAACTAAAGTAATTGATATTGTTCACATAGCTGCAAATGGCGTAATAGGACCTGTGTCTCTTCATCATTGATGAATATACAAGTCATTTACATATGAAAAAGTATCACATTATGGGAGAATCAACTCGTTGCGGACTTGATGCCAGCTGTATGTGTTTATGAAAATCACGAGCACGTATTATGTCAAAAGGGGAGGAAGGATAGACAAGTTATAAAATGATCCTTTAAAGGGGAACAATTAGGAAAGTATTCAACTGTACTACTTTCAATTAATAAATGACTTTATATTGTGTGCTGAGGGCTCCACATTTTATAGAATGAAGCCAATGTAACACTTTCTTTACTTTTACGTCAAATTCGGGTATAAACACATGTGATGTAATATTTCTTTAAACTCTTTTCTTTTCCTCTCCTCACTTTTCCTCTTTCTTTTTTTTTTTTTCTTTACTTTTCAAATACTACAAAAACATATATTATTAAAAAAGAAAGAAAGAAAGAATAAAAATAGGCCCATTTATTGTGTTTATTTAAATCATCTAAAGCTTATCTTTTTCTTCTTTCTTTTTTTTTATTTTCAAAAGGTAAAAAAAAAAAAAAAAGACTCTTAAAAAGAAAGCTTATTTGAAAAAAGGTTGTATACATCAGCGGAGATTATTACTGTTGACAAGTATCAATGGATTCAACAATTATTGATATCAAGGTGACTGAAACACCCATTCTTGTAATGGATTCCGTTGATGATAAATGGAAGACTGTACCTGTGAGTATTGAAAGTTAGAGAAAGAGAGAGAGGGGTCAATGCTTATGCAATCACTCTAGGAGTTCAATATTACTGTAATTACAGATCAATATATACACTACATAGTAAGGTACATTCCTGATCTTCAAAGTTTTGATCAATTGGTAAGCTTTTAAATCCAAAATCATGGCTATATTAAACTTACAATAAAAAAAAATAAATTAGGTCAAGACACACTACCAAAAAATCAAGATTCCATTTCCAACCTTAACAGAAAATAAAAAGTTGGATGAGAAAAAACGCACCATTCGACATTTTTTCCATTTACCTGTAAAGTCAGATGCAGACAAGGTGGAAAAGTACCTTTTAAGGTGCTCAGTCGACCCTATTCTCAAATCTTCCACTCTTTTGCGTGATTTTTTTTCTCCCCAAAGAGAAGGCGATATCAAGAAATCACTCACATCATCATCATCATCTGACCTAATGCCTACTACCATATTAACGACTACAAATACAACCATTATGGCTGAAAAATCAGAATCGGCCATTCGAGAAAAAATAGCAGATTATCCTATTAAAGTATGGGAACCTATGCTCAATCCTTCCATCATCAGTCAATCATCTCATGAACCCTCATTATATCAACAAGCAGTCAATGTGCCAACTTTCCCCTTGGATGATTTGGAAATGATAAAGGTATTAGGAAGGGGATGTATGGGCAAAGTAAGTAAATCTATCCATTTTTTGGTCGATAAGGAATTAACACATCATAACTATAGGTCATGCTTGTGAGATCAAAAAAGACAATGGAATTGTACGCATTGAAATCAATCGTTAAACAGCATGTGATCGAGCAACGAGAGATTACACATACAATTGATGAACGAAATATCCTGGTAGCATTATCTGAAATCAATCATCCTTACCTTGCAAAACTACATACTGCATTTCAAGATGAGCATCGATTATATCTTTTGACCAATTATTACTCTGGTGGTGATTTAGCCACACATATGGCCAGATTGTACACCTTTCCTAAAGAATCAGCCCTCTTTTATGCTGCAGAAATCATAGACGGAATAGGTGAACTTCATCGACTAGGCATACTCTACCGAGATCTCAAGCCAGAGAATATCCTTTTCACAGGGGATGGACATATCATCTTGACCGACTTCGGTCTTAGCAAATGGTTAGATAAAGATGACCCTCAGACTCACACATTCTGTGGCACTGCTGAATACTTGGCACCTGAAGTCTTGCTTGGCGAGCCTTACTCTTTTGGTATTGATTACTGGAGCTTTGGTACCATCCTGTATGAAATGCTCGCAGGTGTAACGCCTTTCTGGGCAGACAATCACGCGGATATGTATCGACGCGTGCTCGAGGACCCTTTGGAGTTTCCTTCAGATATATTCGATTATGAAACAGCCGAATTTATCTCTGATCTCCTTGACCGTGACCCATACACGAGACTAGGTGCACAAGGTGTTGACGAAATCAAAGATCATGTTTATTTCGCGGACATTTCTTGGGATGACATCAAACAACGAAAGCTACAGCCACCTCTAGCACTCATTTCTCCAGTCAAAGAAGAGGAGCTGGATTTTACCAATTTTGATCCTGATTTCTTGGCCATGCCTCCTTCTCTGACTCCTGTTCCCTCAGAGATGGACTTGACAGAGGAAATTCAGGATATTTTTGACGATTATTCGTTCATAGACAATGACTATGAACAAGCACATCAAACTGTTGTGGTGCATAATATACCAGCACGTAAGCGTGGAAGTATCAGCATGCTTTCTGACAGCCTTTGCTTAAATGAAAGCAAAAAGGATGAAGAAGCGAGATACGCTAAAAGACGAAATACAAATACGTTTGAAGATCATCAAATGACCACGCTGGACGTGGACAAAGAGGTGCCGATCATACCAAAAACAATTGACTCTTCCGCATTCGAATTTTCCAATTTACCAGACCTTAGACTATCCTTTGACTTGAAACAGCATAATACAAGTACAACAACTACAGCTAATAATTCAACAAAAAGTAGAAAAAGCAAAGCTAAAAAATTTTTTTCTCTCCTTCTTTAATTTTTTTTAAAACTTTATATGCTTCCATTCCCTTATAAATATATCCTATATACCACTCAAACTACAACATATATAAATTTTTAAGCCATTACATTCATTCTTTAATAGCAATAACAATAAACATCTTTTAGTTTGATTTGCTCTTTTCTGCTGCTGCTGCTGCTTCACGTTCACGCTTACGTAAAGCTCTCTTACGGACATCCTTTTGAATGTCTAAACAAAATAATGAGATAATTATGTATACATTCAACGTTTCTACTCACTATAATTTTGAGTGATCCAAAACTTGCGTGAAAACAAGTTGTTAATGGCCCAGTTGGCAAGACCGTGCATTGCATAAGGCGTGGATGTGAAGGGAATATTAGCGCCACAAGGGACACCAATCTTGGCCAAAGCGCTGGTAACATAATCCTTGCTTGTAGGAATCAACAGGGAAGCTCTCTTGATCTTGGTCATGGCAGAGACGACAAAATAAGTGTTTAGGTGTTCAACGGTAATACCATCTTTTGCAACTTCCATACCCAAAGCTTGAGACCATGTTGACAAGAAGGCTTTACTGGCAGAGTAAACAGATAACCAAGGTGAAGGTACTAAACCAGCAAATGATCCCATATTCAAGATCAAACCTTTACGGCTATTATATAATCATTAGTCACCAAACAACGCTTTTCTCTAATTTTGTTTACTTTTGTTTCATTTGAGGAAGCACAATCTTTGTCATTTTCATGAGTCCCTTGATATTGACTTCAATAATGTTATTAACAACATTTTCATCCTCTTCAACAAATGGAGTAGGAATATCATGGTTGACACCAACATTGTTTACTAAATGTCACTTAGAACGTGTTTTTCCTCTTTTTTCTTTCTTTCTTTACCTAAAACGCCTACAGGGATAGAATTGATAATCTCGCTTACTTTATTAAAATCCTCGGGATTGCCTTTTCCAAAGTCCATGGCAAATATCTTTGTCTCAACACCATACTTGTCAGCTATAATCGGGTGATTTGTCAGTTGATAGTGAATACATACAATATAATTTACCAATTTCTTGAGCAACGCCTTCCAACTTGGAAGTAGTACGAGAAATTAAAAAGACGTTGAACTTATTCTTGGCTAATTGTAAAGCAAACTCTTTTCCAATACCATCAGTTGCACCAGTAATCACTACATGGCTGCATTAGGATTGTTGTCTGTACAACTATTCAGACACTTACCTGCCCAGTATCCTTGACCGGCACCAAACTTTTTAAGCTACAGGGTATACAGATTAGAGAAGAAACGATTTACACGCGTAATAGGTCAGCTTTACAGAAACACCAGGTACGACGAAAACATCAAAGAGGGTCTTAAGTAAAGTAAAGACCTTATAGCCAAGAAAAATGGCACCAACAGCAGCAAAAGCTGCAACAGAATTACACTCAACCATAGCAAGCTAAAAGGGAAGAAAAGGGAATTGTTGCTTATATAAAAAAAAAAAAAGTTTAATGAGCGTCAATTTTTAAGAGTATATGGGGAACTGGGGTCAAGTGCTTATTTGTAAGCTTGTTTAGTTGTTGATTAAAGCCGGATTATAGACAAAGCCGATATTATAAGAAAAGCATTAAAATAATCATTAATGCATAATTACTTTTAATAGGACAAAGGTGCTCTATTCCTCCTTCGGCTTGTTGCCTTTGCTTTTTTTGGTTGTTTTTTAAAAAGATTGAGTTTATTTTTAAGATGATTCTTTGGCAGCACCACTTGCACGCCATTCGCCCAAAATAAGCGATACAATTTCATCCATACCAACACCATTTTTGACTTGGGCAAAAACAGTAGGGCCATTTCCTCTATAAGGCACAATAAGTCATTAGAGCCATATACCTTATCTATTTACCTCATCTTTTTTGCATCACGAGCCATCACATCAAGGTCTGCACCAACAATATTTGCCAAGTCAGTTTTGTTGATGATGAGCAAATCACTTTGAGTGATACCAGGACCACCTTTTCTTGGTACCTTATCTCCTCCAGCAACATCAATGACATAGATAATATAATCAGCTATTAAACAGGTTAATTCCCTTTCTTCAGATATAATGTAAAAAGTAATACCTAATTCACGGCTACACAAAATGATAAATAAAAGCAAATATAGATACTATTATTATTACCTATAGTTTGCAGCTAAATTGTCTCCACCAGATTCAATCAATAAGAGTTGTGTGTTGAATTTCGCATGAAGCGTTTCCAAAGCATTCAAGTTGGCAGATACATCCTCACTTGCAACAAGTCAGTCTCTCTCTCTTTTTTTTTTTTTTGTGTGTGTGTTATACATTACCGGATAGCAGCGTGTGGGCATCCTCCTGTTTCGATTGCAGCAATACGCTCTTCGGGTAAAGCAGCATTTCTTACTAGGAATTCGGTATCTTCTTTTGTAAAAATATCATTCGTTACTGCAGCGATACTGTATTGATCGCGAAGTCTTTGACAGAGGGCAAGCATAAGTGCCGTCTTTCCGGAACCAACTGGTCTAGAGATGGTATCAGTATATGGATATACATTAGCCAATAAATATTACCCTCCAATACCCACAGTGAACGCTCTTTCAGACCAGTCTCTCTTTTCATATTGAGCCTTGGGGCGTTCTTGATATAACCCTGGTGAATCAAGTATTTCATGTGTGTGCCCATGATCGTGAGCGTCGTGTCCACCATGACTGTGAACATGACCATCACCATGGTCGTGTAGTTGGCTGCTAGCTTCAAAGCGACAAGTATCAGAAGACATTTTGATATAAATAAAACAAGAGAAAAAAAAAAGTGAGAAAAATATAAGTATATATTTGACATTCTCGAGCGTTTCTTGTGCAACGAAGCTATCAGCTGGCGGAATAAAGTACTCGACTTTCGCACACTAATTTATCTAGTTTAGCTATATCTTATCATGCTTGTATCGGTATATGTTAACAAGCCAATCTCTGATTCAAGAGAATTACATTATGTTTACCTGCGATCAATACGATATAAAGCATGTCAGTAACTTGCAGCACTTTTTTAAAGATAAGATAGGACTATGTTACACCATCGGATTGACTAAGGACTGCTTTTTTTAAAAACAATGCAAGCAGAGCTAACATTGACACTTCATGCAATGCCAATGTGTTCTATTTTGACTGCGCCATGCTAATAATCATCACCAGTTATGCTCTTCTTTAAAGACGTGTAAAATATATCAGAAAAGTTATCAAGCAACCTGAAAGAGTGAAGTGTTACTGATATGGTAGCAAATTCAGTCATGGCACTTTTTACTTTGTATTAGAACTCAATGCCTTAATTTGTCCAAATTAAAGCAAAACACAATATGCTTACTGTGGCTGGCGTTGATGCAAAGCACGACAATCACTATTAGTATAAAACTGAAGTTTTTTTTTTTTTTTTTTATTTCTAGTTAAATCATGCCAGTGATTGC